ATGATATAGATAAAATTAATTAATGGTGATCAATTGATGAGAAAAAAAAATAAAAATGTGAAACGAGGAAGAAATGGTGTAATAGTTTATCACCTTTTTACACTATTTTTGTACAATCTTATATATAATCACTATATTTATCTTTGATCATGCTCATTAATAACAAAACACTACAGGTAATTATTTTTTTAACTTTTCAGTTCACTGAAAATGAATGGTAATAAAAAAAGTTCAAAATATAATATCAAGATAGCAGAGTACAATTCTATTTTTATATATGGTCAATAATAATATCTAATATCGAATAAGAATGGAAAGTTTTAGAAAAATTTGTTATAGAAATATATTGTCTAACTTCAAAAAAAATATTTCAGCACCAATTATTTACTTTTATAGTGGCTCACATTTTTTATTTTATGAATTTTTATTATTTTTTTAAACTTAGAAACTTTCTAATTATAATAAAATATTGATTCTATATTCAACAATTATAATCATTGACATTCAAATTTTCTATTTCAATTCCAAACGTATTTTTAATTAACTAAATATTCAAATGTGCAGAAAATTATTAAAATTTTATCCTATAAGGTAATAAATTTTTAAAACTTACAAAAATGTATATTTAAATCTCTTCATCTAGTACTTTAAGGATGAATGAATTATGTCAGTAATACTTCTGATGGAAAAAAAACTTCTTAAAATGATTTTTCATTATTTATTTACTCAGAAAAAATTAGTGTAGCTACAGGGAGAAATAAAAGAGAGAAAGAGAGATAAGTAATGCGAATTAAGAGATAAAAGAAAAGAAATAAATAGAGAGGGAGGAAGAATATTTATTCAAAACTGAAAACCAACCATATGTCGAAGTTGATTGATTATAAAAATTGGCCAAAAAACGTTGTTCACTTAAAATGAACGTCAATTTTTCAAAACACGAAAAAAAAAAAATGTAAAAATTAACGTGAAAAGTCATCACAAACTAAAATAGCCTTGAAACCATCACCCTCCCAATCCCCATAAACACGTGTGTTTAATTATTAACCCAATAAAACTAACTATATTTCATAGTCGTACTAATCAACTGACAGACAAATAAATTTTGATCTACGGAGGGTTGAAAGACATCCAAGCTCCACTGTTTTCTAGCTAACCCTCGTGGTTTACAGCATTTTAACACGCAAAATCATCGTCCTACAGACGAATTATACCTAGACCGGGCCTAGCCTAGTGCTCTCGTCATTAACTGTAATTTAGTAAATTATTTTTTTCCTGATGCATATACATATTCAAATGGCAATTAACAAAAGTGATATAACAGTAGTGGTGCTAACTAAAAAGCATTTTAAATAGACAAGAAAAAGAGAAATGAAGTGAAAAAAGTTTATTATAAGAAATTGTAATAAAATATAGAAAGGCTTCTTTTTTCTTGATAGAAAATATATTTAAGCTCTCGAGAAAAGAGAGAGAGAGAGAGGGAGATTACAGAAGTATGTACAATGTAGACGTAACTATGTATAAAAGGATCATAAGGAGCAATTGGAGGTAGATAGTAAGAAAAAAAAAGTTAGGTAGGACTAGTGTAGACGAAAGTAGGAGTTGGCAAGAGTGAGGGTAATTATCTGTTTCTCAGGTCCATTACACTTAGGGGAGAAGCTTTCAGGGGTAATAGGGTATAGGCCAAGAACGTGAGGGGAAATAAAAATGAAACGGATGGCAAGCGGAAATTACTAACTCTATGTTGCAGAGTCTATAGCCCTAAAACTACATTGTAGGAAATAATATATCGTTGATTTGTAGAACATAAAAACACACGCATGTACACGTTCATTATGTAGTAACGTTTTATCATATAGTTATAATATGGATTGACATATAATAGTATAACTTAATAAAACGACGTAAGCTGTATTGTATGGAATGGTTTGGTCATTAAATAGCCGATATAAATGCTGTTTCATTATAAATATTGATGCAGTTGGTGTGGATTTATATACAAAGGAAGCAGATAATTCGTGTGGTGGATGATGGAAATTTTTTTACACTTTTCATGGATTAAAGGTTAACCGTGAGGGTGTGATCTATTAATCCGGTTGATATGCTTTTAAAAAAGGTTCAATTTAAAGTGGTTTTTGCGTACGGAGAAGAGAAAATAGTTTTGTCAGAAAGGCAATTTCTGGAAGTTGTAGGGTAGGGTGAAGTTGGCTTAATTGAACCAGTTTTAGAAATATGCGTTTTCAATCTGTATGTATTGCAAGTGAATAAACTTAATGTAATTTTATTGGAGTAGTTGTTAATTCAATTTATTTCGTTGGCTCGTACCGTATTTTACTGATCACATATTTCGGAAAATGGTAAAAGTTGGTATTTATTGATCATACTATTCTTGATTTACTGATATTTAATTTTAACCATGAATTGTAAATTAAAATATTGAGATAATATTTTTTTAAATTGTAATGATGTAGATTTTTAATAATTTAAATGTTGAAAAATTACTTTTAAAATAATTTTAGAACAATTTCAACACTGTGTTAAATAAATTTGTTCAGCCTCATCACGTTAAGATTTTGGGTACACTAAAGGAAAAAAATCAAGAGTATTAAGTAAATATGTCAGTGATCCTGTATTCTGTAAGAGAATATACATTAGCATAAAACAACTATTTACTTGATTGCAGAGTTTTGGATAACAATGGCGTACATAAATATATATTCAAATGAAATACTAAGATAATGATTTGAAGTAATTATTTACATTGTGTGAGATGAATAATTGAAATATAGTAATTAAATTTCCTCAGTAAGTAAATTTTTATTACTTTGGAAATTTTAGAATTATTTTTTTTTTTAATAATTTTTATTATTTATAGATATAAAGATAAATGAGAATTTATTTTTTGAATAAAAGGACATTTTCGATATCAAACAGTATAATCGAAGCATTTTCTGAATACTGTAAGTGGACTGAAAAATAGTCAGAAACTGATATGACAAAAAATTTATAGCAATTTCGAATCTGATTATTTTGTTTATAACTTTTTAAAAAGTCAATAACTGTTGAATTAAATGAGTGCATTTTTTATAAATATTTACTTTTGAATAACCGAAATTTTTTTAAACTATATTGAATAAAGTATTTTATCCTTGAACGAAAAATAAATAAATAATTTCGGTAAATAAAAAAAAATCATCACTGAAACGAAGTTTTAATAAAATTTTTCCTCATAATTAAAACCTACTAGAGATAACTTGTTGAAAAATTTGGTAGTTATAAATTTTATTAAAAAATGCAATGAACGAGCTTTTGATGTTTCAGTTGCATTGCTTGAGTATGAATTATCGTAAAAAACACTGCGATCAAGTGAATTTATCTCGCAAAGCAATTAAGTAGTATCTACTTTAAAGATAGATATAATTAGTAAATTTTATAGTTTAAGGATTAAACTCCAAGCTACATTTGGCATACAAGTCAGAGTATAAATCAAAAGAAGTTACATAAACTGGACTTACATGAAAGTTTACTTTGATTTGAACATACACATGGAAATTTTCATTTACTACAATTCTACAACTTGATAGTATATTCCTAAATTGTTGATTCAAAAATAAAACATAACAATAATAATTAAATAATTAACAACTTAATTTTAATCATAAAATACATTAACCTAAAATCAGCCCACTTTCACAAACGTAATAATGTTAATAAATCTTTCATTAAAAATTTCGGTTAAAGATAATTACCAATATTCCATTTTCAAAATAACATATTCAGTGTCAAAGTGAGAATTGAATTATTATCTAGTTGTATTGATATATTTTTTATGAATAAAAATGACAAAATTCATATTGTCAATTACAAAAGATTTTATAAAAAATTCTGCTGTTGAATTCAATAATTGTACAATATGTAAATAAATGGATTTGGTGTCGATATTAATGAATGTAAAGAGTCGATAATTGGCTTTGTTAAATAAACTACTGTATTACATTAAAAATAATTAAATATTACTAGGATAAGGCTTTTAAATGAAACCATGGAAATATTTGAATTAAATTGGTTTCATTTTGGGCATTGGCAATGTTTTTTTATATAGATATACTTTTGAATAATATTTAGTATTTATGAGAAAAAATGAATGAAGGCTGATTTTAAGTTTTAAAAATGGTTAATGGTTAAAAACATTCTAAAATATTTGTCTATTTTTATATGTTTATGCAGATTGTAAACAAAAATGTAGATTGCAAAAGGTGTAATAAATCCGAAATGTAATAACAATGCTAGAATATTTCTTTAAAACTAGTTACTGCCAATTGTTATTGTTATTAAGATTATTATAATTATTAATTGATTTCTATTGAAAAATTTTGAGATAATTTTTTTACTTTATTATTTATCATCTAATTTTTTATTTAAATATAAAATAGTACTTGTTACACAATTTTTGTTGTTATTCTTTCTAAAAAAAAAAGACAAAGTATGATTGGTCAAACGTTATAAAAAAAAATATTATTTGTTGCACTGCATAATTATTAGCACATCGAGCAACAAAAATTCTTTGAATGTTTGACAGCCGTTACCGGAAGTCTATATATTCTATAACTAAAAAAATTAAATAAACATTTATTTTAAGAAGAAATTATCTTCAAGGTAAGACGCGTCAATATAAATAAGAGGAAAAAACATCTCGATAATTATTATCTAAAATTTTCAATAAATAATATGAATAAATAAATTTAAAAAAATGGTATTAAATTAGAAGAGCATATTCAATTTTTCAAAAGTGAATGATAAAAATTTGAAAGAAACGTAATCAATAATTTATAAGATATGAGTGACTATTTTTTATAGAAAATAATTACTTAAAAATTATTGAAGCGAGAAAAATCAAGTCGAAACAGATAACGCAATAATGTATTCTATAAGTATAAGATGAAGTCACGTGATTGCCAACAGAATCTACGGACCTTCGACGGAAAATCTAAATCTGTCCTCGTAAGAGTCAAGAAGAACGAAGAGTCTGTGAAGTGAAGATCTATAAGCCTTCTGAAAATTCAACGTGATTTTAACTCATTGTGTATTCAATCATCTGAATTATTTAAATTTTAATTGAATCACGACTTACTTGTTTTAATTTATTTCGCCTCATTTTTTGTATTTTTCATTTTCAATATTTTTACAACAACCTCGTCATATTCAACATGATTCATGTAGACGAGTCAGACCCAGTTGGCGGTAAGCTTTGTATATCATTTTTATTTTCATATTTTTTGCAAGTGAATTATAATACAAAAAAAAGCATTTTATATCACAAGTATCAAGAAGTAATGTAAAATGCATTGTGTGCTTTTCATTAAATTCCAGAAATAGAGCCCGCCTTTCCATACAGAGATGTAACAGTAAGGCGCGAAAGTAATTTTACTAATAATTATGATTTGGAATTAGAACTCGGTCGGTGAGTATTTCTATAAAAATAAATACACCATATCCTCTTTAATTACATTTTTAATTATTTCTCAAGATCTTTTGTTTCTAATTAAATGACAAAAAATCAAATCATTTTGAAACAAACTAAATTTTTTCTCTAAACCACTACATTGTTTTAATTTTATTTATTTATAAATTTATAAATTTATTCTTCTAAATAAATACAAAAAAATTAATTTAATTTCCATTATTTCCAAATTCATTAAAACAATGAATTTATAAAAAAATATTTGTTAGCTTAAAACATATGCATACATTGAATGTGAATAGAAATAAATAAATAAATGAAGTATAAGGTTATGCGTTGATATTAAAAATTTTAATAACAATAGCTCTGATCAGCTGTAACAGTGGGAAATAATGTACTTAGTATACAATCAAGGTTTTTTGTCTATAAATAAATACACGTGAATTAAACAGTATCAGTACACATCAAGTCACGTTTGTGTATCGTTTTATCTACTGTTGTAGTAGAATGACACTGACATACAACGTGCCAATTAAATACCTTTTTGGCATCTTGACATTCTCAAAATTTCATTCTTGACATACCAATGCAAATAGATATACATTAGTAAAAATATTTTAGTGGGAAATTCGGAACTGTTTATCTTTGTAAAGATAAAAGGAATGATCTCAGATTAGCGGTTAAAATAGTAAATATCACGAAAAAAGAAGACAGAAGATCTGTTGAAAGGGAAGTTGAGATTATGAGACGATTACAGCATCCACGACTTATACAACTTTATGATGCTGTTGATACAAAAAAGCAGTTTTATGTTGTTTTGGAATTGTAAGTAAATTTTATCATTTTATGTTACTAAATTTTTTAATTCCTCAATTGTGGGGCTTAAAAGTGGCTTTTGTCATTTTTATTAGTTTATTTTCAAGGGGATAGATGGTAGTCAAATGGAGGGAAACTTGCATTCAATAAATGGTTACTTTAAAGGATTCTTTTATTGATGATAATAATAATACCCTTGTGTAGAATAAATTTTTCTATAAAACATCCATTTTATTGTTTATAAAAAAAAGTCAGGTACTTTTTTTTATTATTTATCATTATTGTCGTTTATTATTTGTGAAGTAGAAGTTCAGTAGATATCCAAGATGTTTTGCAAATTTTTCAGTCGATCTGCATTATGAGTAGTCCAGTCCTGGTCAATTTACTGGAATGATAAAAAAAATTTTTTTTTCCTCTATTTCAAATCTACATTCAGAGGAGAGTAGATCGAGTTATAGTAAAGCTTTTTGTTTATTTCCAATGTTTCTTTTTCAGAAATGTAGAAAATAATTTATATGTCAAGACTCATGAGTTCTCAGGCAACATTTCAGTCTGTCAGTATTTTTTATTTAGAAAAATGTTGCTAAAAAGTAAATATATTTTCGAATATATTCCATGAACGTAGGAGAGAATAGATCAAAAGAATAGATTAAATTCTGAAAAAATTTTTTTATTGTAAAAAATAAATCCTAGTTGAACTTTTATGTTTATTGACTGGTCTCGATATTATTTTACTTATTCTCACCGGTGTAGTTTCTTTTTAGATCTTCATTTTCCTTTTCACACAAATCAGAAAAATTTTTCCACTAATCTTTGAACCGTTGAACTGATAAAATAATCAATAATTATTATTCCATGTGACCACGAAGTCTGTGATTAATGATTTCACGTTATTTCCTGTAATACTCATGGTTAATAACGTTCAATTATTGTAATGGAATAGAATCTATTATTAAATAATGGAATAAATTTTGAGAATAATGAGCTAATAAAAGTAAACAGATATTTGTAAATGGGTTATAATCATATTTATTACATTCATTATCTACAAAACTATTGAAAAATTTCAGCCCCTATTTTTAAGGATAATATTACGATGCAATTTTTTTCTTGCATTATATTATCCCAGAATCAGCATATTTTTTGTATAAAAATGCATTCGAATGAACTTCTATGAACAAATATCACAATAAAATTTTAAATTCAGCGGATTATGATGAATCAAAAAAACATGTTATTATAATTGACGTGAATTTCCCTACTCTGGTAATTACTATTTATTGATTATTTAATTGTCAATAAAAGAATTCCTTTGAAGATGTATTTTAATTGAATTCATAGAAAAAAAAAACTTAAAAAATGCTTATTTAGATTTAGTTTAAAAATCTTTAATTATGCAGTACAAGTGTGACTAAATGAATTTGTTATATGACAGTTTTTTATTTTTTTTTCTTTTGGTGTCAATAGGATTGAAGGAGGTGAGTTATTTGAACGTGTAATAGATGATGATTTCGTTCTTACGGAACGTAGTTGTGCAGTATTCATGCGACAGATTTGTGAAGGCATAGAATTTGTACATTCACAAAATATTTTGCATCTTGATTTAAAGGTTTATTTTGATTTACTTATAATTATTTACTGGGAAGTTGCCAAATTTTGTTCTGCCTAATTTCATGTTTCTAAAATTTGCAAAAAATTCGAGAGAAAACTAAATACTTGTCAGCTTAAAATTACTCGCAGTAAATTAACAAATGTAGTGCAGTTGAAATATTTTAACATATTTCAAAAGCTACCGTATATTTCGTTCTATTTAATGCTTGTTTAATTCATTTTTCCTCACTTCATTAAAGGAGAAAAATTGTAATTAATGAATAAGAGAATAATTAATAAATAAAATAAAAGTAGATAAAAGACTCTTGTTATTATTTTTTAATTTTTTAACGTAAAATTATAATGAGTATCTTCTTTATTTTAAAATCTATATTATAAAAGTTAAGTAATTTTACGTATTATGTTGTTAATTTACTGACCATCAAAGTAATTTATACTTTATATCATTATACAACTTTTTATCGTAAAAGTCTGACATATCCATTTATAGTAGTTAATTCTTTATGATTGAAAACAATGTTACAATGAGCTTTTTCTTTTTTTTTAGAAAAATATTTCTATTAAAATGACGTAAATACTAAAATAAAACATGCAGTATTTTATTTTGCATGAATTTTTTGTGTTGTATATTCATCAAAAAATCAGTATGGGTAAAGGATTTCTTTATTAATGAAAAAGGGTAGACGATAACGAGATTTGGCAATTTGAGTTCATACAGGAAAACTAGGGACAAGATAAACGTTTTAAGAAAATTAAAAATATATATAATTCACAAGTTTAAGTACTTTATTTACTTTAAAAAAATTTAAAGTTTGTCATATGAATAATTACGTTTTAATCTTTATGTTTAAAAAACTTTAAAAATATAAATAATATTCACATTAATACTTTTATTGAAATAATTATTGTTGTTTTTATAGAATGATTATTCAATTACATACATGGGTGTATGAATAATTTAAATGATTATTAGTACCCTTTTACAACTCCAATAAAATTATCCATAGTACAGTTCGAGATACTGTGTTTTTGTATGTTTCAATATTATACAATTTATCTTGCCTTCAGTTTTTCACACTCATATAAAATAAATTGAATTGAGTCTTTATAATTTGAATAATTTCCACCAATCATTTTATCAAATTATTAAATCATGGAATTTTCAACTGAATCTATTAGTTATGAATTGAAAAGACATTATTCAAACTATTGAAAGAACTATATTTAATTATAATTAATAATAATAATAATTATTATTATTACTACAATATTTTAAATAATTGAAAAATAAGCCGAAAATATTTCAATCGATAATAATAATTATGTTTTATAACAGCCAGAAAATATATTGTGCTTAACCAAAGAAGGCAATAGAATAAAGATAATAGACTTCGGCTTAGCAAGACTCTACGACCCGAAAAAAAAATTACAAGTATTATTTGGTACACCGGAGTTCGTGGCGCCTGAAGTGGTCAATTTTGATGAAATTGGATTTGGCACAGATATGTGGAGCATTGGAGTTATTTGCTACGTTTTGTAATTATTTTTCTCCTTAACAATGCATTTTTATACTCAATTATCCGATAACATGATAAAAATTTTTGCGTAAGCAACATTTGAAAAATTTTCCTCATTTTTAATGAACTAGTTCATTATTAATGAATAAAGATTCATTCATTAATAATATTAAAATTTCTTAATATTCTAAAGTAATTGGGTTTAAGAGTAATTTTTATTCAATTAACGATAGTAATGTTTACGCAGAAATAATCTTCATGTGTAAATTAAATTACAATAGAGCTTAATTTCCATGTTTCATTAATTATTCTTTGTTCATAGACTGTCCGGATTATCGCCGTTTATGGGTGACACTGACATTGAAACAATGGCTAACGTAACAATAGCAAAATATGATTTTGATCATGAAGCTTTTGCTAACATATCGGAAGAGGCTAAGGATTTTATTCGTTGCCTCTTAGTCAAAAATAAAGAGTGAGACTTTTTTTAAATTATTTTTATCATATCATTTTTATTCTTTTAAAATATTTCTTAAAAAGTATTTTATTTCAATCATATCAATTTTCATCTATTAGTTGTTAGTATCACAATCATCAATAATATCCGTTGTAGATGAAATGATAACAATAATAATATTAATATCCATAACAATAACAATATTAATAATATTTTTGATTTGCTATTATTCATTTACTTATTTTTTTTGTCTTTCGTGACTCGATAGAGCATTAACTTATTTATTATTTTGCATTTATTATTACACTGTTGAATATCGTTATATTTTTTAATTTTCTGGAAAAAAAGTGATACATTGATTTCGATTTAAAATAAAATAACTACTTACAAAAAAATTTTTGAATGGTTACAAGAATTTTCTGGTTGTATTGAGAAACACATAACACCAATTTGAATGTGCTTTTAAAAATGTATCGTAGTGATGAATAAATATTTCTTTTTTTCTTTTAAAATGTCGAAAAAAATTTAAAAAAACGAACATTTTAATTTATTAACTGTAACAATGTAATAATTCCAAAAAATGTAAAGAATCGAAAAAAAAAGGAAAAATCGAAATTGCAAAATTTATTTAATTTTTAATGAATAGCTCGATATTTTTGGTGTATTGGAGAGGTTCAAATAAATATTTTGTAGTCGTTTCAGAAACTTTCAATAGAAGCTAATATGAACTTCAATAGAAACAACAATAAACATGATACACAAAAGATATTGAAGAATAATAAGTAGAGTGAAAAATTTTTACTTTTGTTTTTGAAAAAAGTGTCAAATTTTGAAATTTATATAACCTTTATCAACAAACCTCAAAGAATAAAAGTTAAATAACTAAAGTACAATATTCTTTTAAATAAAAGTTTGCAAATAAAATGTTATTTAAAAGTCAATATCATTTTTTGTTTATTATTCTGATATTTGAACAAAAAAAAATGCTATAAGTTTAAATAATGTTTGTTTTTTCCTTTTAAACATGACATATCAGCTTTAGTAGCCAATGTATCACTTATATTGATTGAAATATAAGAATTTATTGCAAAAAATATTGACAACAATAACGATACTCAACTATAATAATTAGTCAAACAGCAACATGCTTTATTTCGATGATCACGACTAACTTTTCAATTAAAACGTTTATTATACCCAAAGGACAAAATCCCCAATAAAGTACAATCTATACAGAGAGCACGAAAGACATAAAATCAGTGATAAACTTGATGAAAATGAAGTTTAGGTTAAACAAATATTTACAGAAAACGTGGAACGGCCAGTCAATGCCGCAATCACCCATGGTTAATTCGGAAAAAAGAACAACGAACTGCAAGCTTCAAAAAAAAAAAGCAACTTGAAGAAACACAATTATCAAATTCCAAACAATCGATAATATCACCAATTAAAAATGATACCAAGAATAAAGGCATTAATAAAAAACAACAAGTACCTGAAAATAGTCTGAAAGGCAATAATGAGCTAGATGTAACCAAAGACAATTTAAAAATATTTGTTGAACGCTGGAGAGATCATCCAAATAGTCCATACATGATGGAAAATAATTCACCAGATTTAGATTCACTAGCAATAGCACGGAGTTCACATCAAGTAAGTGGTTCCGTGTCACTACGAGGTCAAAGTCCATCACCACCTGAAAGTATTTGTAGCTTCACATCAGAAATTTCAGAATCATCATCTCTATTTGATAATAATTATCGTGATAACAACAAGTCATCATTCTTGGATGTCGTTGGTTTTTCTTGTTTTGATCGTCGAGCATCTGAAGGATTTACAACTAAATCCGACTTCCTACATCAATCACAGCAATACCAGCAGCACTATTCCGTACCAAAAGATCAGTTATCAAAAATGCTACTTGCTGAGAACATCATAAAACTCTCTGATCAACTTAGATCACAGATTTATATCACATCAGCTGATAAAACTACTGACTCTACAGAGAATCATCGTTGTGAATCAATATCATCAGTATTGTCAACAACTGGGAAGTCAAAATTAAGCATACCAAATAACAACGCAAAAGGATCTAGTAGTGTTATAACAAGAACAAAAACAACTGAAAAGAATTCTATTGTTCAGAATAAGCAGAATAATAATCAAGTCAATGAAATAACGGAAAAATTGATGTCGTTGAGTAGAAACAGGAAATTAAATGGTACAAAATTTAATGGTAATAAAAGTTATGATGAGCAAAAGACAGTAAATAGCACAGGATTCACGCAAATGAAGCCATCAATTAAAATAACTGATGCAGAAAATAACAATCAAAATATAGATTTAACACCACCATGGAGAAGATCTAAAATTAAGCACCGTTTTAGTGAAACATGTCGTGATGTACCACGAATTTATAGTTTACAAAATATACACAAAAGTATAACTCTAGATGAGCAAGCTACAAGTGCTAAAGATTTGCTATTACAATTACTAGATGTGTGGGAAGAGAAACAAACAATGCAATTAGGTGTACGCAGTAAATCTATCAGCATTGACAGAAGTGATGAAGAAAGTATTGCTAGAAAATCAATTAATACACTAGCTGAATATTTTCAATCTGTCCAACAATGTAACAAACAACCTATCGATACTGATAGTGATGATTGACTTGAAATTCTAAAACAATCATTGGATTCAATTTATCATTGATTTTAATGATCATAATAGTAAAAACAGCAATAATAATATAAAATAATTCATGCGTCTGTGGATGCTTGAACATGCGAGTAATTTTAATACTTAATCAATTTAATATTTAGTCAATCATTGAATCATTACTCACATGTTATTAATTTAATTGTCATCTCTAAATGACTCAATAAATAATAATTAAAGAAGTATTTACTTCGAATTATATCAAATATCAGTTATGAAATAACTCAATATCATCTATTAAAAATATGTACAAAAAGAAAATGCATATTATTATTGATAAGTCGGTTTGATTTCAGTAAAAGACCACGTGCTGGTCCACTACAGGAACATCGATGGTTCGCTGCAGCTTTGGATAATCCCATTTCTAAAGTAAGACTTAAGAGATATGTTATTAAAAAGAGGTGGATTAAAGCAGTGAATACCATACTTGCACTTCAACGAATGGGAGCACATATTAAGTTTGACCTTGCCTGAATTTTTTCATTGATTTTATTATGTCAAATAATTCTGGGTATTGAGATTTTTTTCTATTTTCGACTGTTACAATAAAAAAAAATTGTGCATTGATTGGAGAGCTCAAGAATAAAAAATAACACTTACCTAGGTTAATGATGAGTTTTAATTAAATTCGAGATAAAGTATTGAAGTGACAGAAGAATAAAAAGAAGTACAAATATAATAATACATATTCTTGAAGTGATGTTGAAAAATAATTATATATTTTTTATTTTAAAAAAATATATGAAAAAAAATGTTTTTGAGCTTTTCAATAAAAGTGTATCATTGATGAGTTACACAATGATTATATTCATAAGTCAATTTTGAGAAGGAAACTATTTAAGTATTCTATGTTCCAATATTTGTTAACGAATAATTAAATGTCATACTATAATTGATCATATTCTCTTTCTATTGTTTTGAAGTTATACAAATGTGTATATATCTATATAAAAAATTAATAAACAATCAATATACTTTTACTTTATAAATATCAATTAATTAATTCACAACTTTCTTGTACATTTAAGGTAATTAATCAACGTTTCAGATTGTATGAATACAAATTCAACTATGCATTAGTAATATATACTTTTTTTACAAGTAATTTTCATATACTATATTTTTTTAAAAATATTTTCCAACTGTTATGGATGGTTTATCGATTCCAAAAATTATAAAAACTTTTATCATAAGAAAAAATAACCAACGTCATAATTATCGACACTTGATAAATTAAATCTTCAAACCTACTGTCGATAACATAGGTTGAATTGTTTTGCTGTAAGGTTAGGTTTGTTTAGAATGTAAAAAGAAGTCAGTTTCCATCATAAATAGTAGTTAAAATTAAAAATATTATAATTTCGTTTTTTATCTAATATCATTCTTTTATTTTGGTAAGAAAACTAGTTTACAGAACATCCAATATTATTGATCTTGCTATTTTTAAACAATAAACAACAAAAATCTCCCATCCATCACCATCCACTGCACAAAACATGTCTGAAGTAAACATAGATTTTACCATTTATGAGCATTGAAGAAATAGAATTTGAAACAGGAAATGGTAGCTGTTAAATGGTAGTTAATCTGTCAGTAAAAATGTCGAAAGATGTGATGAAAAATTGGAGTCCCTATGCAAAAGTTTATGAACCTCTTAAAGCTGGAAGTATTGATGGTACTGATACAGAACCTCATGACAGAGCTATTACACGTGCAATTAGGTCTTATTATGCACCTCCACCGCAGTTTGCTTGTAAATCAGTACCATCACGTACGCTATTTGTTGCTCGATTTAGTCCCAAAACTACCAAACAACATTTGATTGAGGTAATACACGTACAACATGATATATGAATTGAAAAAATTCATTAACTATGTTTATTTATTATAGCTATTTTCAACGGTTGGTGAAGTAATATCAGCCAAAATAATCGTTGATATTGTAACGGGACAGTCTCAGTGTTATGGATTTGTTGAAATGTCTACTGATGATGAAACTAGAAGAGCTGTTAGACGATTAAATGAGGCCAGTTTAAAGGGGTATAAGATATTTGTTGATTTTGAATGTGGAAGAACTATGGAAGGTTGGAAGCCTAGAAGATTAGGTGAATTTTTTAGCTATGATTTAATTGTTCAGAAATTTTGTTTAATAAACAAAATTTAAATCAATGAACTCATCATTTTTACTGATTACATTATGTTGATACAAATGCATTGTCTAATTAATCTATAAGTTTTTTTATATATTAATTACTGTTTACTGTAATGAATTATGAATTAGGTGGAGGTTTTGGTGGAAGAAAAGAATCTGGTCAACTAAGGTTTGGAGGACGAGATCGACCATTTAAGAAGCCTATCATAACTAATATCAAATCCAATCAGAAGTGATACCACATAGTAAGAATATTATATTACATATCTATCATAAATATCCAATGTCTGATCTAACATTATACGGACCATAAACTTCATTTTTTCAAAAACTCTAAACGTCAGAGAGAAAATTTATTTGTACATATGTCTTGCCTAGATCAAAGTTAACCAAAAAAAAAGTATGTGGCACTATTTCAATTCTAATGTAAAATAAAACTTAATTCAATTTTCTAAAAATTGTTGTGTATTCCCGAAGCTCCGAAATAATTATTTATCTCGCTTGGAAGTTGACGAAAATAGTTTGAGTAAAAGATGATGATGTTATATTAATGTTAGCAGTAGGCTTGAAGAAAAGTGGATGAGAATGGTAGAGCTAGAGGTGGAAAAAGCTGAAGAAGTTGCAGTCTATTATTAACCGAGCTAAGCACGAAGAAGGAAAGGATCATATAAACGCACAGATATAACTGTGGATACAGGGTACAGAGGACAGAGGCTTCAGAGCCGCTTTAGTTGTCGCGGACTCCACATTCCACCAGAAAGCTTTGTAGCGTTCACGCTTGTTTCCACCAGTTCAACTCAACGTTGACTGTTCTTTTTTTTGGTGAAGTGTAAGTTCTTTTCAAAGATTTATTTCATTCCTTATACTGTAATACATTCACAGTGCAGTGATATCATGAAAAAATAATTCAAATTTCAAAAATTAAAATATCTACAGGAATAGCAAAAATTCTTGAATAATTATTGAAGTGAAAGACACTTTATAATGATAAAAATCCATCGTTAAATCGACTACGGTTTTTAATTCTGTGTATTCGAATACATAAACAGTGTTTTTAACAAATTAAAATCCTAAGTGACTTATCTTCATTGATGAAGAAATAAATAGAAAAATACAAATAATAAAACAGATAAACCATCATAAAAATTTCTACAAATGTAGTTAATGGATGGGATTATTATTAATAAGATTGAAACGATATATTTGTTACGTCTAGAGTTGATGCTAGATTTGTATAATTGTCGGTTATTTAATTTTATTTTGGTGCTGCTGAATATAGAAACGAAAAGAATTTTTTAAAAATAAAAAAAATTATAAACGCGGGTGAAAAGAAGCAAAGAGAAGGGGGATAAGTAAGAATACCGGGGCATGTTGGTTAAAATTAGATTAACGACGTGTGGATTGAAAGGAGGAAGGGGGAATCGGAAGTAGATCTCGCCTTTTACAGCATCACCGCTATGTACAGAACATCAAACTTAGATTGCCTCACCGTATCAAATTACATGTCAATCATCATAATAATATTACAAACAATATTATTATTATCGATTGATAGACCACAATTCTAGATATTCCACTGATTTACCTTTTAATTATCTTCCATTTAATACAATAAAATATATCTTCTGTTTATTTGGATTTTTTCAGTTAACTCAGCAAAACCGCAACCATGTCTGACGAGGAAGAATACACGTGAGTATTAATTTTTTTTATTGAACAAACAAAAAAAAAATTAGGTATTTCAATTATTATCAAGTTTATTATTGATTAAATTTTATAGTCCTTTGAATGTTACTTGTTATGTGCATTTTGCAATTTTGTTATAATTACCAATTGAATGATTTGTCTATAAATTTCCCTAATGTTATAGTCCCTATGTTATTAATTATTTTTCATTATTGTTGTGTTCTAATTAAATAATTGTGTCATTTTATTTTCGTTATTTCAGTAGCGAAGAGGAGGTCGAAGAAGTGTAAGTTTGTTACTAAAAATAACTTACAAAAAATTACTTATGATAAATGTACCTCAAACCCTCTAACTAATTTTTATTTTTTTTTTGCAGGAAGTAAGTCAATTCTTTTTTTGAAATATCTACTCCAATTGTTGATAAGAAAAAAATATTAATTTTTACAAAAAAATTATCAAGACATTGAAAAATCAATTATTGTATTGATATTGATTAATATTTACATTTTATGTCTGGTAATCTATCAAGTTTGTTAAACTTTTCATGAAGTTTTAACTTTTGAAAATCGATCGCTGAAATAAGTAATTAAATTATTCCATGATAACACAAAGTCATGAAGTGAAAACTTCGATATGACTTAAGTTTATAGCACAATCATTAATGATATTTACTTTTATAAGGAATAGAATTAAAAAGAACGTATTTTAAATTAAGTTATCGAAAAATTTTTTAGCTCGGTAAAATGTTATTTAATTAAGCCAATTACTGACTCTGATCTTTCTTTGTCTCTTTGTTTCTTTCATCATCATCAACAAACGAAAAATGAAAACCATGAAATAAATTTTAACAATCAATTGTAATGAATGAATTGAAAATGTCTGATTCAACTACGACGTCTATCTCACTTTTGATGAATTGTGAATTACGACTTTCATTCATAATTAAAGGCAGCCGGAGAAAAAAACCGAGTAAGTTCTAGTTCGTCTGTCATTTTGGCTTATTATCGATTTTCTTTTTAACTTGTTTTCTTATGATTTACTTTTCTACATTACAATTGATGCTTCACTTATTTAATATTATTATTTTATGTATTATTATAGCAATCTTTATTATGTTAACATTAATAAATTATTACTTTTTTATTATGTGCTATTTTGCAGTATATATGTATATGATTTCATATATTTTTTCGCAGTATCTATATTTTTCTCTTTTACTTGTTATATTGCTGTATTTTTTTGATTTCTACACTGAGAAAAAAATGTTCTAATAATAATTTCACTATTGCGTTACACAACAATAATTTTATCTAAATAACTTACAGTTATTAAAGTAATTTCATTGTCAAGAGAAATTTTTTTCTCAGTGTATTTTATTTTCTATGTTTTATTATGTTTCATTTGTTTGAGATCAAATTAAGTATATAATATATTACAGAAGAATATGCCAAAAAGCGAGAAAGCATTGTGCAATAAATTATTGCCAATAGAAAGCTCTAATGCAACTATGTTGCCACATAGTCCAAGAATTATTCAACAGGTTTATTTTAACCCGTCAGATTGGTTGTCTCTTGAAACTTTTTTTACTTTTTGACATGTTCTTAAATATCTCAATTTTACTATTCTCAATACAAAACCAAAATTATTCACAAATACAAATATAATGATTTTGAAAATTCACAAGGAATCATTGCAATTTAGCCACTCTATTACTAGTGTCTCTACTAGTACTATACTATGAAGCAAAAACTTTTACATTCTTCTGTAGATGATGACTAATTATCATCACTTTTTCAATAGAGAAAAAAGGGGAAACCAAAAAAAGCAATAATGAATAATTGATAAAAGAAATATTTTTTTCAATCAATTCGGCATCTCTATCATATCTTCTTCATATTATTCTGAATATAAGATAAATTGGAATTGTTCTTCATCAACTATTTCTAAATAATTGAAATAATCAACGTAAAGTAGTATACGCACTAAACTAGCTTTTTTGGTCACATCTACAATCATAAATCTACTTTATTCTCTTCTATAATAACAAGTTCATATTAATCGTTTGCTTTCTGTCTTTTTATAGGGGTAGGGCATCCCAAAAGTAAGTTCAAGTTTGTATTACATAAATAAATGTTTATATACATATGAATGTATATGTATACGTATACATATCCACACATATGTATACATAAAAATTAATAATCATTTATTAATATTAATAAAAAAAAAAAAAAGCTCTGAAATAATTCATTAAATTTTTTTTCAGCTACGAAATAATTTAATAAAAATAACCTTGCAGTAATTCTAACCCGCAAATAATACCGTGGATGGGAAATTACCGGAAAACTTTTTTAATCATGATGATTATTACAAAAAATGTTACTTCCATGATAAACAGTAAAAACTGTACGACTTGTTCAGAATGAATTTAATTCCCCAATTGTACCAAGCTGGCTATATTCGTTCAGACCTTTACCATTTTGAAATTTGTTTTAAATGGAAACAAACAGAAGTCGTACTTGATTAACACCTTTTTGTTCCCTTTGTAAACTGTAACTATATTAACTGTTATCGTTCTGATTATTATGTGGTTATTATATGTATTTACCACCCTTCATTTTCTCTTTTGTTCTATGTTGTTGTCTATTGTGATCTCATGATAACTTCAGCCCTACTGATGTAAATTATTGCTTTTTTTTATACATATTCGTCTATTTACACTCAATTAACATTTAATTGGTTTTGTTTTTAATCATGTAATAGAGGATGTTTATTAATACATTTCTTTTTCATGTGACCGTCAATCCAGGGAGGGAGATAATCCCGAGTTTATGAAGGTATGAAGAATTTTTATGATCATTGATGAAATTTAAAACAAAATTGGATGGAAGTATTAATTGCTACTAATTGAATTTTCATCTTAACAGAGACAAGAACAAAAAAGAAGTGATCTCGATGAACAACTTAAAGAATATATTATGGAATGGCGCAAACAAAGAGCCAAAGAAGAAGAAGAACTCAAGCGCCTTAAGGTTGGTGTTTTTTATTAATCAATCATTTCAATAAGTTTGATATTGTAAGGAAGAATTATTTAATTATCATGTTTAACAATTTTTTAGGAAAAACAAGCCAAACGTAAGGTTAGCCGGGCTGAAGAAGAAAAAAGACTCGCCCAAAAGAAGAAGGAAGAAGAAGAACGTCGTCAACGTGAAATTGGTAATTACTTTAAAATTCAATATATTTAATAATCTCGTTTTTACATTTACTAATATATTTATCTTTATTGTAGAGGAGAAAAAACAACGTGATATCGAAGAGAAGAGAAGACGTTTGGAGGAATCTGAAAAGAAACGTCAAGCTATGATGCAAGCAATGAAAGACCAAAGCAAAAAAGGTCCAAACTTCACAATTACCAAAAAAGATCTTGCAGTAAGTATTGAATAAATCGTATAATTTCTTGAAAATCATGATACAAAACGAAAACAATTGTTTACCAATTAGTATGCTCTCATTACTTATTGGAGCATAATAATAAAAATATGACAAGTATATTCAATGACTCAATTATTCAATTTTCAAGGGAAACATGTCATCGGCGGCATTGGAGCGTAATAAGACAAAGGAGCAATTAGAAGAGGAAAAGAAAATCTCTTTATCAATCCGCATCAAACCCCTAGAAATTGATAACTTATCAATTGAAAGACTTCGATCCAAGGCTACAGAATTGTGGGAAACAATTGTCAAACTAGAAACGGAGAAATATGACTTAGAAGAAAGGCAAAAACGTCAAGATTATGATGTAAGCTTTTCATGTTATTCTTCTAATTGTATTATGTCTTTATAAACAAAGACAATGCTTAATTCAAATATTTGTCCAATAGTTGAAAGAATTGAAGGAGAGACAGAAACAACAATTGAGGCATAAAGCTTTGAAAAAAGGTCTCGACCCTGAAGCTCTCACTGGAAAATACCCAGTAAGAATAAATCTATTGATTTTTTAAAATTAAATTATTGGAACTAATAATGAATTATTGAATAATTTTTTTTTTAATTTTTTTATTATAGCCTAAAATCCAAGTAGCATCAAAATACGAACGTCGTGTCGACACCAGATCCTATGACGACAAAAAGAAACTATTTGAAGGTGTAAGTATAAATAACTATCTATATTCAAAAATTGGGAAAAAAATTTTAAAAATAGAAGATCAAAAAAAAAGCAGAGTAATTATAAATTAGTATTGAATTAAATTAAGAACAAAAAATAAAAGTTTGGATATTTAAATTAAACTACAGGGATATGATACGCTGCTAGCTGAATACAACGAAAAATTATGGAAACAAAAAACAGAGCAATTTATGAAGCGAACAAAAAGTGAGTGACCGAGTAACCCCTAGATATGATGATCACGTAATGATTGTGATTTTTCTCCCCTTACAATGGATTAATTATTGTTACGATAAATTTCATTCATACAATTACCTACCGGCATGTCGATTCCCCTGTCAATCTAATGGCTGATGGTCAACATTACTGTTACTAATCTTTGAAAGTTATTTTTACAATGTTCTCAAAATATGAATTATAATAAGCTAGTGGGGCAAATATGAATTATTTATATAATCCTTGTGCAATGCAAAATAGTAGTGGTCCACATTACTAGACTAATCACAGAAGCAGACTATATTACAATACCCATCTATCTATTGCTCTAATGTTACCGTTGTACTATACATATATATATATATATAGGCCAGAATTACCCAACAAATCATGCTCGGCAATTAAAGAACTCAGATGTGACTTACGAAATACACTTAATAACTGATATATTAGCTTCAATGTACCTGAAAAGTACCAGGTTAATTAGTTTGTGTGCAATTTTTTTTACCCTCGCATGCTGGCCTCATTTCAGGGACTCACCGAGATGCTAAAGGAGACCAAGGAGAAGGAGTGGACCCAGCAAAAGGAACAATTCCTTGGTCGCCAGAAGAGTACGTACTCTTCGATGTGTTTTTTTTTCTTATTTTTATTAGCCTAATGTTTATCCATTAATAATCATAATATAAATTCATACAATTAATATTACTTGTATATTTTATATAAATAGGAATAGTTCATAGGCCTGTATAAGTTTAAAATATATCGAACAACCTTTTTTGGAGTGCTTTACTCCGAAAATTGAAGTGTTTTTGTGAATCATGATAAGATATTTGTCTTGATGATTTTATAGATTTTTAAACATGAGTTTTACTATTTTATCTTTTTAATTTAAACATCAAAGTATTTTCTTATTCATCATAAATAATTCTAGTGTAATAGAATAAAATTATTAGCAGGCTTCAATTCCACTGATTCAATTTAGTAAAAACTAGCAGATTTTAAATTGCACTTTATTTAAATTGTATATTTATTTACTGCTTTAATGCATAAATTATTATTTGCATTCCAAAATATTGATATAAATTCATTTTTCTTCATTCAAATTAAATTTCATTGTTTCTAGCAATTATTTATTTAAATTCATTGTTAATTGTGATTTATTTAAAAGTAACTCCTCCACAACAAAAATGAAACTGTTAAAAATATATATATTAAGAAAATTTCTCTGCAGGCCTATAGTATTTATTCTTTATATAAATAGCATTCTCAACTAAAAATAAATATATATTTATTATAAATATTCTATCTAGCGAAATTACCTAAATGGTTTGGTGAGAGACCGGGCAAGAAGAAGGATGACCCAGAATCACCGGAAGGTGAGGAAGACGTGAAAGCTGCTGCCGATGAAGATTTGGAACCAGCAATGGAAGAAGAAGAAGAAGAAGGTGAAGAGGAGGAGGAAGAAGAAGAGGAAGAGGAGGAAGAAGAAGAAGAAGAAGAAGAGGAGGAAGAGGAGGAGGAGGAAGAAGAAGAAGAAGAATAATTATGTCAATATTGATATATGTATCTGAAATGCATTATTATGTCAAAAAATATATGAGGAATCATTGTCATTTAACTAATTACTAAAAAATAAAATCCTTATAATATATTACCTTTGTTTATTTCCAATAATGCTTTAATTTAATTGTTACTCTTATTTCGTTTACATGTTTTCATCAATATCTATTTTATTCAATAAATTATTATTATCATGATGTTACTACTATAATATAAACATGTATACACAAGCAACAAATATATTAAAGTTTACTGTAATTTATTAGATTACTATGTGTCATAATTAAAATTTCAATATTTTTAAAATGTTTTTTTTTTGTTTTCAATATTTAATTGAATTTATTTCTTCTTGCTCATCTTCAAAACTCATTTCTTTTTTGTATGTGTACGTATGTGTATATGTTGAATTGCTACACCTACCATATTCAGCAGGTATAACGGTTACTAATATATTGCGTCAGACGATAGGAAGGAGATATTCAGCCAAAAGTTTACAAGTACAATTTTAACAAGGTATCAAATACTTAAAATAACATTGAGACTTGAATTATGTATGAGTGGTTTATAAACTAATAATAACATTCACTGAGATTCTATAACTCTACTACTAATGATATCAATACTTGATGTGTTTTGCTCTTGTAAATAATTATTATTCACTATTTTGTTTTGATTATCAAAACTTATTTAACAGATGGTTTGGTATTGTCAAGTGAATCAAGTGTATAAATACAAAAAAGTGAATGCAATTAATGATAAACTTATTTTTGCAGTTTAATGCCAATTTTTTCTTAAAAATAGTTTAGATAATTTTAACTGTGAATGTTTAAATAATTGAAGAAAAGGATTTATTAGAAATTTTCATTAATTTATATGTTATTAAATTAATGTTTAAATGTAGTTAAGTTAAAGATAATTGTTTTGTTTGTTGTTGAGTTACAGTAATGTTCTTTTGTGATGCTAGTGAGTTGTTTGGTCATGGATGAAGGATATGGTGAAAGATGTAAATCATCATGAGAATGAAAAAATATTATCAATGACAATTTACTCATGAGGTTAGTATATTATCACATGTATTTATACGCTAAAAATAAATAGTTCAATTTGAACAATAGATCAAATGAAATTTATACAAATTTAATTGTAAGACGTTTTCGTTTACGAAAATTCCATCTTTTTTGTTCTTAAAATCTTCACGTGTCTCGAGTAAATCACATTTAAACGGATTTAATAAATAAATGGCATTGTAGAAGAAGGTAAGGAGACTCTGTCGTTACTATTTAATAATAATTCGTGATATTAGGCTTCATCGAAACCCTAGAGCTAACTAATACTAGATTCTTTTATGTCAGTCTCATGTAAAATATGCGCGAATGAAGAAGAATAAAATAAAGAAAATAAATTCAAGAAAAAAAGAACAACTAAATCAAATATTGTTACTTAAACAATCATCAAAAAGTGTTGTATTGAATATTTCATACCAAAATTTGAGTTAATTAAAATTGTAAACAATGGCTAGTGAATCTACAGAAAATGATGTTGATCATGATCAAGAAAATGCTGATGGTGATGGAAAAGGGTAAGAATTATCAGTAGCTAATTGTCAATACTTATTAAAAAAAAAAATTACCTACAAACAATTATATTTCATTAGTTCTCATTAAACGTAATGTACTAGTGTTGGTATTTTTTTCTCATCAGTTTTTTTCATGACATTTAAATATATACATTTATAATTACGAGTGATTACTAGATGATTTAAACATTTAGCGAGTAAAAAAGAAAGAGAACGAAAGAACAAAGAGAATGAGAGAGCCTATAGTATGTAAAAACCGGTTACATATTACTTACCATAACATTAAGACTGTCCTTCGTTAAAACATTCAGTTTATTTTTCAAGCATGCTTTCCGTTGACTTCTTCTTATTCTCTGCAGCTGTAAACATATAGAAATAGTTATTAACAAATTGTCAATATTTAAAGTATACATATTTCCATTTGATTTTATAATTATTGAATATGAAATTAAAGAGTATAGATTGTTTAGTGTGTTTTAAAAAAAATAAGCCAATTAATCGTAATCAAATAATTCAAATTAATTCAACGTCTGAAGTTTATCGTAAAATCGAATTTACATGCGGTATTCAACCTGAATGTCTGTAAGTATCTCCAATAATATTAAAGTATAATGCTATTTACTCTTGTCAATCAGTAGTGTATATAAATATTTAATAGTAAATAACTATATAAAAATTATTTCGAATTACTTAATAAAGCTTTTTAAATGTATATTTATCTTCTTAATGTATATAACATTTATAAATATTCTTGCAATTCACTTTTCAATATCATAATAATTTCTACCAACCTGACCACTATCTCTTATGTTAATTTTTTGCTCTTGACATTCATCCTTTTTCATGTTTTTTTTTGTTTTGGCAGTGAATGAGTGATGAATTTCAGAAAACACTCGTACAATCCCAGTGTCATCTTGATCAAAAACAAGAATTCTGAATGACGAACGTATTAATATTTAAATTTAAAAACAGATTAGATAAAGGATCATTCTATCAATGCAAAAAACGAGTAATTATACACTGATAACATTTTAGTTAGCACACTGCACATGCTGCACTAAACATGACAGATATTTGTAAAAAATAAAATAAATAAGGATGCCTACCATATCGGCTGTTGTCTCGTGTGGATTGTAGGTTACTATTTGGAATATCACCGGAGCTAGGACAGCGGGTACATTTCGCGGAAGGGACTAATTTACGATGCCGGGAAGATACTGATTCGTCAAGGTTTGACCTACAGTTTCACTTGTCAGCATAATTTTGTGAATGATTAATATTCCCTTTAATACCTTATATTCTTAGCACCTTTCATGTCTATGCTCACTTTCAGCATTGACCCTCAATTCATTCATTTAATTTATCAATATCATGTTATATTAATCATATTATATTGATAGAAAATTGTTGTGGGTGCGTTTATTTCCATAGTTTTTTTTAAAGTAATTGAATAGACTCCTTTTTTCAGTTTTTTTACTCATTATGAAAAGAATCAGATAGTTGATCGCTTAAATCAACAGCATCAACTAATGTAAGTATTAAATAACACTATATTATTCAGTGTTAAGAAGTTCATTAGTATTCTGAATAGTAATTTATGTTATAATTGACTTGAAGATCACGTCCATTAACAGTTTGTTTTGATACTTTTCAAAACATGAACGTATAATTATTTCACTTGATACACAGTTAGAATCATTGTTTTGTTAATAGTCTGAAAAGTTTACTTAGAGTTTTGGCACTGAAACTGTTGATTATTTCGTTAATAAATACATTCAGGAAACTTTATGGAAATAAAATGATAAGAAAGCAAGAATTTTAGCACATTGTGAATAAATATGACATTGTAACGCTTTCAATAAATCAAAGGTGACCTAGATATTCTATATATTTCTCTCAATTACATTTATAGTAAGCAATTAAAACTTTGAATATCATTCCAACAGGAAATAAAAATTTATCAGATTATTTATTAGGGGTTATTTGATATAAACTAAAAATAAAAAAGTAAATGTTGATTCTGTTTATAGAATGAATTTTATCAATCTTTGATGAAACCCAATATTTTTGAGTGTCTGAAAATTACATGATATATTTTTAAAACAAAGTGACATGAATTATTCATCTATGACCAACTGGTCACCTGTACATGTAGATTAAGAATAAAGCTATCACGAACAATCCATAACATGAGCTAAATAGAAAAATAAATGAATTAGCTAAAGCATTTTAGATATTTTCAGCTAAAACGTTTGCTTATTGATCTTCATTGTATTATGGTAAAAGCTATTGAACAAAATTAATCATCACTATTTATTACACTAATTCAACTTATCATGTTGGATTTATTCCATTCAATATTATGTAGTAGAGCCTAGCTATTCATAAACATCAAATAGTAATAGACTTACTATTTATAATGAATGTAATCCTGAATAGAACAGAATATTATTGACTCTTTATGAGAGTTAAATAAATGGGTATATCAGATTAAGGCAATTAGAATAAAAGATTAGATTGATATATTTCAAGCTATGGAAACATCCCTATTTAATCTAACTTTTACCTCCCATATGATAAATCATGAGATTATATTCTTACATAAATATATGTATGTACATATATATTTTCTGCAATAGATTGATATGTCTGCACATGCGTAACAATAGCAGGAGCGCTGTCAATTCACCTTCGACCCCGAGTCCTGAGTATAAAAAACTGACTACATAAATACTTTAAACAGATATTTCAACCATTTTTTCCGGTACAATAACATGCTCACTTATTTTTGTAAACTTCCTTTTTGCACTATCCACTAAATACACATTATTTGAATACTCAAGTGATATAAATTATTACTTTAGAAATTGCCATTTTTAGATATTCATTTAATTATTTTTACACTCATAAATAAATTAAATTCAATTCAATAATAAAATAGAAAAAGTTTTCTTTTAAGTAATTCTGTTATAAAAGTTAGAGTATATGAAAAAATAAAATATTCATGATAAAAGATATGGGTAATATAAGAATATGAATAATGGGAAAAACAAACGATCCGAGATAATAAAAAAAGAAGTAAGGGTGGATTTTGAGAGGGAGTAAAATGAAAAATATGAGGTGGAGGAGAATCAGCAATGGGAATTAAGTTGCTACGGGGCTGGAAGTAAAATTGGATGACTATGGATCAATGGTGATATGTTGTGTTGGTGGTAGTGGTGGTAGTTGGTGGTTGTGGTAGTAGTGACAGTAGTAGAAATAGTTGTACTCGTAGTGGTGGCAAAAAGCCGTAGTGGTGGTGGTGACCGTATTGCTCCAGCTACTGCTATTGCTATTGCTGATAGCACAAGTACTATTATATCGCGTAGTCTCATATGCTACATTATCGTAGTCACTTTACTTCATCACGACTGATTTGTAACACTGTGAAGTGAATACGTATTATTATCTGTAACATACCAATTATGTCAGTGGTAGACAGTGAAAACAATTAACTTATTTAAAATCATACATATTAGAAGAAAAAGTTTTGATTTAGTTGTAAACTTTTTTTTTAAATAACAAGTTTGAAAGATGAAAAAGAAAAAATTTTGATTTTTGTTTTTAAAAAAAATTTAATCAAGTGGTAAATATTTATCCTAAATTGTCATATCATGAATTTCTCAACTTGACAGTCATCGGTGTGTGTTTAAAACAAAATGCATAAACGTGTTAAATAATAAAATTGCTTCAGTATTATAATGCCGATTGTTATTTCAATTTTATAATACTATTATGTGTCATGAACGTTATCCAGGCGATCATTACATATCAAGAATAATTACAAATACAATAGAAGTGTGTTTACTCAGACTCTATTAAGTAAAATATAATATCTATTTTATTTAAATCTTTAAAAAAAATTCAATAATATTAATACTCCAATTTCCATTAAAAATTAATCCTAACAACCAATTTAAAAAAAAAAAAAGAAAAAAACAGCAGCAAAGTTCATGCATTATTAAGTGAACTTTTAATAAGCAGCACGGAAATTATATATCTTAAAAGACTTTTATAGGGACCAATATTAATTAAATTAAAAAGTAAATTATAATATTTACGTACAACCTTTGCCTATAAATATTAACTTTATTTGGAAGTAAAAAAGTAAACGGGGATCAACAAATGATTTTAATATTTTATATTTAACATCAAATTACTAATCGAAATTATTTTTATCAATTACACCTAAATGATAGTCAATTTGACATAAAATATTTTTCCAATTTTGGTGTTTTATTTAAGAAGAAAACAATCTAAATGATATCACCTTACACTTAATTGATGGTTACTAACAGACTCCATACATGTATTATTAAACAGCCAATGGAAGATATTAAGAGATTAAATAGACTTAAATTACTTACAATTATAACACCAGCAACTACAATTTGGATTTGGATTTGGAGAGACCACTAGGATGCAGAACATCAGCTGCGAATTAATCACAAAAAGTATCACAACAACGAAAAATGCGGAAAATAGAAATAATTCCGCAAAAATAATTAATATTCAACTACTTTACTTAATAATTAATATAATATTTTTAGTATTATTCAACAAAATCATCATATTTTTTATTTTGATGATTTATAATTTAATGCCAATCATTTATGAGTTTCATAGAGTTATGCTGGCGAATTTCAACGAATGCACTAATTTATTAAAAACATTGTTTGTATCACTTAAATTTTTTATTGATAATAAAAATTGTCGATTAATAGAGCGAGAAAAAAACGAAGAGAAAATCATTAGACAACAACGACATAATAAATTAAAATACGTGCTAAAGAATGCAGAAACTGCGCTCAACTTTCAAAAGGTCACGTACCCCAACAGGCACCGAGATGAAATCACAATTAAGTCTAGAGGTGCCGAAGCAAATACGATCAGCATCATTCGATGAAATACAATTAGAAGTAAAACGACAAACTGATGAAACGACCAAATATCAAGATTTAATGCTAATGAAAGCTAATATAACACCTTCTTCTTCACCGTCATCAACACGAGCGGATGCTAAAAAATCATCTACATTAAGGGTTCCATTACTTCAGAGTAGTCAAAAATCACAGTCATTTAGTACCTATGAAAAAGCTTCTCTTTTGTCTTCTACATCCTCCAGATTATCCATATCATCTTCTGGGTCACACAAGAATGATTCTGTATTGCAACAACAAGACTATTGTCATCATTGTGTATGCGTGAGAGAATCTAAACAATTACTTTCAAGAAAAAAACGCACTAAAACGGAGCAAGAAATTTCTGCATCTTCAAATGCCGGATTAACAGTTAAAATTAATGATGATAATGAATATGATGATGCCAATGATGATGATGAAGATGATGATGATTTTAGTACTGATAGTGACGATAGTATTGATGACTATGACATTAATGACTGTCAGAATGTCATCGATAGTAAAACTGCTGATTGTATTGAGACTCAAGGAGATAATAATCAAGTTGATGAAGAGGAACGTGTTCGTGAAGGTAGTCCTGAAATCCGGGTAACATTAATAAATTTCGATAGACAAGTATCTGAATTTTATGGCAGCGATGTTGGTAGTGTTGATGGTGGTGGTAGTTCCGATGATAGTCAGATAAAAGTTGAATTTATTCCTGCCGAAAGATCACGACGATTATCACGTCAAGAGGCACTCACATCATTTCCAATTAATTTGCCATCAATTACTGGAGTAACTGACACTGATGATCAATCATTAGAAAACATTACTACTGATGGTACAGATCGTGGTAATGATGGTGATGAGGAAGAAGATGATGAAGATGATGATGAGGATGATGAAAATGATAGTGATAAATTAAATAAGAAAAAATTTATTGTAAGAGATATTTTCCTTACGGTACCTGAACTGAAACGAGATCGCGCCGCGTCTGTTGATTCGTGCTTTGATAATAACAATAAAATTAGTCAAAATGATGGTAGTAACTATTTAACTGTACCTCAACAGGGTGCAAGATCGAAAAGTGTTGATATTGTTTTACCAACTGAACAACAGACGCACTATACTGCTTTATTACCAAAAAAAGACGGAGTCAGAGGGTGAGAAATTATTGATGTCTGCTTTGAATTTTTCATAGGGTGAAACCATCAAATTTACTGTTGTGTAATATATTGATAAGCAATAAAATAATAAATGAGAATATAAATAACAAATGATTTGTTTTCTATTTCAGAGGAAAAGGGCCTGACACTAGTAATCGTCAGTTACGATCAACACCTGATTGGGGTCCAGATGCTATTAATGGCGAACACCTTTGGAACCCTACTGCAACTTCTGGTGATTTTTGTTATGTCAACGATTGTTCGGTAGTATGAACTTATTTTTATCATAATATAATTATAATTTTGTGCAAATTTTAAACGTTAATAATTTATAATGATTTGGCAATTTACAGAAACATGGACCACGTTTAAAATGTGCTGCTTGTCATGTTGTAGCGCATGTAGTATGTGCACCTGAACTAGCATTCAATTGCAAACCGACATTTCGCGATGTAGGAGTACGCCAATACCGTGAACAATCATCAACACATCATCATCATTGGGTTCACCGTCGTTCACAAAAAGGCAAATGTGCCAACTGTGCAAAAGCATTCCAGTCAAAGTTATCATTTAGCTCGAAAGAAATAGTTGCTGTGTCGTGTAGTTGGTGTAAATCAGCCTATCACAATAAGGAATCATGTTTTAATGTACAAAAAGTTGAAGAAGATTGTGAGCTTGGTACTCATAATACAATTATCGTTCCACCGTCTTGGATAATAAAACTTCCCCGTAAAGGAGATTTCAAGAGTAGTTTACGGAAATCTCCCCGAAAAAAGAAAGGAGCTAGTCAACGAAAAAGTAAAGACACATTAGAACCAGAAGCTAATAAAAGTGATAAAGCTGATGATAAAGAAAAACTCTGGGTAGTAAAGTCAGTACCCTCACTAACAATAAAGCCAGTCATAGTATTTATAAATCCAAAATCAGGTGGTAATCAAGGTGCTAAGCTTCTTCAAAAATTTCAATGGCTTTTAAATCCCCGGCAAGTGTTTGATTTAACTCAAGGTGGACCTAGAATGGGCTTAGAGTTATTCCAAAAGGTACCTAATTTACGGGTTTTGGCTTGTGGTGGTGATGGTACTGTTGGGTGGGTTTTGTCTATTTTAGATCAAATTGGAGTGTCGCCTTCACCAGCAGTTGGAGTTTTACCTCTTGGAACTGGTAATGATCTTGCTCGAGCACTTGGCTGGGGCGGTGGTTATACGGATGAGCCAATTGGAAAAATTCTATTAAACATTGGAGACAGTGATACTACTCTTCTAGACAGATGGCAAGTAACTGTTGAAAGAAATCCCGATGCAAATAATGATGATGATAGCGGAAAAGGAAAAGAAAATCTTCCATTAAATGTAGTGAATAATTATTTTTCATTGGGTGTTGATGCTCATATTGCTTTGGAATTTCATGAAGCACGTGAAGCTCATCCGGAAAAATTCAATTCTCGATTACGGAATAAAATGTTTTACGGACAAATGGGTGGGAAAGATTTGGTGAGACGTAAATGGAAAGATTTATCAGAGTTTGTAACTTTAGAGTGTGATGGTCAAGATTTGACACCTAAATTAAAAGAACACAGAGTGCATGCAATTGTTTTTCTAAATATTCCATCTTACGGTGGTGGTACACGTCCATGGGGATCAATCAGTGGTGGTAAAGAACCATCGACTGAAGACGGACTATTAGAAGTTGTAGGTTTAACTACTTATCAATTGCCATTATTACAAGCAGGAGGCCACGGTACTTGTATAACTCAATGTAGCCGTGCTCGCCTTGTTACAACACGAACCATACCAATGCAGGTAAATATTTAATATATTATCCTCTATTTAATCGGATCATACTAATCCATTTTTTCTTCTATGTAAGGTCGATGGCGAGGCTTGTCGAGTATTACCTTCAATAATTGAATTACAGCTCCTAAATCAAGCAACAATGTTAGCTAAACGTAGACATTCCAATAAGCCTCAACAAAATGTAGAGAATAGATTAGAAAGTCTTAAATTACCAATTATGGGTATTAAAATGATAGACTATAAAGCATATCACTCGGATAAAGATCGATTAAAAAAAGCCGCAGTGAGTTGGTCAGATAAGCCTTTAGATCTTGAAGTAACTATGGATTTAGAATCATTGAGAAAAATGTTAGCAAAAGACTATCCAATGGATAATTGTTGTTTTCTTGACTGTGAGTTTTATTCTCTATAAATACCAGTTTAAACTCTTTAAATATACACTCAACATATACATCTTTTGATAGCTTGTACTGCTGAACGATTCTTCAGAATTGATCGTGCTCAAGAGCAGCTTCATTACGTTACTGACGTGGCATCAGAAGCAATTTATATTCTTGAAGAAGAATCGACAAGCCAAAATGTCGAACCTGACATTGGAAAAATTCCAGAACCTGATGCAAATGTACCATCTCCTAGGTAAATAATTTTATATAGGTAAACTTTCCATTATTTTTTTACTTTATTTATTTATTGCTATCAATTGAGTTTATTTTTATAATTTATTTATACTATTAGTGAAGAAACGTCAATTTCCAATAAGCCACCGACGTCAAAAGAATCTAAAGATCAAGGAGTAGTTGAACATTCTAATGAAGAAAAAATGAAAGAGCGATTATCAACAGAACAACAAGAAGAAAATAAAATAACAACAGCAAAAAATATCGTTAACGAGAAAAATACTAGTGAAAAAATTGTACGCAAAAAAAGTTTATTAAAACAAATATCTTTTACTGAACGATCTCATCGGGAACCTCATTCAGCATTTATAAGGTACCAAAAAAATATATTTTATGATAATAATTTTAATGAAAATAAATATTCTAATAAATATATTGATTTTAGTCCACAAGAAAGACTGTTTAGTTTATCATCAGAAGTTCAAACGTTTGGAAGTGGACTGCTTGAAAAAACTAGTGACGGAATACTTCGAGCGGCTAAAGGGGATGATTTAAAAAGTCTTAAAGAATTACATGATCGAGGATATTCTCTTCTTTCAATAGATGCTAATGGTCAAACAGCGCTTCATCTGGCTGCAAGACATGGATTCAAAGATATTGTTAGATACTTAATAGCTTGTGCGCCACCAACCCTTCTTAACATGGTTGATAATGACAAGTATGTTTTTTTCATTGATTATCTCATTGACATACAAATGTTTTATTCTCTGTTAATTTCCCAGTAGAAATGTTCAGAAAAATTTGGAATGAGAACAGGTCACAGTTGTAGCTAATTGAATTCAATTAAATTTTTTAAAATTAGACTGAAATACTTTTAAATCAATTTAAATGTAAATATTAACATGAACTTTGTTACTTAGTTTCAATTTATTTATCAGCTATTATTTTTAAATTTACTCTATTCTAATTTTATAATTAAGTTGAATAATGATAAATTAATCATAACTTTTATACTGTTCTGGTTTCATTTCTCCAAGGATATATTTATATTATTTATTAAGAATGGTCAATTACTTACATGATTATTAATTGATGTAATTATACATTGACAGAGGACAAACAGCATTACATAAAGCTGCTCAAACAAAACGTCGATCAATTTGTTGCATGCTCGTTGCCGGGGGCGCAACTTTAACAGTCCGTGATCGTCATGGAAATACCCCAAGACAGCTTGCACTTAACGCTGAAGATCGGGATCTTGCAGCTTATCTACATAGTAATTTCAATTTTTTATTAAAATTTATCAAGATTTTAATTGAGTAGTTTTAATTAAATTTGTCTTAGTAATGTTCCGTAAAATATATAGAAGCATACAGAACTAGTTTCTGAAGAACGGAAATTAGTTTCTCAAGTTTTAGAATAGATACTCTATTTTCGGATATTTAGTCTTTATCCACCAACTTTTCAAATCCAATGATAATTCATTTATTTATATAAAATTTTAAATAAGCTATTGTTTTTATTTTAGGTCAAGAACAATTTCAATTAGTGACTGAAGATATGCAAAACCGATCTTGAACTATTAAAGGTTTGTGAGAAAAGAAAATAATTTTTACCATTATCTGCAATCATGATTTCAATAATGGAATTTTTCAGTCAAAAAAGAATGACTTAACAGAATAATAACTAGAATATTTTAAGCTCATATATAGTTTTTTGAAAAAATAAAAATACGAGCTCATATTATATTTTCTACTTTTTAATTGTAAAGTTCCGTAATATTAATTATTAATAAAATGCAAAGATAACTTTTTGAATATGTATGTATATATGAGTGTATTGAAACGAGCTAGAAAAAGTGGAATTTTTTTCTATTACTTTGTACTCTACAGAGATATATATCAAAGTGAAGTACAAAGGTTAAGCAACGTCAACTATTCAGTGCATAATCAAGTGAAAATTTTTTCAAAATTTAAACAAAATGAAAAAAGTGATTACTCAGACTCTAAGCTATGATGAATAAAAAGTAAGAAAATGAAAAAGAAAGTTACACTTTTTTTGACTTGTTGTTTCCATGTATATACAAGTATATATTTAAAGAGGAATCTTTTATAAGATTCTTTTAATTAGAGAAGAGTTCTGCATTATTATCGTCTGAAGGTGTTAAATACCCAGATAGCCAATCATCTTCTAATTAAAGTTATTTAGAGTTGCATTAACATTAAAAATTGAATACAAGATTAAATATAGTTGTTATTTGAATTAAATGACTATTTTTAAGTCACCCAGAGTACTATGTTAGTTTGAATCGGTTACTTATTTAAATCCGATTATTGAACAGATCAATTGCTAAATAAAAAATTAATATTAAAGAATATTTTATGAAGCGCATTGTTACTGAAAAAAAACAATTAAAATGAATGCATCAGCTTCAATGATTGATAATTAATTTGAGATTATATTTAGTGACAACCTTTTGTTTTCGAACTTCAATTTTTAATGTTAGCCAAGCTTAAATAAACTTTTATTGAAAGATTAATTGTTGATCTCTATTTTTCAATGCTCAAATGTGGCTATTTGAATATAAATAAGTCATTTTTTGTGTAAAAGATTTTATGTGACTAATATTGTAGGACTTTCCTCTACTCTATACATACATGTACTAAAAACAATTTACTAAAAATTATAATAATTGGTACTAAAGTAAAGGAGAACAAATATAGGGAACAACAATCTATGAACACCAATTAGCTATTAGAAATAAAAGTGATCGACCTATTGCTTATATTATTTGTATTACATATACATTTAATAATATTCCACATATAAAAGATTTATTATGAACTTTTGTTTTTGAACTGAACAAACTAAAAGTTTAAATTGAGATATATATATTTTCAAGCTTTATTACATCTATGATATAAATATATAAATGAGAAAATGACGATAGGAAAAGAAGACAAGAAAGTGAAGCATGAGAATTAAATTTGTGTTAGAGTACTAAGTGATTTCCATATAAATTGATATACTAATTATTATCTTCAATTCGTTATATCTATTATTCGATTATAAACATTACAAATTAAAATGATAAAAAAAATATGACAACTGAAAGTAAAAAAAAAGAAAAAACTAATTTCTTGCGAATTATATAATTAATAATTACTAATTATAGTAACCAAATGTGCGTCAGACTTTTGAAAAACTAATGGAAGAATACGTTTGGAATTATATTTCAGTTTTACGTACGTCTGCTATGTTTCTTAAGAGCAGTCGTATGTAAGATTGTCGTTAAAATCTGACGTAAAATGTACTCTCTAAAAATGAAATATACTGCAAAATCAATGAATTCACTGATATTACAGTGTAAATTGAACCATTAATAATGTACGTAAGCACTGGTTACTATATAATCATGATCAATATCAATACTTCGAAAAACATGTAAACGAAAAAGTATTCTATCAGATGTACTTAAATTCTTATTTTTAAAGATATCTCGAATTTTTTATATTTAAGTTTTTGCACATGTGTGTTGGATTAAAAAATTTTTTCAGTGATGACTAAATGAGTTTGAAATTGAATTAGTCCTAAATAAGCATAAAAAATGTTGTAAAAATAATATAGAGATCAAGAAGTAACTAAACGAAAATAAGCAAACTTTCAATAGAATTAAAAATTAATTTAGGATTAGATTATCATATTAAAGATTGAATAAATTAAGACATTGCCACCTCTACTTTACAATACTTAATAACAGTAGTGTAAACATAATCCGTCAATGCCTTCACTGTCCACATCTTCTTTGAAACTTATTTGTCAACTAACTGTTATAATTGTTATCTTTAGTGAGAATGAAATTTTTGTGATCTGAATATTAAATTTAGATTACTTGATAATGAAATGTTTTAAAAAATGTTATGATGATAAAAAAAATTATATTTTTATTTTATTTATGTGATAGCTGTTGAATTAATTTAAAGTTAAAGAAAATTAAGCTTCTCTAAAAACTTATAGCTGAAGAGAGATCAAAGAGCCGATGTTTATAAAATAATAATGGTTTATTTATAAATAATTTTTTGTTTTCTACAAAGCAATAAATAAAAAAAAATTGTAAATGGAAATGTTAGGTAAAAGGATATTAGACAATCATTAATGAAAAAGGGATCTTCCAGGTAAGAGCTTACTTTAAACATTCGAGTCCTGAATATGGTCTTTATTAACTTATTAGATTTTAAAGTAAAGTAAAAAAAAATAATAAAATGAATTTTTTCTTAATTATTATTTATAGAAAAGTTTATTTCATTATTTCTTTTTATTTTATTAATAAATGTAATTATTGATAAATTATTTATAAGAACAATCGCACGATTAGATTTATCAGCACCGTTGTTTTCTTATTAAAAATTTTTTTTAATCCTAATATATAATCGTATTTAATGTAGACAAATGGAAAAAAAGTGAGAAATTCAAATTTGACTTATTCACTCATTATCTATTAAATATTATATTTGTAATTATTATCATTATTATTGTTATTATTACACATATTATATTGAAATCTTCCATCATCATTACTGAATAAATTAAAACTCGAAAATCAATTAATAAAACTCTCATGAAAATTAATTATTAATTCCTAAATAAATAATTACACCACGTTTTAACCAATCATTTCGACTATCTCTAGAACAACCAACAGCCAATGTACAAATTAATCGATTTCTTTTAGAATCGTCATACAGAGGAATGTCGATAAAGTTCTCATTATCATTATTATAATTTTCTGAAATCTGTTGATATACAAAGGCGATTTTACACTGTGGAGCCGATGTAACTGAAGGAGAGTTAGAACTTAATTCATGTAAAGAACCATTCTTAATTTTAGCTCCAGATATTAGCAGTCCACTAATAATTATTGATACTCGTATTTCTTTGTCACCTTTCACATCCTCATTACTTTCAATCCAATATGTTTTAAGATTCAGCTCATGTAATGGATTATTCATTTCTCGAGCTGTGTGTTGTTTCAATGCAGCTAAAAACGCTCGTGGCCTCGATAAATATGCAAGATTGATAGTTTGTTCAGATTTGAAATTAAAATCGACTGATGATAAAAATTTACTTTTTGATTTTAATTCGTTCATAAATGTGATAAGTTCTCTTGATCCTGATGGCCAATATTTCAGCCAATCGCCTGGTGTCTAAAGTAATTTCATTTTGTAATTATGTACTGAAGAAAAAGTCTTAATAAGCAAGTAATCCTGAATATTTAGAATAATCAAACGTTGAAGCTTGACTTTATTTGAAATGACTTGTGAAAATGCGCAGTATATTTCGTGTTGAAAAAATCCAGTTCAATATTGACTCGAGGACTGAAAGAGTTAACTAAATATCTTTCCCAAAGCTTTTGTTTAGTTTTAGAATAAATCACTATTCAGCGATCGTAAGTATATTTAATTTATTAAATTGATTATTCAAGCTACATTCCTTTCTCGTAAAAATTGAATATTTAGGATTACTCGTCTTATTTTCAATCATTTATCATTGATTTTTAATTAAACTTACCTTTGAATTATAAATTTGGCCTTTTTCAATATCATTTATAATGATTGAAATTAATTGTTCAAATAGGTGTACTTCATCGTTAAAAAATTGTCCAACAGAAGTAGAACTTTTACGTTCAATATTCTTCATTAAATATGATTGTAAATTTTGCTGCTTCAAGTAATGAATAATATGCTTTTGTGCTTTATCTTTTTGATTTTTCATTTGTCCTTGATTAATATTTTTTCTAGATTTACTGAATATTTCTGAAAATATATTTATTTATTTTTAATTTCATGTAAATTAAACAATCATTATATAACACTATACCTTCAAGAGCATTCATCGTTGTCTCAGCTGCAGACCTTTCCCATGCTCTTAAAGCATTAGCTGGTAGTCCAAAGAATTCTAAAGGTGGTTCATCATCAGGTAACTGTTCAATCATCTTTAAATGTTCTTTTTTATTCATTTCTGGTACGCTTATTATTTTTCCCAATTTTTTACGTCCTTGGAATACTTCTTCGGACCAAATATCTTGAATCAATGCCTTCAAAACCCTCATATCATACCTATCTTGAAGTCGACCACCATAAATAGCAACATCAAGTAACCCCTGACCTTCTTCCCAATCTAAGCGACCTTCGGGGTTAAACTTCAGAGCGTAATTTATAACTAGTTCACGGGCTGCTTCTAAGTCAGCTTCATTCCACTCATAAGATCTTATCCAACCGTGTGGAATAAATCTTAAATACACGAATATATTATTAATATTGAGTTCTAATTAACGTAAATAAATGAAGAAAAGCCAACCCAAAGTAGAATACTGGAATATAAGTTACCTACAAATTCATAGACATTCGAGACAAGGAAAATTATCTTTTCTTTACATGGAAAAAAATATTTTCCTTAGCTCAAAACAATAATGTACAATATTTTTAATATTTATCACAAAAAAGTAAACACGCATCTGATGAGAATATTTAAAATGATGAATGATATGGTCATTTTTAAATATTATTCAAGCTTAAGAATTTATTATGTAAAATATTCGGCCCAGTATCTCATCTTATTTGAATTGATTTAATTCTTTATGTTCGAATTTATTGAAAATTTTTAAAAAATTTTATACAATACCTTCTACGTTCTTGAAGAATAGCATGAAGCCAGGCAAGAACAAAAGTACTTTCAGAACTTTTCGACTGTGACCGATAATTTCTTAATTGTCTTAAAGATTTTTTGAGATTCCTTTTAACTCCTTCGGGTGGCTCGTAAGCCATTTTCAAACAAATACCAGCTAGCCCCGAGTAAAATTTATTACATTCCTCAGTGGTCAGCCAAATTCTTGTGGCTGGATTTTTATTTTGATTACACTGAGGGCTTCTTAGAATACTTTCCAACCTCGGTAACCAATTCAACGCCAATTGTAAATTACTTAGCAGTACCCAATCACCATTTCTGTATGAAAAATTTAAAAATCGTTAAGTTATGTACTTATTTAAAATTTTAAATTTAAATATCTATTCTCTATGAGTGTTTGATGATACTCCTACATACTTGCAAGCATTATCAAGCGCTATCTCAGCTTGTTCAACTCGATCTTGACCTAAAGAAATTTCTACAAAGTGTCCTGGGATTCCCAGCCTCAATGCCAGAGCATTAATTTCCGGCCCAGGATCTGCTCCCGGCGATAATAAAAATAAAACTGGGCGATTTTTATTACTTTCTATTAATGACTCCAATGTCCAACTGTCGGGTGATAATTTTTTCACTCCTAATTGGTCCCTTACGAATTTAGTTAAAGCAGAATGAAAGTAATCAGGTCTAAGTGCTTGAATTATTAAAACTTTCTGCAGTGATGATAACGATTGGTCTTTATAAATAATTTTCAAGTCATCAACCCACTCAGATGTTAATTTCGATCCAATCTAAATATTTTAAAATGTTGTTAAAAATGGAATATTGAATTTTTGGTTTAATATTACTAATGAATAAATACTTACTTGAGGGATAGCTGTTGCCAACATTTTAACTGATATTTTTCTTTCTTCAGGAATCCAATCTGGCATAATAAATCTACTATTATCTGTATTTTCAGATTTTTCCGTCGTTAAATCAGTGTTGTTTTGTAGCAATAAATTACGCTCAATATCTGGCACAGGATAAAGAGTTAAAGTGAGATAAAGGGCTAGTGGCAGTCGATGTTTCCGTAGAGCTGCTTTCATGCAATAATCAAGCGTCAATGAAACCAATCTAAAAATAAATACAACATATTTCAATACTATTTCAACTTTAAGTTATCTGAATAAATAATAAATAAATTTTACTTTTTCTCAATTTGTGATTCTGCAATATTTTTTTCAACATTCGATAACTGATGTCTAAACAATTCAGCTTCCAAATAAATATCCGTAAAAGCGTCGATGGAAAAGACATAAAGTGGACTGAGAGTAACCAATGATTTAATAGTTTGAAATAAATTGGCGGCAAATTTAGCCGATTTTTCATACTCCTTTTCTCGTTTAGACACATTTTCTCTAGACTGCCGACTTGTTTCTAGAATCTGAGCAATTTCTTTAGCTTTAGCTTGAGTTGCTTCTAACGATGTTAATAATGTTGAAGAATGTCCTTCTTGTGCTGAATTAATATTTGGCTCTTGAAGTAAATCTTGACCTCTCGCAGAAGCTAATTGAGCGAGTAAATCAAGTCTCGCTGCATCTCGTTCACCAGATAATTTTTCTTCACGTTCTAAAGCTTCTCTGCGTTCTTTCTCTAGCTCCGGATTATCCTGAGACAATGCTTTTTGAATAAATCTTTCAGCTAAACTATTTTTATCATTACCTAATGTAATTTTTAGTAATACAGCATCTGCCTCGCTAGGAATTGTCTCCATATTATCCTTTCTCGTGGCTAAATACAATTTGAAGCCTTGTTGAATTGGTAAAACACGATCACCAACTCGTAGAGGTTGTTTCCGGAGAAGTGGTAAAATAATTGACGGGAATTGAACGATTTCTTCAATTAAAAGTGATTTTCCAAAACGAACAGCAAGTTCAAGCACAGTTAGAAATTTGTGGTCTTCAGGTTTTGTAACTTCGAGTTGGTTTTCCAAATTGGCTTTAAGCCAAGTAACTGCTACTCCTGAAGGATCGATAAAGAAACATACTAATGGACTTCGTAAAGCACATATAGCTCCAATAAGACTTCCAGTATCTTCCGGCAAACTTTGAGCTCGCCAACTAAGCCGTTCTCGTTCAGTTGTTAACAATTCAATCGTTGATTTTTTTTTCATATCATCAATTTCTAAACTTGGATAAATCAAAAACTTTGCAGCTTCAGCAGCTTCTAAATCTAATCGCATTTTTCGATCTTTCAAATTTTCTAGTTGTTTTTGCCAGTCTTCATATTCTACATCAAGTTTGTCTAACAACTTCCGAGCCATTTGTAAACTAGCTTGAGTTGCTTCTGAACGTAATTGAAGTGCAGCTGCTCCTTGTGAACGTTCCGCAAGTTCTTTTTGTAATTGTTTAACTTTGGACTCTACAGAATTAAGTCCTTCGGCAAGTTTTCCTATCTGAGCTTCTGCCATTGCCAATTTATCTGCCAACATTCTCTGTTCTCGTTCTAATGGTGCAACCTGCTGAACTATTTGACCATATTGAAGATTAGCTAAAACCCAAGAAGCTAATGGAGCCGCTGCGATTGAAGCTCTTCGTGCGGTCTTTTCTTCAAAAGACTCAGAACGTTCTTTAACTAATTTCGCCACCGCTTCTAAGCTTGCTGGAGTACTTCTTCTTGCATCCCAATTTCTGATTTCATCTTTAATACCTCTTTTAGCTAAGAATGTTTTCATACTGTTCCAAGAGGTATCTTTAATACCCATGAGTCTTAATACGCCTTCTAAAATATCTCGAACAGCAGTAGGTGGTGCTCTAAGTGATCTCACCTCTGATAAAGCATCGGAATTAATTCCAGCAACAGCTTGAGCCGCTGCTTCTACCAGTGGTGTAACCTTTGATAATTCTTCCTCGATCATTTCTTTCCTTTTTCCTAGTTCAATACTTTCACGCTCTGTATCTGCTTTTAGTGTAGTCATTTCTCCTCTCTGACCTGTAGCACCACGCATTGTTGCTGTTATTTGTTCTAAAGCTGCATTAGCAAGATTTCTTTCAACTTCTAATTGCTTACGTTGTTCTGATACTTCATTTTCTAATTTAGCCACTTTGTTACCTGCTTCTCTTAATTTATCTACTCCAGCTTCTAATGTTGCCATTTGAGATTCAATATTTTGTATCCACATCTCTCTTAATTCACGCCATGTTCGAAGAAGCGTAATAAAACGTGCCGGTGAATTTTCATGAGGCAAAGCTTGAATATGAGCCTCGATGAGATATTTTAAAACTGGTGCAAAAGCTTCTGGAGATTCATTTCCACTCTTGTTTAAAATTACAGTCGCTGTGTTATTCAAGCTTGATTCCATAGTCCACCATTCATTTCCTGGCATATCAGAAATTAGAAGACTGTTTTTTAAAAGGTCAGATTGTTTTATCTCATTGTTAAATACTTCTGTAGAATCTAAAATCACTACAATATATAATAAACTTCTAAGACGGTGGTAGAAAAATTGATCTAAAGGTTCAAAGAAATCTTGTTTTCGTGCTAAGTCTGTTAGAGGTGCTATCAGACCATCAAGTTCTTCTGGACTAAGAAGACCAGGAATTTCTCCACGTGATACAATAGCACCTGCTAAATTCACTAAATCATTCTCTCGCATATGATGTTCTTCAAGAAGTAATAGTGTTGGTTCTCCGTCAATTCCAGCTGATTGTATAGCACTTTTTATCGAAGCTTTTCCACGTCCTGGTCCAAAGTTTATTAGTTTTAACGATGCAAAAGAGGCGACTAAACGCACTGATGATCTTCTTCCTGCTCCTGGACGTCCACCGAGAATTATACCTCGGTATCCACATCCGAATGCCCAACTTAAATTGCTGATTAATTTATACAAATGAGGATAAACAGTTTTTTCTATTTGTTCTCCTTCTCGGATAAATTTTTCAACTACTTTGTTTACCTCTTCCTTCCAACTTTCGGATACTAATGGCGTTAAAGATGAATTGCCGCTTTGCCAAACGTAAATATTATCAGATTTATTTATATCCGGATATTTCAATATTAAAAATTTACTCCAATGTGATTGAGCTTTTATTGTCAACTTTGGATAGAATAATAGTTTTCCAATGTTAAAGACGTATTTTAAAAATATTTCGCGATTATCAGCAATAGGGTATTTCATTAAATTATTGGCCCACAAACTTAAGTCTTTTACATTCCAAGTAAAACTTCTATTCGCTGAAGAAGCTGCGACAAGCGATTCTTGCATTACAGATGCTAAATGATCAGTCCATGATTCCATATCAGCAATTTGATTGTAGGAATAAACTTTTAAAACTTCTTGTAGGTGAATTATGGTGATAGCTTTTATATTATTCGCAGTTGGAGGATGAATATGATGTGTTGCAAGAAGAGAGCTTAGTCGAGGATGAAGTTCTGTCAATTCATCGGCTGTTAGCAGTAAAGATACTGATATAGTTGCAAATACTAGATCGTCCTCATGAAATCCATTTTCCTCAATAATTTGTCGCAGTAATTCTTGAAGGGATTTAGAAGCAAGATGCACATCTTCTACAACTAAAATTATTTTCGATCCACTTTTTGGTCTGTATATCCTACCAATACCTGATGATTCTACTTTAATACACAGTTTTTTGAGACGGTTAATTAAATCTTGAGTTCCAAAGACAGATGAGGCATAAACAACATTCAAACTTTCCATATCATCTTTTAAATGATGAAGAATTGCAGAAATAAGACTACTTTTTCCACTTCCTGCAGATGCTCGTAATAAAATCGGTTGTCCAGATTTAATCCAAGGTAGAATTGTTATTATGCCTCTTCTTAATATATTTGTAATTAAAATAGGTCCACTTTGAGTTTGAATAGTGGAATTATCATCTTGAAATGGTTCAAAACGATCAATCTCTTCATTGTAAAAAATATCCAATGGCTTATGTAAGTCTGGACACCAGCAATCTAAAGTTTGATAAATAAATGTTGCTAATTTTTGTTGGTTTTCAGTGTGTGGGATTTGGAAACATAATGTCATTAATAACGCATAAGTCATTGAATTAAGTGAAGAAGTATTGGGAAAATGTGGTAAGAGAGTCGTGATTAAATGAGATATAGATATATTTTTTCTCATCTTTAAAAACTGATCTATTATTCTTGGTAATTGATTATCAAAAATTGATTTAACTGTAATTGGAAAAGAGTCAACTATATTTGCAGGCAAACAGTTAAGTAAATGAGAAATAGATGATGTTCCTAAATAAACAACACCTAATCTCGAAACTGTTGCAGGACTAGCTCTTGCTAATTCATGAGTTTCAAATATGAATCGTACTTGAGGACCAAGTTTCACACCAATTCCATTCGGTAAAGTTAATAATCGATTATCATCAAGAGCTGAATTCAACGCCTCTACCCAACTCGGTTCCACATCACCATTTAATACAATCCAAAGTGGTTTTTCCCAATCAACGGAGCTAAGAATTGAAGATATTAAACCTTCTTTCCATTCACGTGTGCGTAAATCAACAAATCCTAATAATTGTGATTTAAGAACAGCCCCAGAAAATACAGAAGCTTCTTTTATATTATTTCCCATTTTTGTTAGAGCTTCCAAAAGAACTTTCCTTATAAGACTTTTACCAGCTCCTGGTGGTCCAACTATTGCGACACCCGTTCGGCTCTTTAACTGATCGTAAAGTTGCTCACATCGATAAATAATATCTTCTTTAAGATTCTTTGATTCTGTAATTTCAATCAGTACTTTTCTCAATTCCTGTTTATCGGTTAAATCACCTGAAGTGACATTCGGAAAAATGTCTTTGAGAAGTCCATTAAATTTTTCTGTATCTTCCTTGGTTAGTTTTGACAGAAGAGAAGATTGTATTGCTTGTAAAATAATAGTATTTTCTTTTTCTAGTTTTGAAACATTTGATACTGATGAAATAGTATCTAAAATTGACCTAAGAGCTCTTAAACCCCAATCATAATGTGACTGTTTTGATAATAATTTATCACAAATATCTAATGTTTCAATAAGTTGATTAGCTAAAGTAGCAGCATCTAAAAATCCTTCACATTCTAAAAGTGCTTTAGCGATATCATATCTGTCAGGATGTGCCATAGCTATAGGCCTAAATAACCTAGCAAGCGAATCAGGTAATTTATTTCTACTTCCATAATCATCTCCAGCTGGATTCATAGTAATAAAAATACAACAATGGGGATTTAATCGAATATTTTCACCATTAATTTGAACATGTGCTAAATTATCACGTAATGCTTGCTGTAAAGGTCGTATAAGCATGGCTACAGCACTCAAAGTTTTTTCTTCAAGTCTATTAAATTCATCAAAACAACCCCATGCTCCTACTTGCGCCAAACCACTAAGAATTCTTTGCATACTTGTTGCATCCATTCCTTCATCACAATTGAAAACAAGTACTAAACGACCAAGTATAGATGCCAGAGCTTTTACACTTTCAGTTTTTCCAGTACCTGCTGGTCCAGTAGGACTACCGCCAAGACCAAGTTTCATAGCTTGTGTTAGAGCAAGAAAACATTTTTCAGTTAAAGAAGTTCTTACTAAACCAATAGCTGTTCCTTGATATTCAAATCCGTAATGAAATTCTGCACCAACACATTTAATAATTGGACCTTGATTAGATCTGTAGCATTTTAATTGGCAATTCCAAGTCCACGATGTGTTTCCATGAACTTCTAAAGCTTTTATCAAGTCTCTCACTATATTCAAATGATGAACAGTATCTAGAAGTAAGCCTCGTGCTTTCAAAGCTAATAAACTATCACTTGAATCTTCCATATCTCTGTATTTCATTTTTTTGTTTTCCAATTGAATTAGTAAATTCTTCAAGTCACTTCGACTGCCGTGCAAAGCTACTTCACATCGTTCTGTAAAAATAATTCGCTCATATAGAAGTAAAATCTGCAGTGGATAAATCGAAAGATCAGGATTTTTTTGATCAAGACATTGCTGTAAATTTTGAGATAGTGTTGTTTTTATCATTTCTTCTAAATTTTTTAACCACACTGGTAATGGATCCAAAATATTTACTGGTGAAACGAAATTTAAAACTTCTCCTTCAGGAGATATTACTGACTTAAGTAGTCCATCTTCTTGTTGAATTGATCCAATACCATGGTAAAGTTTTGGAAGATGATTTTTCAAACCCATTTCAGTACCAGCTATTAATTCCAACAAATCTTCGTCGTTCAAAAAATATAACCTCGGATATGCTAAACGTTTTTCTTCAAGAAAGTCGTCTAAACTTTTTTGACATCGATCAAGTGAATCTTTTAAATTATGTAACACAGAAAATCCAATTCGTCTTAGCGATAAAATCCTCGAATCTTTGGCAACCTCAGCCATAAGATATCTAAATTCTTTATCAGCCCGAGACCATTTACCATTATCATTAGGTGCAGCACCACCGCAATAAATTGGTTCTAAATACACCCACTTTCTCTGTATCATTCCTAACAGTTTGATTCTTTCTTCAAGTTCAGATAATGCAGATTCACATCGCCCAGCTCGAGCAGCAAATCTATCATACCCTGTAGCACCTTTAGCTCCCTCTAACAACAGCCTTAGTTCTCCTAAAAAATATAATTAACAATTAGTAATTACGAATTTTATGAATTATCAATTTTAAAATAATAAAAAATGAAAAAAAGTTTACTCACCCATTCTAGATAATACTTGCCCATATTCTTCAATTAACATAATTTTATTCTTTTTACTATCATTAAATTCCTTTAACTGTAAAAATGTAGAATTTTCCCAAGCTTCTAATTCAATAATTGCTTGACGAATTCCACTTTCAGCAATTGCTCTTTTGCTTATTTCCTTGACTTTATCAATATTTTCAACAATTTTTGGAGCACAAAGTAATAAATCGCCGAAAACCAATTGCTTGTGATCTTTAGTTAATCCAATTATACCACCAAGTTCATTCCAATGTTCTTCTGCTAATTCATCACCTTTCAAAAATTGTAATAATTCAATATTTTTTCTAATTTCTGCAATTTTTTTACCAATATATGTATTTGTAATCTGAACGTCTTTCAAAGTGTCTGAGTTTTTGTGTTGACTTTTTATTCTTTCTTGCCAAGAATCCAACCAATCGTAAAATCTAAAAAGACGTTTTCGTACTATAAACCATTCTTCACTTAACTGTCCTTCTAATTCTTTTAAAAATTCATCTTGGAATCGACAATTTGACTCTTCGATATCTAATTCCATCTCCAGACGTTTCAATGTTTCTGAATCTTCAGTAACAATATGTTCAATGTCAACTTTAACTCGTTGACAATCAGAAATAAGTGTATCTTTTTGTTCTTGAAGATTTGTCCATCGTTCTCGCATAGACACAACCCACTCTAAAGTTATTGTATCAGGTTTGGATGACCAACGAGCTTCCCAGCGTTCTCTTTCATCATTTAAAGCGACAGCTCGGTGTTGTAAATTTATTTTTGCATCTTCTAGTTGACGAGCTACCATTATTTTGTGACGCTCTAGACGTTCTTGGAGACTTTCCCATCCTGCATGAGCTCCAGAAAGTCCATCTAATTTCTCTCTAGTCCAAGCAGCCATCACTTTGGCCAAACCAGAAACAGCGACAAGTTCTTCATTAATTTTTGGCGATTCCTTTTCTATTCTTTCATGTGCTTCGTAAGCCGATCCAACTTCATCAACATTTTTTGGCCTTGAATCAAGCTCTTTAGCAGCGGCTGATAAAAAGTCAACTATTACCATAAGCCTGGAGGAAGCTTCTCCACGTAAATCTATTGATAAACGATCCCAATATTTTCTTGATGCTGATTCTAAATCATTTCTGGTTGTTTGAGTATCAACTACCAAGCACCACAGTTTTATCTCACTTCCACTCAACTTTCCTATTTGTTGAGCCCATTGTTTTGTATTTTTGAAAGCTTTTTCCCATTCTTGAGGCGATTTTCCTTTTAATCGTTCAACGATTTCAATGTTAGCTGGTTCAGCTAAGACAGACCACTTACTTTTTACTTTCTCGAGAGAACTCAATGCCACCTCAACTTCTTTATAAACTCCACCGAATAAATGTGCATTTTTTTTTACTATTAAATCGAATTTAGCATCAGCCGGATCACCGACACCGCGGAAATTCATTGGAATCGATAGAAAACGTCGAACTGCTGAATAAATTTTAGCTCTTATTTCTTCTAGTGTTGGGCGCCATTGCAGTCGATTGTCACGAAATATAAGCTCTACATGGATTTCCGGCAATCTTTTGACTAAATACGGCAATGCTGCTCTATAATTTTTAACAAATAAATCAATTACAAAAAGAAGTAATATTTGTTCAATTTATTTAACTTATTACCATTAGTCTTACCTGTATGAAACATCAAGAACTTTAAGTAATTGCCGATCCCAATGAAGTTTCCAAGCTTTAGTATTTCCATACGTCGTTTCCACTTGATCAACTACATTTCTCATCGATCTTAAAGTATCTTTCCAAATACCTTGGCTGCTGATTAAATTCACAATTTCTCCTTTAAGTAAATTCGCTACTAAGTCATGGATATAAACATGTTTCGCTACTAATTCGGCATTTTGTCTAGCAAACTTCTCTGTCTGAAATTAATGAAAATATTTTCATAAATAGTTCGAGCTCTAAAATTAAAATCTAAAAAGATATATAATACTTACGTGTTTTTTTAATCGATTAATATAACTATCAATAGCATAAAGATCCGACCAAACTACTCCAGATTGTTCCTGAACTGCTCTAGCAAATTCCATAGCAGTTGAAAGCATTAATGGACGTTGAGATGGAATCATTCTATCACCGATAGTATTATGAAAGTTAGCAATTTTCTGAAGTTCACGAGCTCGTCCTGCTAAAACGCTAGCACGTTCTACAAGACTTTTAATTTCTCTTGGAAGTTCAATACCTTGGCCAGCTAATGCTCTAGCTTCTTTGTTAATTATTACAAGTCTTGGATCATAATTGACTTTCATCATACTCGTTCCAATCAATTCTACAACTGAATTATTTGTTCCTAAAACCAATTCTTTTTGAGCGATAGAATCCTGAACATTTTTTATCCAAGAGTCTACAAGATTTTGTCTTCTTGATTCTATCTCCTTGGAAGCCGTATGAACTTTTTCAATAGCATCCTTATATCCTGGAAGATCATCAAGTAATTCTTTTAACAATTTTTCAAGAATATTCAACTTCTTCTCTGCTAAAATTGCAGCCTGGATTTGTTGAAGGATTTGTGGAAAATCCAGCAATTTGTCAGCATCAGATCCAGATTGATAGGTTTCTATAATATCATCAACAGCAGTTAAAAGTGTATGGCGTTCACTATAGAGACCTTCTTTAATATTTTTTCGTTTTATAAGCTCTGTATATCGTTGTAATTCACCAACTAGTGCTATTGGATTATCAACATTTAGTAATTGATTTTTTAATTTTTCTGTCACTCGTTCTTCAGCTGGTATTAAATTTTCCTCAAATTCACGTTTTGTCTTTTCCCATTCAATATCCTTTTCATCATCTAGAATTATAGTTAAATCGTTGAATGAGTTCAATAAATTTTCATCAATCAAATTGGACCTTTCAACATCTGTCAATAGTCGGGTTAATTGGCGATACTGCAGACGAACATTCCATGTCTCTCTGTAGAATAATTAAAAAAGTAATAGAGCTAATTGTAAGTAAAAAATAATATTCAATTAAATTGTCTCACCTCAAACGTTGGCCCATTTTAGTACACTTTTTGGGAATGAACGGTGCTCCTTTCCAAGGATGCAGAGATTGATGAGGCCAAAATAAGTGGGTTAATCTTTCGCAGAGAACAACCCATTTTTCATAAATTGTTGCAGCATTTGCAAGATATTCTTCTTTTACAATTGAATCTTTTGAGTGTAGTCTTTCAAGAAATGAGATGATAAGAATCGATAGTTGATCTCCAATCATGTCTAGAAGTGTTTTCATCCTTTCTTCAGAGTAAAGATAACTATCCAGTTTCCAAATATCATCCACAAATCCAGAAATGATTTCCAGTACATCTTCAATACCCAAAAGCCCATCTTTCGATCTTGCTGCATCGTCCAACTCTTTGTCAATATTATTTAATAATTCAATAATATTACGAATTTTCTTTTTTTCATTCGATTTAGTACTTTGGGTATATTTTTCTTCCCAGTAATTCTTTTCTTTTATCAAAGAACTTGATGATTTTTGTCCCAATATATCTCGTTCGATTTTTTGCAATGATGTAATTGTAATACCCGCATGTCCAAGGGCTGGTTTCCACACTTGACGCAATGATTCTAATAATGTTGATCCTAAATTGTCAGCCGTTGAAGTAACTTGAACTAATTCATCGAAATTTTCCGAAGTAATTGAACTCGATTTTAACTGAAATTCAAATGTTCATTAGTTCATTTTAATTAATTTTTATTCTAAATTTATTAAGAACATAGAATGTAATGAAACAAAATTACCTTGAAAAAAATTAAAGCTTTGTTTACATTCGAAGGTATTATTTCACTAATGAATTTTAATTCAGTATCGTTCTCAGTATATTTTCTTTGAATACAAAGTACTCTGCAATTCGGAACATTTAAAAATTTTTCCAAAGCTTTATTATTTTCAGAATCTAACGATAAATCATTTCCGACTCCAAAAAAGTGTGCTGCTGTTAAAATGATATAATTTTCTTTTTGATCTTGTATAACCATTTTCTAATTATTAATATAATTCAATAAGATTCATAAGTACAATAAAAAAATAACATTAACAATCATTACGTCACTTGTGGAAACGCAAAGTACTATTTTGTGTTTCGTATCCATGACTACGCTAGACATGTGCGCATGCGTAGCGTGTGTTTATTATGATTTAGATTTCTACACAAAGCAGATGTATAGAAAAAGAAATAACAAGTAATAATAAACGTAATAAAGGAGACAATAACAAGAATCGTTCATTCTTCCTAGAAATATACATAATTTTTTTAATTGATATAAAATCAGGTTAATTTATATTATCGAATTATATAATGAAATTATAAATATTTTGTTTGCAAAATATCTTTTTGTACAAATTGCTATAATTGACTTCATCAAAAGAGTTGATAAATCTTATTGCAAATAGCAGTACAACTTTAAATAACGAACTTTATAAGATAAAAATCTTAACAATAAGGTTAAGTCTTGTTATTGACAACACAACAACAAGCATACAATAACGTGTAGTGTGTACGAAGATCACCGGTTTCGATAAATTTCAACGAAGAGTAGAAAAGAACAGTGTATTGAGAATATAAAGTCAAGTACAGTAGCATAATGATGAGCAGTATTCAACAGGTCTTACTTAATACAAAGTATAGTTTCTGCTATGCTTATGTTTAGCAGCAGAAAAACATTCACAATACGAATCACATATCTTTAGTCAGTTGTCACATTCTTGACTATCAACATTGCAATTTCCATACCAAACTCAATCATACTTGGATAACTTTAACAAAATTTGAGATAAGAAAATTATTTCTTAATAATTAAATTTTTTTTGGTTATTGTTGCCAGTGAATAAATTGATTGATTTATAAAGTTAAACAAATATATGGTGTTTTCTCAGATGTTGAAGAAATTGAACGAGGTCATGAGTGTGGAATTTTAATTGCAGAATTACTTTTAAATAATAATAATTGCGGTTGTTTATATAACAGTAAGCATACGCCCATTGTTTTTTATTAAAAAGAAAGTTATCAAATAATTGTATACATTACATTTATGTTTTATTTTCGTCTGGATGACAACTACTAAAAAGAAAGTGATATGGATTCGTTGGTTTATTTCTATCTTGATCTTTTATTGCTTGTCTTGTTAAAATTATCTATTAGCTGATTTTTTAGTGAATAAGTATAACATTTTAATGAAATAAAGTTATTAATATTATTAATGAATAGAATAAAAAAAATAAAATACTTAAATTTTATAGCTTTTTGAGTGATGTTTACATTTCTGATAAAATGTCTAATAATAATGTAAGTTATGTTCGACTTATCAATGTCTCTGAGGTAGGTGACAATCATTATGTTTGTCAAGTTTATTGTTGTTTTCAGTATTGTCGAAATAATTTATAACGCAATTAATTGTTTTTCATAAAGTAAAATTGTCCACATATTTTATTACAGAATAGTTTTATAAATAAATAGTAGTAAATAAAACACGGATTTTAAAAATATTCATATTTTAACATCACATATGATATATGATAATAAAATTGATTAGTATTATTATTTTACATGTAAATTATGATTCAACTTCATTTAATTAAATACAATTTTTTTTGTATAAATGAATAATGTAATTATTGGGATGAATCATTTCATTCTTTCTGTTACAGGTAATATTACAATAGCAATAAAGATTCACGCCTCAACTACTTGAAGTAAATACAAAAATGACGCACGACCAAGAAGGAAAGACTTCTCATCCCAGAACGATAAGTTTAATAGTTACCATCTTAGCACACATATTTCTGCTTGTACCAGTAATTTACATCATTGCAGTTTACAGCGACACGTACAGCTTTTTCTCGTGGCATCCAATTTGCATGGCAATTGGAGTAAGTAAATGTTAAAGGGTCATTTTAGTTAAATTTATAGAACAAAAGAAGAATTACTTAACACTCTTATTTTTAATTAATAATAATCTTTATGGTTTTTAATAAATTGTCCGCCTTCAAGAAGATGCTTTCTTAAGTGAGTAGGTAACTTGCATAATAAGTTAAATGATTTCTTCACTTTGATTAGTTGAAAAATAAAATGCCAAAGATGGTTTTATTTAATAATTGTGTGGGTTCTTAAGAGATAAAACACATTTGAAGATTGTTTGAATTTAAACGTTATTAAATTGCTTTATTTTTACAAACAACTTGAAAAAGTAATTCATTTTTCATTTTATACATTATTTATAATTTAGTAATTCCAATAAAAATGATAAAAAATCCTATCACTGAAATAATTGATTCGAAAGCAAGAATAAAAAATACATGAAAGAATTTTATTATTTACAGGCTGGTTTGTTAATAAATGAAGGCATTTTCGTAATATCTGGAGAAGCCAATTTAACAAACCGACTATCACGTGCCAACAGAATAACAACTCATTGGATTTTAAATACTTGTGGCCTTACCCTAGTATTTATAGGATTAATAATAATTATAGTTCACAAAAATAACATCGGTCGAAGTCATTTTCAAACAACCCATGGTCAATTGGGTCTAAGTTCGATAGTCATCGCGTGTGTAATTGCTTCCGGTGGAATTTTGGCAAACAATACTCGTTGGTTTTACCCTCGAATACGACCCATTTACATTAAAGTCGGCCATGCCTTGGGTGGGATAGCGATGATGATATTATTTATCGCTACGATTATTAATGGAACTTATAAATATCATTTTCCAGGGGGGTATACTGGTAGAACAATTATTTTCGTTTTTCTATTTTTTGCAGCAGTAATTATACTGTTTAAACCTATCATTGGCGCGATTTCTCGTGTAAGTGTAATATTAAAACCTTCCCAACCGGCACAAAGTTCTTCATAAATGTTAATAAAATTTATATTAATATAAAATAAAAAAAAATCTAAATTATTTGTATTATAGTAACAAAAAGATATTTTTTTAATGAAATTTTTATAAACAAAAAGAATTATAAACTTTTAAAAATAAGGGTCATACCTCGGGGCCAATATAATTATTTTTATAAAACTTGTATAATTCATATAATTGGATAACGAGTTCTTTTGTTAATATTTTGTAAAGAATAAAATTTTTAACAAATTTAGATGAAGTGTACTACAACTTTTCACAGAGTTTAACTCTATAAAAGTATTTATAATACTTAAGAAGAGTAATCAGTTATCAACTCTACCTCTTTCACAAACTCATCACCAGTCATGTTCATTTTTCGATATTTATATTAAAATAAATAATATTAACTTTTTCTCCATAAAGTTCAACAATTACAAAAGCCTTAATACAAAAATTAAAAAAAAATTTTTTTTAATGTATAATTATAACTTTTATTTAATTAACATTAATATAAAATAAGGGTTGACGTTTTAATTAAAAAAATAAATTATTCAGTGCTTAAAAGTAAATCTTTGAAGAATGTTACTAATTTCTCTATTAATATTAATTAGTTTGATAGACGTTGGCGATTTAATGATCTTTTTTTATTCATCTTCATAATTGTACTATACATATCCGCATACTTATGCTAATCATATTACAACAACCGATTGATGAGTATAGTGTTGATATCGTCCACAGTATTTCTACACAATCATAACATATAAGTAGCATCTGCAGGAGCTAATGTAATATAGTGACAGCTATTATAATGTTAATAATTCAATTCACAATAAAAATATTATAAAGAATAATAATGATAAAAATAAATTGATGCAGGAGAAAATCTGCAATAAAATACAAAAATATCATAACATATATTTTAACATGTATAGTACAATTTATCCACTTCAACTTCCCTAGCAGATTTAATTCTACAAAAAATATAAAAATACTTTTAAAACATTACATTATATATTCCTTTTTAATAATTACAGAAATACTATTTTATTATGACTATTTTTTATATTACCAATATATAACACTTAAAAAAATAATTGATGATTATGACAAATGAGTTTAATTTTTAAAGTGTCAATGAAACAGTTATTTTTTTCACATTGTATTTCGATTTGAAATTATTTTATGATTTTTTAAATCAAGCCTAATGTTATTTCAATCATGTTAATATCATATTTACTTAAAACTGTCTTACTTTTAAAAATAACGTTATGAGACAAAGAATAGTAAAGACTTAGTAAACCAACATCAATGTTCTTGTAAACATGAACTGATGTTTGACTGTCACTCTAAAAGTTAAACTCTACATTTGAAATAAGATGATTGAACTTTATACATCTTCTACAAGACATCAATATAAAAAGAAATACATTTAAATCCGCTAGAGTTTATTAAAACAACAACAATAATATCAATAATAATAACAACGATAAATATAATATAAAAAATGTTTGATATAATTCCCTTGGCTGTTATAAAAACCGATGTAAAAATATCACCTACAAAAATTAATGACAATAGACATAAGAATGATAATGTATCATAAATTTCGGTTTGATTATATTAACTGAATTGTAGTTTTATTTCAGTATAATTCGTATGTGGGTGGTTTGATATACACAAGTTAGTTTCACTCCTCATTCTATTAAATCACTCAATATCAACGTTTATTTAATATTATATATTTTGTAAAGACTCTTATAAGAATATTTTTATACTGATATTTTTACATCGATCAATTAGTCTTAACACATCTATAATTGTATTGGTAGCATTCAACAACGATAACTTGTAATTATATCAATCTATTGCACATGTAAAATATATTGATATATTGTATTTAAATTTTTTTATTATAAATATATTTTCATATATTTGATATTAAACTGTACGGAAAAATAATACCATTCTATTAAACTATATTTTTACAATATTCTTTTCCATAATTAATTTATACCTTAATTACTAGCCTTGAAGCACTTTTCGACAACTCTGAATTATTATCATTCTTTTTCATGGTTGATCAACTGAATAATCCACCATATAATAAAATTCATAATTATATATTGTTATTCTTTCTGATTTGCTTTGATAAGTGAGCTCATTTAATTCATTTTTATTGATATTTATTTTCAATTCTTTTTTAAAATAATATAAAATATCATTTTTTTCTGCATGTCTATTAAAATAAATATTTGATTTTCATGGATATTCTATTTCTTTTAAACAATAATAATTATCATATCTTTTAATTATTTGTACTTAATTCATATTTGTCATATCATTAAAAATTATTGACTTAATTTTTTCTTTATCGTATATGTATTATTTAATGCTAATATGCCATGCTCATTTCGTGTACATTTTTTTTATAGATTACATTCAATTATTTATGTTTTCAATTGAAAAAAATAACATTAATCATAATAATAATAATATTGTAAACTATTATTATTATTGTTGTTGTTGTTTCTACCGTATTGATCATTTTAATTTCCTTTTACTTCATATAATACACCAACTATTTTACAATAATCTAATGAGCAAAACACCTGGACAATATATTAATCTGGCAAATATTAACATTATGATTTTTTTTTGTTTCAATTGTCTATATATTTTGGATTGCTATTTAACATCAAACTCATTTAATGCACTAAAATTCGGTTCTTTTTTTTAAAAAAAAATGTTCAATCTATAAATGATTGAAACTCCAATAAAATAAATAAAACTAAAAATTTTGTCAAACCTGTTGTGAGGTAATTAGATCTGGTTTACTAGAATTTTTTAATATTGAAGGACCTGGAAGTTTCTGAGTTGTTCCGGAAGTACTTGATGGTTGGATCATCATTGGCTGACCGTTTACAAGAACTATTGTATCACGAATTGAATCATAACCACCTTGATGACCTAGATAACAAATTAAAACTTTAGTAAAAATTTTTTAAACAATGTTTAACGCATAAATTAATTAATAATTAACCTAATGGCTGAGTGTTAGAAACGTTTGTCCTTGTAGGGGTTAAAGGATTTCGTGAAGCTGGTTTCCACTCGGCAGTTGGCTGTAATAGTCTTCGAGCTTTTTCCCACACTGAAATTTTATGTCTTCGTCGAACACGTTCTGAACTTGATGACGTTTTTGGATCAACTTCATCTTCATCATCGTACTCATCATCGTCGTCATCGTTATCATATGATGATCGTTTTCTTGGAACTGTCAATTGAAACTGTAATTTTTTTTTATTATAAATGTACGATAAAAAGATAATAGTTCATTTAGATTCATTTCATTTTCGTACTTACAATAGCAAATAAAACAATAACCATAACAGGCAATAGACCTACTATCCAACCAGCCACATCTGCCCACTTGGGATAAATATAAGCACCATAGGAAAGTGGTTCATACTCGACCCAATTAAAGAATAAAATGAAAAAAAGTGCTGCTGGAGTAACAACTTTCCACATCCAAGTCCAAAAAAATTTCCAACACTTTCCACGTGGGCCAATCATGTGCTGAATATCATCAAGGAATCGATTCGCACCGTAAACCCAAGCCACTAAGATGCATTCACTTATGGCAATCAATAAGACCGACCAATTAGCTGCATATTTATCCATTAATTGTAACCAATACATTCCAGCCTGTAAAATAACAAATTATTAACAAATAGTAAGTTAATCAATTTTTTTGAATTGAAAATTAACAAGTTTAATAATATATTTGTTCATTTTATTATCATCAAATAATAATTAGATTCAATTACACTAGATTTACACAGATCTAATGAAATTATAGACAACCCCTTGACACACAAAGTAATAATTTGGCTTTATTGGATAATTACATAAGCCAGGAAGCAGAGATAAATATTTACGTTGGTGAAGATTTAATAAGATTATTACACAACATTAATAAATAATAATTAATAACCATAACAACAATATATCTCAGACGTTATTGAATCATGTCAAAGGATTAATTAATCCGTCTAAATTTATATATTAATATATTAATTCTATACTTTAAAGTTTTGAGAAATTTCATTGGAAAAATAATTATAAAATTCTTAAGTAAGAAGCTACAAGAATTTCAAGCATGTCTACTGGAATTAATTGAAAAATATCTTACATTAGTAGTAAAAATGATTCCTCCGATATATCCAAATATCGAAACACCAAGGACAATCCAAATTTTAAAATTCCTCAATGCAGGAATTCCATCAAGTATTGCAGTAGTTACGGTTTCCATCAAAGCAAATTGCGAATCTAATCCCAACGTCAATAACATTACGAAAAATAGTAAAGACCAAATTGGAGCAACAGGAAGTCTAGCAACAACCTAAAAAGATATTTATTTAATTAGTTATTGATTTTAAATTGATGCTTATGAAGATCTCATTACTTACTTCCGGATAAACAATGAAAGCCAAACCAGCACCTTGGTCAACAACCGAAGCAACAGGAACATTAAGTTCGTGTGCCAGGAAGCCAATTACTGAAAAAATAACAAGACCCGCAAAAAAAGAAGTTGCTATGTTACTTATAGCAACGATAAGCGAGTCTTTGTAACAATTATTATCGAATTTATTGTATGAACTTAAAGTAATTAATCCACCCCAAGCTGGACTAAGGGCAAAGAATATTTGAACAGCTGCATCACCCCATACTTTAGCTGAAGTCAATCTACGCCAGTTCGGTGTTAAGTAAAACAGAAGACCTTCTTCGGCACCAGGTAATAAGACACCACGTATAAATAATGCAATCTGAATTCATATATTAATTATTTTTCAAAGATTTAATTAATTTTTAATAGTAATACACAAATCAACAGAAACATTACTGGTATTGTCATTACTTTAAATCAGTTCTTATTCGTGAAAAAAGTTTTCCTTGATATTTTCAATTGTGTCTGATAGAATTAATTTTTCGAATAGTTAAAAATTTAAATAAAACATTAATTAATTCAAAATTCAATGGCAATACCAGTCCTGATAATTTTAAACTGTCAGTATTACAAATAGAATCATAATATTGATTATTCTACTGTATGAATTACCAAAACAACGTATGGAAAGAGTGCAGTAAAATAGACGACTTTTCCAGAACTCTGAACACCCTTACTAAGACACAAAAAAACGATTGTCCAAGCTAAAAATAGACACGCTGCCAATGCCGGTCGTATTGAACCCGTAAATTCAATTCCTTTGCTCATCCCCAGTACGTGATGTCTATTTCAAAATTCAAAGAAATAATGAATATTAAATTACAAAATATATCATGTTAGTTTAATTATTTAATACATACTCAAAATATTCTTCTGCAGGAGGACGTTTTATAGCTGAGGTAATGTTTTCCGTAGTAAGATTCATGGCAATCATTTGTGTATAATTGAGACATTGCTTTTTAAAGTAAGAATTATTTTGGCTCATACAATTTTCAGCTGCTAGTGGTTCAATACAGTCTTCTGTACTCCATTCTGGTTCGCAATCACTCCAAGGTAATTTACTACCACCTAAAAGTTTTAGTTTTTTATTATTCGTAATTAAAAAGATTGAATATCATGACCATCTCTAGAATTGAACTCTTTTGATTCTCTACTTTAAAAGGAAAACACTGACCTATTTTTCAAAGAAGGAATTTTCGTCATTTTTTGTAAAATTAAAATGCTTCAAAAGAGAATAATTTAAATAATTTTTTTTTTCTGGTCAAATAAATTTTTTTACACGAAATGAACTTAAAATTCAATGCTTGATATTGAAATGAATATGATTTATGGACATTCGACAATCAATAGTTTTTTGGTATTCAATATTCTCATGTTAAATAAAGATTAATAAGGATAAATTTCAACTCTAATCAAGTTAAAAATGATTAAAAATCTTACCAATAACGGATGCAAAAATATAGTAGAGAGTCCAAGCAATTATTAGATTATAATAGAGCATAACAATTGAGCTAACTAAAACCATTCCATAACCTAACCCACGTAAGAGTGGTGAAAATCTTTTATAAGCTGCTACAGGACCCAAACTTGCATATTGACCTAGATAGAATAATACTTTGAATGAAAATTTGTATAAATAAAACAAGTTCAACAATAATAAAAACAGAAAAATAACTACAATAATGAAATAAATTAATATTTAATGATAGTAAGTAAATAGATCAGTTACCTAAGGAAAGTTCCATAAACATGAGGGGAAGCCCAGCAATAATAAGCATCACAGTAAATGGTATAAGGAAAGCACCACCTCCATTGGAATAACACAAATAAGGAAAACGCCAAACGTTGCCTAATCCTACGCTATATCCAAGTAATGACAATAAAAAGTCAAATTTTCCTGTCCATGTTCCACGTTCTGGATGTTCATCTTCACCATCTTGAAGTGGTGCTTGACTATTTGCCACTGAATATTTATCTTCATTCTGAAAATATTTTGTTTTTATTTTTAGTATTATTACTTACTAAATTATTTTTAAAATTACGATTTTCATCGTTTCATCCTTTAAAAAAAAAAAACAATACTTACATCCCAGCAATCCAGATAAGTTCTAATTCGTGGTGAAGAGTCCTCCATTCTTCTAATTATTTTTATTTTCAATTTAATACTTTGATATTTTTATGTCTCTAATATTTTATATGTACACTTTCCTTATAGTGATCTTTTTCGCTTCATGTTCCTTATTATTATAAAATAATTATTGATGTTCATATTTAAATTATTATAAATTTGATTTTTCGTCCTTCGTGAGTTATGTATTAAATCTTGAATTTTAATTTTCCTACGTGTAAGTAATAAGTGAATAATTTAATTAACGTCGTTCTCGCACGATTTACCATGTCATCTGTAATTGTTTTATTTATCAGTCACTATAGTGTAATGTTTATTAAATTGATTTTTCTTTTTATAAATCGCAATATTTCCATTCTTATATCACTGCTTACGTAAATAATTTTTTAAAATAATTTTATAACTTTTACTTAATAAAATATAGTCTTTTTTTCTCTTCTTCAATAAAATAAAGCAATACTCAATTAATTTCGATATGTCTACAATATAACAGCACAATAAAAACCTTTTCGCATCAGTTGATACATTTTTTATTTAGGAAAACCTTGAACTGAATTCAACAGTGAATCTATGATAAATGGAACACTTTTTTATAAATATGAGATCATTTTATAACTTAATTTGCGTAAGTTCATTTTTTATTAACAATTTTATAGTTGAATGCTTCAAACTGAAGTAAATATTTAAAATATAAATAAGAAAAAAATGTTATAAACATTTCGCACTTTAAAGGAAGCAATTTCTCTATTTTAAATGATTAAATAATTATCATCCTCAATATTAAAAAGATAATTATTCGTTGAGTTTATATTTGAATTAATTATAAATTGATTTGAAGGAATGTTGAAATGATAGATGCATAATGACAGTAGGTTTATAAAGAGATAATAAATAAAATATAAGAAAAAACAATAAAACTACTATTGGTCAAGATAATTGATAAAGAGTCAAAAACAATTTATGAATGATATTTACGGGTGAAAGAAATGAACAAACACCACTCACCAGATGATTGAAGACACAGACTACTCACTTTTTAGAGACCAGTACTTATCACTGACACAATAACCGACACACATGAAACACTGACATTGAGATCGATATTACTGCTCCTGCGAGCTACGTCCTACCCCAAACCTTGCATTTTCTACCCTATTTTTTCTCATAGTAAGTAGATGTATATCTATAGATAGGTTCGACTGCCCTTGCACTTCAACGAGCTATACCCTTATTATTATTAGCTGATGACGATAATGTTAAGATATGACATGAGTACTTTATTTGTTTTTCATCATTTCAACATTTTTAAGTACTAATAAAATATTAATTTTATTGTACTGAATTGTATTCAAATGATGATTATTATGTTTCTTCAAGTATTATCATAATAATGATATACATTTTTTGTGCTAAATTCTTTCTTTATTTCGTTTGAGAATCAAGCTTACTGAAAGCTTCAGTTGAAATTTAAGAGAGTACAAAACATCTGTATACGCTGCCATAGAAAAGAAAAAATACTGATCAATATCTGCAAAATTTTTTTAGGAAGTTGAAATATTTTTTATTAAATTATTGGTTCAGTACATTCACTGAACTCGAATTTTATTTTTTAAATAAATTCTTCTTTTAATAAATTAAATAAAAAAATATTGATTTTATTGCACTTTGCCTTTTTGCAATCATAAAGTTTTATTTAGTAATCGTTTGAATATAAAAATGTATCGAAAAGTTTATTACTGTTTATAGCGTTACAGTTATTTTAATTAAATTTCAATAAAAAATAATGAATACATATTTACGTACATAAAAGTGCAAATAATTACCTACTTGCAGTTAAATCATACACAATATTGTCACTACAAGCTAATTACTTCTAATTTCGAGAAATCGGTACTGTAGAAAATAAAATTTGCGAACAATGATCTGCAATAACAAGAGATCGATAAAGAAGATTGTAAAAAAAATTAAAATATCGATAGTAAAAATAATTGATATTATCATGTGCATATTACATTTTATTTTTATTTACACTAAATATACAATAATGAGATACGATTTATAATGGCGAATGATTTCCCAGACGAAATTGAATTAAAATGACAAGATATGTGATAATGGTTCCAAAAAGCTACAAAAAATGAAATTAATATGCAAAATCGGAATAATATAATATATAAATATATTTAGATAATTAAATACAAACTGTGTATAGCAAAGAACCATTTAATGAAAGTAATCTAAATGACGTAAATTCTACTTTCTGGTGTAAAATGTCTTTAGAGAAGTTCACCAACTGCAATGAAAATTCGCAATACTTAATATTCTCTAATTATATTTAGTACGAAAATGTATGTAAAATATCAGCATACCTCTCGATTCACTTCTTCTGTGGTACATATATCAATAACCTCATGTAAAGTTTCAATTATGTGTTTTGCCTTAATATCCAGGTGATAATTTAAAATTATTAATTAATCTATTTTTATAAAATTCATTAATTCTTATAAAGAAATTTACCTTCTTCATGATTTTATTTACTGTAATGCATAGAGTCAGAAGTGAGTATGTTGGTACGAAGCTCCATACAAAATCGCTAATTTCTTCCATAGAAGATTGTTTCCACTGATTTTCAATAATATTACTGCATTTAAAATAAGTGTACAACGTATATGTAATACCAAAATATATTACACAAAACAAAGTAGGTAATCCATAAAAATCAACAACATATTCACAAGCATTATTCAATTCTTTAAGAGCATATTTCATATTCACAATTTGAGAAATAACTTCTTTATTAATCGCATATCTAGATAGTATGAAAAGCTGAAACTCATTATCCCCAAAAATATTACCAATTTTCAACAAAGTTTTATTCATGCAGTCTAAACGATGTTCAATTGTTTCAAGTATCACAGTATATTGAAATAAAACCCAACCATTTACCACTGTGGGAATTACCCAAGTAAATACATAGATAAATAAATAAGCAGTTGCACCAATTATGATAGATGCTAAACAAAAAAAATTGTTGATTAAAAAAGTTTTAGAAATTCGATATTTTTTTTCAATATCATAATCAGCACAATTTTGCAAAATAATATCTGCATTTATCACTTTCTTACTAGCCATGATAAGTACTTCTTGTCGAAAACTATATATTAACCAAGTACTGATTAAACACATGGTTCCAACAACTAAAGTACCAATTTGTGCTATTGCTTCCAATTTTATCATGTTTTGTCCTAGTTCAAACAAAACTGGAGAAAAATAAACATCACTCATACAAATTCCTATTATTAATAACAAATTATAAGACGATCCCCAATGTGATTTTACCAGAAAATTATTTTGATTACATTTATTGAGATTTATTTTCCATGGTGATAAGCCAAGAATCTTACATATTGCTATGCTGAAATAAATTTGAAACCACCAAATTGTCTTATCATGAAACAGACGAGATGCAGATTTATTCTGATTTAATTTTTCAAGAATGATATCCATAGATAAACCAGTATTTAATTTAAAAGAACTTTTTTTTGACACCATAAATATTTTTTTATACATTTTACGGAGGTGTACACTACTATTATAGTATTAACATTAGAACGATAAATTTTTTCAGAGTTGCTGTGTGACAGGATGTTATATTAAAATTCATTTACTATTGATTTTCAATGCAATCTACTTAATTTGATCCAGAGATAGGAATATTTTTTTAACAGTATTTATAAGGTGAATTACAGATTAATTAGAAAATCGATTATATTCAATGCTTATTTATTTATTATATTAATTATTTCCAATATCATGATTTCTAATTAATATTGCATTCTTCTTTTAGTATTCATCCTGAGAGACTGTCATGGTGTTTTTGTTAAGTATTTTTCTCTTGCTGAAATTGAATAAGGATAATCAGGTATGTCATGCCTCCCAAAACCTAAAAGAATTTATTGAAAATTTATTCAAAGACATTTTTTAGTTACATCCATAAAACATTCTATTTCGGTCTGATCAAAAGCAGATTATTCTACTGAATTAAAGTTTTTCCATTTTTGTCAAGACTTTATGTATGATTTATCTAATACTGACTGAAGGCAATAGAGAACCATTGAAAGACATTATCTTGTAGGCACTGAATTCCAATTTTTGATGTAAAAGCTCTTCAGAAAATTCAACTAACTGTAAATTATATTTTTTAATAGGTATTTACTGGTTAATTATAATCGTTGGAAATTTTTTTACCTCTTTTTTAATATCCTGTATTATAGTGTATATATTTAAGACCCTATGAACGCTTTCACTAATTTTTTTAATCTAAAATTTAATTTCATTATAAATTGTTTTTAAAGAACCAACATTTTAATAAAATTTAATTATTTCATCATTTATAAAGCCATGGAATATAATGAAATTAAATATTACCTCTCTTGTGATACGGTTGACTGAATACATTAAAACTGCTAGTGGACAAATTATTACATATATCCATGTTGTATCACTAAATCGTCCAAAATAAGTATTATTTACCATCAAAATGCAATATTTCGAATATAAAAAATACATTCCAAACATGATTGAAAATATATAATGAATGGTACCCATCAAAAGGGGAATTGCATAAAAATCTATGATTTCATTACATATATTAAACAATCTGATATGAGCATATTTAATGTTCCCAATTAGTGAAATAATCGATTTTTGATTAGATATTTCAAGATCAAATTGCTGGGAGATGTTTCCTATTTTCAAAATCTTTTGATTTATATTTTGAAATCTAAGGTTTATAGAGTTTACTAAAATAAAAAATTGTATTATAATCCAAGAACTTATTATACTAGGAATTGTCCAGCAACACAGCACTTGGTATGGCCACAGTAATAATGCTGATATTAAATTTACACCAATGCTACAAAAATTATAAAAGAAGAATAATATAAATTTGAATATTATTTAGAAAATAACTGTCATTACTATTGTTCAATATGACATCTATATTTTCCAATTCTCTGTTGAAATTTATCACTATGTGCTGCCGAAAAACATAAATCATCCAGATAATAATGACTGATAATGCCTGGAAGATCATCGAAACAATTTTCACTGCCCAAACCAACTTTACTCTATCGTAGGGTGTAGGGTTTGAAGCAAATGAATCACGTAAAACAATTCCAATACACATAAAGTAAACACAAACTAAAATCATATTATAAGTTGAACCTCGAGTCGAAAAATAACATTTAGTGTTTCTGCTATGCTTCCAGAACTCATCATTAGTTAACGTTGAAAGTTTCAAGCTCCATGGCATTAAGCCAAGAATTTTCATTTGCACCACATAAAAATATAGAAAAAAATTTGATCGAATCCTATGCAAAATTTCTTTCATATTTTATCACAATTTTGTTTTATTTTATTATATGAAATACTATTTAAAAAAGTGATTTTTCATCCTTTATTCACTACTAAAGATAACGGTAGCTAGATGAGTTGTACAGGTGACGTTTGATAAATTAGATAAAAGAATCGATATTCTAGCATTAAATGTAATAATGTTATTAAATTTAGTATTAATGTAATGTTACATACATTATTGAAGTTGAGAAAGCGTAGTGAAATTAAAAACTCCATTTGTCTTTAATGTCTTTAATTAAATAATTTACTTTAATCCAGAAATAATGTAGCAATGAAAAGTTATCTGATTATTTTAACTGAAATTGAATGAGGATGACAATGTATGTTATGCTGCCGAAAATCTGAAAAAAAATTTATAATTAGACAAAGAAGTTCAATTGTAGGATTTTACTGAATACTTACAGGATGTAATACAGAACCATCAAGTGAAACTAATCCATAAATATTAAATTCTATTTTTCGATTTAACAGTTCGTACGAAAATTCAATCAACTGTACATTATCATTTGTTTAGAATTTTTTGAATAACTATAAATATAATTATTAAATGTTTCTTACCTCATTCTCTAATATATCAGTTGTCGTACATGAGTTTAAAATCCAATGAATAATATTGCCTGTTTTTTTCATCTGTAGAAAAATTTTATTAGCAGTTTTCTGTCAAAGATAGTAGATAATATATATCTTTCAATATTACCACGTTTGCTGTATCATTCACTGTGATTATCAGAATTACGATTGGATACATAATCATAAATATCCACAAACCGTCACTAATTAAGTCCGTAATATGAATGGTTTTCTTTTTTATAAAATATTTCAAAGACATAGAATATGAGCCAAATATAAACAAATGTCCAAAATAAATGATACTTAATAAAGCAGGAAATGCGTAAAAACTTATCAATTGCTTACATGCATTGCATAGCTCAATATGGGCACATTTTATTTGTTTGACTTTCATAACATTTTTAATTGGCCATTTTGTAACTGAAAATATCTGGAGTCCAAACTCTTCAGGAATTCTTCCAATTTTTGAAATTAAGTTATTGATATTTTTAAGCCTCAGACAGATTGTGTTTAAAAATAAACTGAATTGCACTAAAATGATAGCACTTATCAAACTTGGTACACACCATATCAATACCACTGATGGTTCCCATTCAAGAAAACAAAAGATTATGAAAAAAATAATAATGAAAGGGTTCATCAAGATTATTATTAAACCTTGAACATTTGCTACTGAATTATAAGTAGCACAATTTTTTATTATCATATCTATTTCTTTTATTTGGCTCCTAAATGCAATCATTTTTTGTCGTCGAGTTAGATATAAAAACCAAATGACGTCTATTGAAATCGTTTCAATCATTGTTATGATAATTTCAGCAAATCTTGCTTCAAATGGTCTAGCTTCCATTTTATTTAAACAGTTATTAGTCGATATTGCAACTCCACTAAGACTAGTAACAATAAGAACTAATAAAATAATATAAAATTTATTCCATCTTGAATGAGGCAACTCTTTGGAGTTTGTATAAGTATTGATATTTAAATTGTAAACAATATCAAGAATATCTACACTCCATGGCATCAGACCGAAAATTTTACTTAACCATACATTACAGCGTACAAAAAGTTTTATGTGATTCGTTGAAAAAATCTTTTCAAATATATTATTAATATTTTTATTATTATTAAAGCTTTGTTGATCTTTAAAATATCTTTTCATAACTGTAAAAAATGGATAATATTAATAAATGAAATAAATGATTGCTTGTGTTATCTTTGACTTAGCTTTTAGAATAGTGCTGTGAATTACATGCTTTACATGCCATGGAAAGAACATCAACGTTAATGATGAAGGACAATAAATTTATCATGTGATGGCATGTATGACTTAAGATAATTTTTTTCACTTATGATAACGCACAAACCATTCCATTCTCCTGATTAATCAATTAGTAAATGATTTATAAATTATTAATCTTCTTGTTTATTGAACAATCATTAATTATTACTTTATCTTGTAATAATTAGAATTGAAAAAAAAACCAAATACAGTAAAGTCAATTCTTGAATTTAAAATTTCATAGAAAAATTCAATCAACTGAAATATATTTTTTTTCTAATAAAACTTTAAATTATTTATTTACTCAATAAATAATTTTAATAGGTTATTTTCAGTATTTTCCATGATTGTATAAAAATTCAAAAATCAAATGAATAATATTTTTAATTTTTTTGTCTATAATTAAAAATAGGATTTGTTATAAATATACTAGAACCTTAACATGAAAAATGTAAAAATGTTTAATAAATAATATTCGAATAAAAAATTAAATATCGCGCTCCATATTTTTCAATTTAAGTGGCGCAGTATGTTAATGGATAAATGCTTTTGAATGTGAGACTATTTTATCGCTAACCTAAAAATTTTTTTAGTAACAGTGAGTATTTAATTTTGGAGTTCGAAGACTTTATATTTTCTCTGTAAGCTTTTTCAAAATCATAAATGGGAATGATTGTTTACAATAATGTCTAATAATGATTGTGGAATATTGATTAATGACCATCACACCGATATTGTCTTAAAGACATACAGGTACAATACTTTAATTGGATTTAAATTTGCTGTTAATATCAAATATTAAATACAATGTCGTATTTTATATTATAGCAATCGAATCTTTGTGATAGTTACACAATTTAAAAAATTTGGTTCTATGGTAACAGTTACAAGAGAATCTTTGCCAAATCAACATAATAGTGAAACATATTCAACCCAGTAAGTATGACTAAACTGGGTCATACTCTTTATTTAAGTACCAAGCTATATAAAAAGGTTTTATAGAAAGGTTTTTTGAATTTTTAGCATTATTTTTGGTAAAGACGTTGATGAAATACATGTTGCAGCCCGCTACATAGCTGAAGCAATAAATATTGATAGACCATTGTTGCTTTCCATTGCTCTGAAAGATTATGAATTATCTACTTTAAAGCAAATAACTGCAGTAATAAATACGATGAAAACTTGGTAAAGGAAAGAACACAAATATATATTAACAAAAGTTTTAAACAAAATAGTTCAAAATGGCTGCGATATTTGGTCAACTTGTTATCGGTCCTCCAGGAAGTGGAAAAACGACGTATTGCAATGCAATGTGTCAGTTTTTAGAAAAAATAGGTAGAAAAGTAGCTGTGATAAATATAGGTAAATATAATTTATTGATTGTAAAATGATAATACTTGAAATTGAGTATTTTGATTTTATTTATAAGATCCAGCTAATGAAAATATGAAATATTCCACTACGATTGATATCTCAGAGTTAATAAAACACGAAGAAGTTATGGAAACGTATAAACTTGGTCCCAATGGAGCTCTAGTTTACTGTATGGAATTTTTAGAAGCCAACGTTGAGTGGCTGATAACAAAAATCTTAAATTTAAAAGATTATTACCTTATTTTTGATTGTCCTGGTCAAGTATGTATTGCATGATTAATTGTTACAGGAATAGAAGTCTATATTTGATCTTACATAGTAATTTATGCTTTTCATTAATAGATAGAACTATATACACACCATAAATCTGTTGCTGCTATAGTAGAAAAAATGAGTCAGAATTTGATACGACTTTGCAGTGTATATTTAATAGATTCTCATTATTGTAGCGAGCCTGGTAATATTTTTTATCACATTAAAATGTTTTAAAACGGAATTTCTTCTTATAAAATAGAACATTGTTACTCTTGAATTTCAGGTAAATATCTTTCGTCACTACTTGTCTGTACAAGTACTATGCTACAATTAGGATTACCACACATTAATGTTCTTACAAAATTTGATCAAATGAAAAAATTCAAAGATAGATTAGATTTTAACATTGATTTTTATACCGAAGTCTTAGATTTACATTATTTGTTGGAAAAACTTGATGAAGATCCCTTCACGGCTAAGTGAGTACATTATTATAAAACAAAATCCAAAACTATATTTAGTTAGAAATTGATTCCATTTATATTTTATAAATTATTGTATGTAATGACATAAACAATTAGCTCATCTTGTTTTTTACAGGTACAAGAAGCTTAATGCTGCATTAATTTCTTTAATAGAAGATTACAGTCTTGTTAGTTTTTTACCATTAGATATTTCTAACCAAAATTTACTTTTGCAAGTTAAAAATGCCGTTGACAAAGCCAACGGCTATATTTTTGGAGGTAATGAACCACAAGATATTCAAACGCTACTAGCTTGTGCTGTTGGAGCAGTGAACGAAAATGAAAAAATGTCTACTCTTGAATCATATTTATAATGAAGATGATTAATAAAAAATTTCACCAAAATATAAGTATTATTGATTGCTTTAAACTTTAATTATTTCATTGAAATAAGAATAGAATAAAAATTACTTTTCAAGTAATATTAACAACACTTTACCTTAATATTTTATTTCTTTTATATAAATAATAGCTTTTTATTTACATTTCTTTTTAAATTAGTTATTCATCTTTTTGCACCACAAAAATTTGTACGAGATCTTCATAATCGTACACTCTTTTAAGGAATGTATCCGTTAGTTTTAATCCGGAAATCATCTGAAAGATAAAATAAATTCAATTTAGTACGTGGTTTTGTTGACATAAAATGAAAGTATCAATATTCATCATTACGATTAATCCGCATTCCAAAGGAATCAATCGTAAAGGAACATCCAAAAAAGTTCCAGGCTTCAGAGTTCCTAAAGTAATGTCTGAAATTCCACAGTAAGCTATTGAACTGTTTGATTCTAGACTCATCAATAAATCCATGTTTCTTTCTCTGTAATTAATTATTTTCATTAATTACTTTTTTTTAGTAAACGGCAATAACAGAGACAATACTTACGAAGTATTTATGATACGGCATTTAAATTCTAGTATTTCTTCAAGAAATACTTCAGATGGTACATCTTTAGCAGTGACTCTCAAATCTCCATAATCAGATACCATTCTTTGAAGTTGACTAGTTTGTAATCGTCCTCTTTCACCCATATTACTTCGCCATACAATATCTAATTTACCAATACTAGTTTCACCATGTAATAGTTTTAAATGTTGTACAAGATTGGATTGTGGTTTTAAGCAGTAAAGATATTGTCTGCTGCATGTGGGATCTAAGACATTTACTTTACCGAAAATTGATTCTTGTTTGTCATTTACGTTTAAGGTTGATACTGAAATATTAATTACATATCTAAATATAGATTCTACATTTAATAATTTAAAAGATTATTCATAGAAACGATCACACATACAAATTTATATATCAATATTTAATGGATTCATTAATTAGTTGAAATATTCTTATGTGATTTTTTTAAAAGTCTTACCCACAAATAAATTTAATGATTCTAAATCAACTTTTTCTAAACATATCGGTCCAGCCGTTAAATTTTGAATCTGTGCTTCTACGTAAATTTCATCTGACTAGAAGAATCGATTGATATTATAAAAATGAATTTTTATTATTTTATATCGCAATTTAAATTATGATGTAAATAATTACCTCTGCATTATAAAACTTTGTTTTTACGTCCAATGGTTTAACGACTTGAAATTTAAAAAATTTTCTAAATGACTGAGGTGTACTACCAATTGTCGTAGGCACATAACTTACTTCACATACTAATCTGTGAAAAAATAAAATTTAATATAAATAATACGAATATTATCTATATATCATTTAAAATTCAATTTTCTTTTCATACATGTGAGTTCCGATTTCTTTAACTTCATGATGAATCACTTCATCCATTGTGTTATCAGGAGCCAGTTCATCAGTATTTTTATTCGATAATTGAATAGTTTGTGTACTTGTTTGTAAATCTGCCTAAAATAAACGTTATCAAAACATAATTAATTAATTAATTTATCCAGTTAGTATGATACTTTTTTTTAGAACTTACTTTTACATGAATATTTGTTACTAATTGATTACTGCCATTATGAACACATAAATAACTTGAAAAAATTTCACCTAAATAAATATTTCTGAAAAATAATTATATTTGAATCTTTAAATAATATTTAACAGTCACAGAATATTAATCGTTTTACAAAAAAAATAGTTGAAAAATAATTGAAAATAGTGGTAAATGTTATTTTGACGAAAAAATATTAAAACCCATAAATACCCAAAACTTTGAGGTAAAACCATAAATTGACCCACTGCCAAACATTCCATTCCTTGCAAGGCAGTACAATCATTTTTTAATTCATTATTTAAAGTATTCCCTGGAAGATCAGTTGAATCACATGTTACTACAATCGGCATTCCAATTGTTGGCCTCGTTAAGCGCATCACTAGATGATAAAAGATTTTCATTTAAATTTTTATTTCATTTAATACGTCAATACGTAAACTCATAAATTATGAATAATATCATTTCTTACCTTTCAACGCTAAAAGCTGTTCACTCTTCGGTTTTACGTCCATTTTTATTATTTGTTTAATACCAGTAGTTAATAATATTTATTAATAATGTATTTATTAAAGAATATTTATATTAATCTTTAATTTTTTTAACTTTCATCTGTCATTATTGTTATTCAATTTAACCTCATAATCTAACTCCGGAATTTTTCATTCTATTAAATGAAGCTTCACTTCATTTTTTTTAATTAATTAATAGACATAATACGGTAATAAATAATTTTAACATTGATAAAGATTATTACATTTATTTAATCCTATTTTAACAATAAATAATTTCTGTTCATGTTAACGATACAATATCATACACACACAAACATATGTCACATACACACACATTTCACACAACATATCAAATTCTAAACGTATTAACCGCTTTCGCCGCGAGAGGGGCATATTCACAAGTAGATGGAGTTTGTTGTCGACATTCAAATCGTAATAAACAATTTGATGATGGTGAAATTGAGTCAAGTTTATCAGTAAAAAAATCAGGGAAAATTGTTTGTTGAGTACAATTAAAACGTGAAATGTTTCAAGCTTAATTAAAATTAATAAATTAATTGTAAAAGTGAAATGACTCAAGAGTTTAATTGTAGTGTGGCATCACCATTAGCAATAGTTTTTAATTGATTTTTAATAATAGGTTTACTCAAGAATAAATTTGAAAGATAACAAATAAAAGGTTTCAAAATTATTATCATCTTCACGTCAAATATTAGAAATCATTGCAGCAATAAAAGGTAAGTATCTCGATTTCATTACTTAAGAATATTCGACGCAATTTAATGCGCGTCATTTTCATGAGAGTTTCTGAAGGTGAGAATGTAAACAAAACTTTTGGAGTACGCATACATATATGAAGGTATTGTGTGATTGGGGTATTGTTATGAAAAAATAAACATGTGTTTAGATTTATATTATTTTATTGATAATGTTGTGAAATCATTAGACTATCAATAGTCGATGATTTTAATGTACATGAATCTTATGTGCATAATTGAAATGACACTTCAATTGATTCTAGATTCCAAAGATTTATAATTGAAATTTGTTTAATTTCTAAATTATCATATTAAAATATAACAATAGGTAGACCATCCGCAAGAATATTACACTAGTAACCTAGTGTTTTTAATACTTGACAACAGAATGCAATTCCACAAATATCAGAAGTACAATTGTTAAGTACATAACAAAAAAATTTATTCATGGCAAACAATAAATAAATTATAATTCGATAGTAAATCAATTACTATTTCACATAAAATGTTACATTAGATGAATTAGAATATAAAATAGCTAATTACAAAATAACGGCAGTGTAGAATAAAAATCAGCAATACCTTGATTGACATCATACGAATAAAAACTTCTATCAACCTTAAGCATATTAGTAGAAAAGTTTATAAACAATTAGTCAATTCAAGTGTACTGTCTATAATTTTATATCAAAAAATTCAATGTACGAAAAGGTAATATCAATGATTGACAATTTTGTCTTCAAAATGATGCCTTAATATTTACATTTAAAAATAAAATATCATTAATGAAATAAGCATAAGATATTCAAATTTATAAAAATTAAATAAATCTACTGCCGATGATTGTCTTATTGTATTTTGTTATAAAAATTATTGTTTTGCTTCTGCATTTTGATATAGCCATGGGTTGTCATATATAACATATCCAGATCTATCTAAAGCTGTGTCTTTCTTTCCATAATATCTACCTGGGCCTGGATTTCTTACTGCAGCTGGTTGTTGACCTCTATAATCAGAAACTCCTGCAATTTTAATTAATTGTGGTCCACGAACATGTTCTTGATCTGCAGACTCATCAATGAGCACTGGTTTATAAGGTTTCTTCTTGAGAAGTTTCAATTGTGCTTTTGGAGCGGATTCAGCATCAGCGTAATACTTTTGTTGTACTTGGCTAGTTACAAGGCTAGGCTCTGGCAGTGGAGTACCACTAGGTAAAAGATATTGAATGACAGGTGTATGTTCAGGATCACGTTTTCTAGCATCTTCTTGAGCACGAGCAGCAAGTACGGCTTCTTTCTGGGCCTTCAGACGAGCTGATTGATGGGCTTTATATAAAGCTTCGGCTTGAGCATTAGCTAAAGCTTGTGCTTCTTCTTGTGCTTTTTGTTGATTTTTCTCAAAATTGAGAGCAAAGTTGTATGCATCTTCTTGAGCCTGAAGATGAGCTTGTTGTTGTCGTTGAAGTGCTAAGATAGCATCAGCATGAGCTTTGTATTCTGCAGCTTCTTGATGTTTACGAGCTTCAGCAGTTTCAGCAGCAATTTGTGCCTTTAGTCTAGCTCTGTATTTTGCTTCAGGGTTTTTTGGTCTCACTTGTTCTTCAATATGTTCTTTTCCCGCTTCACTTACTCGACCTTGATTGATTTGTTCTAAAGCAGTTTGTTGTCTATGACGTTCATTAACAATTCGTATTTGTTCGAGAGCAGCTTGCTGATGTTTGAGATGTGAAGCTTGGGATATTTTTTGGAAAGCTAAAGCTTGAGCTTCTGCTTGAGCTTGTGCTTGTGCAATAGCTTCACTTTCTTGATGATCTCCTACTTGATGAATGTTTGGATTATTATAGTGAGAGGGAGTTACGTATTGTCGTGGTTGTTGATATTGTGGTTGAGGAGGTGGTTGAGTTGGTTGAGGTTTGACAATTTTTGGACGATGTTCGTATACATAAGCTGCCTCAGGTTGAGGTTGGTATCTTGGTGCTGAAGTTTCAATATGATATTGTTGGTGATCAGGAGAATTCTGAGGTAATGCGTTAGAGGATTTTGTGTAATCAGATACACTTGCCAAGATCTGTTGAGCATATTGCGGATAGGCGTATTGTTTCTGTGGTTTCTTTTGCTCATGAATAAGTCCAAACTCTTGAGCTTGATTGGCAGAAACTAATTGCAAAAGTTCATGCTCGAAAGTACCTCGTTTTGGTTCTGCATAGGCAACAGGAGATTGATATTCTCTTTGCGATGCTTCGCTAGCATGTAATTGTGGTTGGGGTTGAACCTCATGTTGTGCTTCAGCTTGGACTTGCTGGTGTAGTGCTAAATGTGGTCGGGCGACTGGTAATCTTGGTCGATGATAGGCTTGTTGAGGTTGTTGTCTAGCGTAAGCTAACAATTGTCTTGGTTGTTCATTTTCGTGTTTAGCTGGTGCATCGTAGGCTTGAGGTTGGGCCTGGGTGTATTGTTCAATTAGAGCCAGGTATTCTGGGGATAACTAAAAAATAATACATTTTTTTTTTAATTCTATTTCTTACCAAAAAATTAATCTCGTAAATAAAAAATTTCATTGATTACGATAAAAGATCTTACTTCTTGTGCATCATCACCATGGCGGATAATAAATTGGTTCTGAGCTCCACCATAAACATTGCTGGTAGTTATAGGTGATCGTTTAACTGGTTCTTTGAGATCGATTTCCAAAAGTACAAGTTTATCATCATCTTTTGCTTTTTCTTCAAGTTTTGATGCTATACATTTTTCATTAAGTAAAAAAATGCAAAACCCTGAAATAAATCAAAATCATTTAATCATCCATAAAGTAATCCATCATAAATTAGCCTTATGATTTCTCCAATCGTTTTTTTTTTTTTAATACAAGTTTGTTTATCATGAACGAGGACTAGAAATATACGCGATATAAATCGTTCTTGATCCTTCACACGACGAGGTCGTTGCACTGGTTTTCCAACCAGTTCTTCAGTGTTGTTGCCATTAAATAATTTTTTCCAAATTAAAAACATATGAAAGTAATCGCATTCAAGATGTTGTAGCATTTTATTTATTTTACTATTGAAATAAAAACTTCCCCTCTCAGTTGAATATTTATAGAATGAATTTATGTTTTTCATTGTCGTTTAATGAGTTAAGATATTAATTATGATAGTATCTATATAAGGTCTTTGAGCTAGATTTCAAGAAATAATTACATTTTTCTTCAGAACTGAAAACTATTTCAATTAATTTAAATAATTTATTCAATTACTTTTTTAACGGTTTAACTAACTTTATTAGAGCTAATTAGTATTTTTTCAAATCGATAGTTTTCATCATTAATTTTGCAGATTAGAAAACAGATCAAAAATCATGTTAACAAATCTATAAAAAATTTTATGGAGCTGTATAATATTTTATTTTATTCTACGAATTAGTCATAACTTAAATAAATAAACTTGATGTAAATCTAGTTCTTTTACGCAATCATTGATATATTTACAATCTTTCACTTGTTAATTATGGTCATGTGTAAGTAGATACACTAACGAGTCATAGTTGTCGACCATATTCAACAAAAAATATTATTCATATTTCATAATAGTAATAAATAAATATATGCTAATTAATAAAGTATATTCATACTACGATAGACTGTGCTATTCTGGTTTAGTTCTTTATCCTCCAAGGGTATGCAAATTATTTTATTTTTGTTATGCTTGGAAAAATTATCTAATGACTCAAGGCAGTTCGAAGAGAATTGTGTGATATTAAATAGAGCATTGTAAACTTTTACCGAATAACGTAATAATAAAAAATTTTATAATAATAATTTTTTTATTAATATTTATTATTTGATTTTAATTATTAAAAGACATTTTTTTTCTAAACTACAACAAAATAATTGTGTTTTCAATAAATAATCATCAAAAGTGACGTTCGATCATTATTTATGATGAAAATATTAAATTTTTTTTTAAATTACAAATAATGTCATCAATGTAATGAACATCTTTAGTTATGATGCAATATAATTAATGACAACAAACAGTTGGTATTTGAATTTAGTCATGTCATTGAAAATTAAAGAAACAAAAACTCAAGTGACTATTATTTTCTTTACTTTCTCTTACATCATTTATAATGACATTATAAAATAAAGATATAATCATCTAAGATGTCCATGACTTATAGAATTACTTTCGATCATCAAAAAGTTTATGCTTTCAAAATATAAACAATTTATCATTGTTAATCTATCAATTAATATTTGTATCATCATATATTGACCAATATCACTAATGGCCTTGACCCTGTCATTTAGGTTGTTGCCCTTTCAAGATTGTGTGTTCATACATTTCTTAACAAATAACAATTCATTTTTTTAAATTGTTTACTTTCTAAATACCATGCAGACTTTACTGGTTAATTCTATCTGTAAGTGGTATTAATTAAATAAAATTTTAAAAAATTCTAAATGCAAGAAATGTTATGGAATAATGGAGTAAGTTGGTTTGAACTATCATATGATCTTTAACCGAAATAATGAGAAACTTATCAATCATTTTGATAAATAATCATTTCACTTTTTACATTTTAAAATTTAACAAGACTTGATATGATAATAATAGACTAACGTAATAATGGTTATATATAAATGAGATTGTTAAGTAATGTTTATCGACTGAATAGTTGCTTTGATATATTGCGTGATGTTTCAGACAGTTTGATATATCGCGTGAGTACAACTGTATGTTATGTTCTCTAATATGCTTTACAACTTCAATAAGTATCTGTTACTGATAGAGGTGTAATGTATTTTATGAAACATAGTCGACTGTCATGAATTTTACAATTATGTTGACACTTCTAAGTCATTGGGATACATTAAGAAGTATTGGAATCAAATCCAATTATTTATTTATTTATTATTAAAATAATCTATTTCTTACGATTAAATTTACTGGTTTTTCAAATGATTTTTATATTAGAGGCATACCTCAATATATTTCATATAACATAAATTTAATTCATCAATAAATTCCATGAATTTTGTTGCTAATTCATGTAAATTTTCTTAGAAGTAGAAAAATCCGGTTTTGTTCAGACATTTCTCTTATATTGGGTATTCATATAATATTTTAATAGAATGTTTATAAGAGTCCTGACTAAAGTCTAATCGTATTCCAACAATTTTTTTCCTTATATTCGGGTAGAAAAATTCGTGTTATGCACAATAATGACTATTTTCGCAAAATACTTTTCTTAGAGAAAAGAAGCTAAATAAAAAATAGTCAAAATATTTTTTGAAATAAATAAATTATAGGAATAAGTAAAATTGTTAGGTTTAATTTCAACAATTTTCTTCTTTTAAATTTATAGATGTGTAAGAAGGTCAAGGTCTTATTTCTCTTCGGTGTAGAGTTTAAAATGTTGAACAAAAAATAATTGTTTGTAAGAGATTTCATGGTGTTCGGTAATTATATTAGTTGTCAGCTTGTAAACATTTAAATATGTTGTTCAGGATATGCTCGACATTTACTGAATGTAGAAAAAAAATTTAGGTTAATCGTTGAATAATTAATATAATTTTTATTTAAAAAAAAATGTATGTGAATGTTAAGAACGTAATTACGAACATATTTTATTTAATAATAAACTAAAAATTTTAGAATAATTATTAAAATTACATGCCATAACTAATGTGCCATACAGAAATTGTTTTTATCATTTAAGATCATGGGATCAATGAAAGTTATAATTATTTGTATTGGTTATATCATGTAACAGATTAGTCTTATACAAATGCAATTATTAGACGATTGGTTTTCAATTTGATTTTATGAAAAAAAATTTACTGTAGTTAAAATAGGTTTGAGTGAGTGACCTTTAACAAAACGTGATTTCTACAACTTTTTCTAAAGAAAAAAAATGTTCAGTGAACCATGAAACCGGCAAAAACAATGACTTTTACTCTTAACATATGCAATCTATACATCGGAAAAAGTATGTGTGTTTTTTAGCAGAAAAGATTCTGTCTATTATTCAACAATTATTACTAAGAGAAAAAATTCCATAGATAATCGAGAATATTAAGAAAATTAATGAAACTTTTTCTCAACTTCAATTTAAAATTATTTTTTACTTATTTTGTGACAACAAAGTAGATGTTAGGAAGAATTAAAAAAATTATAGTTCATTGGCATCACCTCACCATAAGCTATTTTGTTTAAATTCCTCAAAGTAAAATTTTATATTTATATATGTGTTTATTTAAACATCTTGTTAGTTCATTATATACTTCTCATAAAAATTTTCAATTGAGAATATTTTATACTTTTATAAAACAATGATAATTTCTCTGCATTAAATAACACAGTAATTATTTATTATTATCATTTCTTTTTATTAAATATAAATTTCTCATCAACAATGTGATTTCTTTTGATAAATGCCATGCTAAATTACCTTCAACAATTTTGATTTAATTAAAAACTAACTTAATCAAAAAATTACAAAATCATTTCTGTCAATTAATAATTTAAAAAGTTGCTCATTAGTAATAAAAAAATTTCATTTTTCCGAGTGCCAGTGCACTAGCCCTTGTCAAATTAACGAAAAAAAAAAAAATTAAAAATAATTATCTACAGTCAATGGAATTATTATTAAGTAAATCAGTATCGTAAAAGTCAAATTAAAAAATAGGAGTATTATAATTCATATATTATGTTTACAATATTTCACCTATATATTGTTCACATGACTATTAAGTCAGTATCTCACGATCTCTCTTTGTTCACTGACATCGTTCCGGATCTTAATGGCAGTTTTATCATAATCGATTACATAAATTAAATCGTGCTCCAAAGCTATCACGTATATCATGCTTAAATTAAATCAATTTTGCTCGATCGATTTCATCGAATTTTGACAACAATTTTTCACGGTTTCTCTCTTACAATGCATATCGAACCGAAAGGGAAACGCAATTCTGATGACAGCTAACTACGGTAGAAAGGAAGTGGCGTTGAGCAAAGTTAAGAGAGGAAGAGAGAGTGTGTGTGTATATTGAAAAGTTACTTGAAAGACTATTATGTGAATGGGAAAGTACACTAGATTATCCCGGAAGTGTGTCTTATTTTAATCCTGTCTATATATATAGATAGATATTTATGTAATGAATGTGTATATACATAAACGAAAAAAATTTTACAACCAAAATGACCGGAGGATATTAAACGGTACAATGGTCAGTGAGACTATCACGTGATACCGGAAATATGATTAGCGAAATATCCGGATAATATTCTTGCAGATGAATGATAATAAACACTATCCATTCTCCCTTGTGACATTCTGCAGCTTTTCACACAGAATGAGAAACAAAATAAATTCAACTTATCTATGTCGCTTTCACTTTTACAATCTATTCGCAATACCACATCGTATCATATAACTACATCGTTGTTTAATTAATATTTCCGGTCTTGCAGTTCTTTGATAATAACATTGCTCTTGTCAAAATAATTCGTAATCACATAACAATTATTAACACTCAACAATATTAATTATTATTTACAACCTTTTATTGCCTGAAACTTGAAATTTAATCGAGGATAACCGAAATTTTACAACAGACATTGAATGGTTTTTTAAATTTCAAGGGGTTTTAGAAAAAAAAATTTTCGGAGTGTTTGAATGATTATGATCACTTACCTATAAATATAAGAATTTTCATGATGAATATATCAAGTACGAGTGTTAAAAGAATGTCTTATTAATGTCGTTTTCTCGTGCCTTTATAGACCTAAGAGAAAGGCCGCACCCGATCTTGTAAAGTGGGGTTACTTAGCGTCCTTCTCAATACTCTTTCACTACTTCGGTTGGTTAGCTATTTATAAGTGAACGAAGTAATAATTCGGCTAAGTACGTCCACTGGAGGGGTAGTTGTTAATTTAATATTTTAATGCCATTATTAGTCTGCATATGTGTGAATTCATTAGATACATTCATTACAATGTCATATTTTTTATGGTTGACTGATAATAAATTTAGCATGGGAATAAGGTAATTCTGTAAACTGGCAAATTAATCTGGATTAATAGTTGATATTTAATTTAATAATACAATGATATATGATGATGATGATTTGAGGGGTTGGATATTATAATGAGGGGATTTGATGATTGGGATAGGTCCAGGATTTATGGTGGATTTGGGTGAATTTATTGAAATGTAAGAATCATTGCGTTTGATAAATCAGAACTAGATCAATCTAGTACTGTCTACGCCATTCTATTGTTGCATCATAGCTGCAGTACCCACGCCCCCAATAAGGATTTCTCATACTTCCCTGAGCATGGGTCTCCTCCAAGGTAGAGACTGTAGTAATACAAATGAATATCCGTATTACTATAGTAATACAGACGCCCGTGAGAACGGTAAACGGTCAAACCAGCATGAGCAATTTACTTGTTGAATCATTCTTATGTGAACACATAATATAAACCATGAGTACGTGTGCATGATTTTTTTTTACCTATTCGCTTAATTATATGCTGAAAAGAAAAATTATTATTTAATATAATTAATTAAATGGAAAGCAGAAAATTTGCGGGAGAATGTGATTTCTACCTTTGAAATTTCAATTTGGTTGATGAATTATTTATTAGGGGTTTGTTTTCTTATTTAAATAAGTAACTGTTATACTAACCATTTGGATAAGGATGGTTGAATTTGATAAATGATGTATTATGAGAATATTACTGGTAGAAATCAAAGTAGCACTTCCCTGATATTATACAAAAAAATTATTGCTAAATTTTTTAATATTTATTTAAAATTATAAATTTAAGTAGAAATAATATTAGGGTAATTTTTTCTAATTATTGAGGGAGGGAAAAGAATGATTGATTGAAGGAATTGATGATATTTGATCAGTTGAATATTTATTGAAGGACTTGGAAGGATTTAACAAGGAAAAAACAATGACAGAATTAGAGTTGAAAATTTTAATGACATTTGTTTAATGTATTTAATAAGGGTATGAGAGGTATATTTTTCAAGAGAGAAGGTTGTATTATTTTTTCTTATCAAGGATACAAGTATTCCAGAGAGAAATAGCTCAGTAAAACAGAAAACGAAAGTAGTAGGTATGTGTATCCGCATTGTATATTTTCCTTATAATCTTTATTCATAATTTTTTACTACGTTCAATCCCATCTAATAAAAGTGTAATTATTAAAAAAAACTACAGTAATAAGAGTTGAATTAAATTATAAATAATAAAATATGTAGATGAAACTTCCTTTAATTAAGAAAATTATGAAACATACACGAGAAGTAAAATTTTATAAAAACAATTGCTTATATTCACAAGATTGTATTTTTGCAAAAAATAATAAGTAAATAAATAAATAATAAGTCATTCTTGATATTTACAATTATCGAGTTTGGCAATCAAGTTCAATAGTGCAGCAATAATCAAACTGAACAGGATTAAATCAATTCAAACTATTTATAAATAGAAAAAAAACATGAAAAAATACATTTTTCATTTCTCTTTAATAATTATATTTATTCATTTTTTTCTAATATATAATTTTTTTATTTAACAACAATAAAATTGTAGATAATTTGTATTGAACTAGTTAATAGAACTTAGATAAAGGCTATTAAAAATGTGAGTGTAGTTTACAGAGACAGCTTAAATTGTATACCATAACCAATCGAATGTACCAATCTTTCAACTGAGATATTCAACATCCATGCTGGAAAATATATTGAAAGTGTAACACTTTATCCGCTATGGCATGTACAGAGCATATGTCAAGTTAAAACAAAAAAAACATATATCAAATGAAAAATTACTGAATTTTAATGGTTAAAAAGAAATGTAATCCCTACCATAATAAGATCATAGTTTAGCAAGTGATGAAAAAAATTTTCTAGTGATCAAATTTAATTTATCATGATTTATTAAGCCATAATGAAAGGTAGCTGTCTCAGCTACATTTAGCATACAGCTAGATCCTTCATAGTTCTTTGTAACCGGAACAGTAGAATTACTCGAAACAATATACATACAATACATGATATTAAATCTCTAAAAAAAATAAGATACTTAATAATAATGATTTATTCATATTTATCCCAATTGTAAGTAGGATTAATCACGCTCAAAGCAGTAAAAATAACGTAATCTAGATGTAAGCAAATTGATTCTTTTTATCTGATTAAAATCTGTATAGACTAGTATTTATTAACAAAAATAATATATAAATCTTCATTGAATGACAGACTGAAGTAAATAATTTGCATGGAGAAATTTTTCAGAATGTATTCAAGTGTTGGGAATATCATTCAGTCTTTCTGCATTGCAGAAAATTATTCATATGTTTTTTTTTATTCATGGGAAAAAGACATTGATTATAAATTAAGAAGATTCTTTTCATCACTAAAGAGTATCATTATTAATGATTTTCATTCATTATAAATTGCTATGAGAGGAAGATCTTTATGTAAGCGATGAAATTGCAATCAACTACTAAAATTGATTCTGTTGATTCTCTTGGGTAAGATATTAACCATCGAATCACTTCAGTTATATGAACTTGATTACTCATTTATTAAAAAATTACAAAAAAAGATAATAATATTAGTAAATAAAAATTTTCTTTTCATCTTCCATGGTAATTAAAAGATAGATTTTTTATAAAAATACTAGAATAGAATTAATTTGTGAGTTAATCATGATTGGTACTGCAATCATATAATGTTAATTACTTAATTTATTCATTGTATGTATTGGTCCAGCAGTTGGTATGCAACTTACATAGGTATAAATCAAGTTATGTTAGAAAAATATAATTAACAAGTACAATGAACTAAAATGATAGACTCTGCCCATTTAAGTGCCTTAAATACATATTTAGAAATAATAATAGTCTGTTTCAGGCGTGTAAAAATTTCACACTTCTATTATGGTGTGCATTTTATTCATGGAAACAGCATTTATTTCATAGATTTGTTTTGAAATACATATTTCATATGAGAAAAATGAGATTACGAAGTTCTATTGTCTGTTGATCATGCAATAATACATAATATAGAGAGATTATATAATTTTTCATTCCGATCCATCACATCTAAATCGAAACCACTTATTTTCTGTTCATTTGCTGTTAAGTTGATATTAGTATTGATCGAAAATTGTTCACGTCTTATAAATTTTTTTCAATATACAATTTATGAACTTGAATGTGAGAGAGATATTTGTATAGAAACAAAGAGAAATGCCAGACAAAAGATGATAATGTTTGATGATTACATTAACAAAAATATATTTTTCTCACACTTGCGGATTTGAAAGTCGTTTAGTTGGTTTAATGATTGTTTTATTCATGACTGCACTCTTGATGAAGATGATAAGAAATCACCTAATTTATCTTAAGGATATCTCTTCTTATAATATTCTAAGTTTCTATTTCTATTTTTTGGATCTTCTTTATTTGACTTTTAATTTCATTACTAATAGATAGATCGATAATCAAGTTGGAAAAATTGTATTACAATTCACAAAGAATTATGTTTTTATATTTGATAATCAATATTTGTATCAATTTTTAAAAGGTAGAATACAAAGCATCATAATTAATTAATGATGTGGATAAAATCTTTTATAATTATAATTGTCTTGCAAAACAACTATTATATTTTTTCCAATGTTTTTCTTTTGAGTATAATACAGAAAAGCGATGGTCTAGTTAGATCTCCTGATTATTACATGTATATAGATTATAACTATGATTATAAAAGCATCAAATATATTGTCATATTATGATCTTTCGAGTAAAAAAAAACTGATAATCTCATGCTTTTATGAAGGATCTAGGGAATAAGTACTCAGAAAACTGGGCTTGGTATAGTATCAACACGAAAGTGTATAAAAATAGGTGTGTGATGTTTCATTTCTTCATGCAAGAGTTTGAACATTTATTTCATGATCTTGTTAGTGACAATTACTAAGTCGTATTAATAATTAATAATTTATTACGTTACTTATCAATTAGCAATGTTCAACTGTAAGCCAAAAAATCTTGAAGAAGCTCGATGGCCTGTATTGGTTGTTTCGTGGCTTTTCGGCTTTGGAATAATACAGTATCCGTTAAATCATCAAAGGATTGGTTTAACTTTGTGTTTTTTAAGTTTTTATACGTGCGCTTATTTTATTTCTCTTTGGTATTGTTTTTCAATTGCTCTTAGTTCTATCTGGTTTGAACGTGAAGAACAATTATATATTTTTATTATTATTAGCAATGTTATTTTGATGATTATTAATATTATAATCGCATGGATCCACCGAAATGTAAGAATTTTTAATAATATTATAAACTTAAAGATCATTTATCATTAATCTAATTATATTAATTATGAAGAGCACAGTGCAAATCAGCAAAAAAAATATAGCCGTTGAAGAAATTTTGAAGACTCTAGGATTATCAGTTGGTTGTTTAAAACGAGCTTTCTATTACACGCTAATGTTGGTCATTTGTTGGATTATTACTTCATTTGGAATTAATGCCTTGACATTGTTATGGCTCCATCATCGTACTACGTTGATAAATAATATTGCTATGATCGTCACTTTTCAACACCCAATGCACGTGAATACTAGTATTGAGATGGTTTTTACTTCATCAATCAGAGATATGGGTTTAAGATTGAAATGTATCAATCGATTGCTGTTATTACATAGTAAAGTCAAAGTTAATAATTGGATATTAAATCATTATCAAGTATCTTCTGCTACTGAATCATATCAATCAGAAAAGAAAAACAGTGTTACTCCCAGCTTTCCTGAATATGAAGCACCATTTCAGAATATCAATAAGACTCTTAATATTATGAAGTAATTTTTATAATTTGATGCATAATAAATCGTTTTATATTAATGCATACGATTATACATAATTAATTATTAACCATTTGTTTTATATCATTTTAGATATTTACACTTGGAAATAAATTTACTGTGCAACAGAATAATGATGTTATATGGTTTTCAATTATGTATGGCATTATCAATAATTTTTGTAGTAATGACATGTATGTGTTATGCGATGTGGTTAACTGTATTCAACCCAACTCTGACATCACATGAAAGAATTATCAGAAGTGTCGTTCTTTCGGGTTGGCTTCTGGTATACGTCTTTAAATTTAGTCTGATAAATATTATTAGTGCTAAAACAGCTGCAGAGGTATAAAGAAATAATTATTTTCATTATGATCTAAAATTAATTTAATCCTACATTTATATTTTTGTGTTACAAAAATAGTATAAACGTACTGGTGAAATAATTCATCAAATTGCAATACAATCTCAAGATAAAGAACTTATTGAAAATATTCAACAATTTTCTATTCAAATCATGCAGAATCCCTTAACATTTTCTCCCTGTGGATTTGTACAACTTGGATATCCACTGATTAAAAATGTAAGTAATTATAATAAATAAAAAATATTCAACTTCTGTAAAATGATGAATGAATATTTTTTTCCAGTTTATTGCATCAATGACTACTTATCTGGTCATAATTATACAGATGAGTGATCCGTGATGAGAATATGAACACAAAAATTGTAAAGAAGATAATTATATAATTTTTCATTTTTTTCATACGCTAAATAGTTTTATAGTAATTTAGACTCTACTTTTTCTAGAGTATCATTGAATTTCTCTTTCAGTTGTGGAACACTTATTTTCATCTTTTTAATTCTGACAGTAAGTGTATTACAGTGTGTATATGCAAATTTAAAAGCCATTAAATTTATGAAATTAAAACGAAACTTTAAGAGTCGAAAATAGTGAAATTATTACGGAAGTTTATCAAGTTGATAGAGAAAGTGAATGAAGACATGACATTATTACTGCTTGAAGTGGATATGAGAAAATATGTTTACCGGAATTGAGTTATAATAGCATAGAAGGAATCTTCACGGTCGAACTTTGCGTGTATAATTACACACGTAAGAATGAAATATTATCGAGTAATTATTTGTAATAGACAGATTAAAAAAGTAATATTAGCGGTCATTTATGAAACTCAAGGTAAAATTAAAAATATATGGTGAAATTGTTACATCGAAACGTTCTATAAAACAACTTAATTTTACTGAAAGTGATGTATTCGATTCTTTTATTACTCAATACTCAAATTAATTTAGTTTTACAAAACTAGGAAAAAATAACGTATTATTTATAAAAGGATACGGATAATTATATTGAATAAAATTGAACTATGTTTTAAATTAATTAAGAACATCACTTTTGTGATGTTAAAATAAGTAACCATATTGTAATGATAGAAGATCACTTCTCTACAGTTTATATAAAAAATAAAACTTAATATAATGCGATTTTGATATTAACAAGTCTTCCTGTCTAAGCAAAATGTAGATCTCACAATGAGCACCGAAGTTTTGTACCTTATATAGTGGTAATAAAGTGAATGTTCCTGATATGATTGACCATATAAGTCTAACAAAAATCCACGAACATTTTAAATGAGTTTTACTAGTTAAATGATCAACTACAGGTGCATGGTTAACTGGTACAACTACTCTGTATGCATACATTTAAAGACATACTTGCGTAACTGGTCTGGTCAATCTATCTTGCATCGATTAGCGAAAGTTTTTGTATGATTCAAATCATTAGTTCAACTCTGAAGCTCAAAGCAACAATTAATCAAGTAACTTCCCTCTATTGATTAAAAATTCACCAATAAATCTATTTCAATTGTTATTACATAATAATTACAATTATTTAAATGTATTTAAATTATCTTAAATTATCTATATTATTAATAAGAACAGCTACAATTAAATTGCACACTTAACAATGGCTTCAAAGAATAATTATTTAATTTATTATAAACCGAGAGTATTTCAATTCAATATCTGAAAAGAAATATCAACCAGTAATTATTTAGAAAGTGTAAAGCTTCTTCAATGACCTTGATCTTGACATTTATCTACCTCGACACTGTTCTGAGAAAGACTGGATAATATATATTTATACCAGTCAGCTGCCGCTCTTTGGAGAAATGTTAGATTGATATAAGAAAACCTAGAGGTATTGATGATACTGAGTGTAAATATCATCGGGTGTATGCTGAAAATATAAACAGATAATATTTCCATGTTTGAGAAAGTTTTCTATTTATTTTTATTGCAGATTTAACTCAAGAATTTATATCGAAATAAATATCAAATATACCTATTAGAGATAATCGTTAAATTAAAGTCTGGAATGATTAACTAAAATTTATTTTGAATTCAAGTATCACAATTTTTACATTATTTTAAATTATTTACGATGTTCGGAAGCAGTGATAATTTTCGCCGGTATTTTAAATATTTATTATTGTACAAAAAACAATGATAAATAAGTCATTATTCATGATCTTTTTTTTTTTATTAATTAACAAAAGGGATGATTTTACTTTGTTATTTTCGTAATGCAATCTAACTGATTTCTAACAGACATTCTGCAGATATTAAACAATCAACGCAGAAAATCAATTTCTTACATGATTATAGAGGGTATTTTTTAACGTAAATGATATTGACACATTTTTTTAATATATAATTTTAAACTATATCAAGTTTAATGAGAAAAATTAAATTTTTTGCACCTTAGAATTTAAAATGGTAATAGATATTAGAGCGGATTTATTTATTGCTTTTCACCAATGCTAAAAAGTTTTTTTATTTTTTTTATCAAAAAGATAAATTTCCTTTTTCTAATTTTATTATTGCATTTTTGCAAATATTAAATACTTTTCACGTAACTCAAAGTCGAATTTTTTCGAATTAGCACAAGTGTATGTTAATTGTAATAACTGAAATTGAACATTTGCTCTTTTAGTGTGATCTAATATTACCACTTTAATTTCCATCAACTTTTAATTTCCGGAATAAAGCTAAATATATTTTAGTAAACAGATTTTTTTTTTTTCATTTAAGTCGATATGACGTTATTTGATTAACATTGTTCTATACATTTTTTTAAATAAAGTATTATAACTTGAAGCAAAATTTACCGAGAAACCACACAAATAAAAAATTCTATCTATAGATCAAATATCATATTTTAGAAGTATCTGATAATTTATAACAAAATTTTACACTTCATCAACATTCAAATGAATTGTTTTTCAATTTTTTTTTGTTAATTAAATTAAAAAATGCTGAATAAAAGCAAAGAACGAGTTTATAAATAATAATATATCCAGTGTCGACGAAATTGTATAGATAAAAGTTATTTATAATTAATACTAAACAGATAATAAATATCACATATACCCTTACACACATTTAACAAGCAACCAAAACATTTGCTTTAAGTTTTTTCATACATTTATATGTTGTTTAGATTTTTGGTTTTAATATTATGAGTAGAATTAATTTGCAGTCTAAACTATAATTTTAGAAAATTTTTGCCTTATGTGTGCCTTTTCTTATTACACTGCTGCTCGAATGAAAACTTAATAATTTAGTCAATAAATAATAAGCGATCCAATATTCCTTTACATAATATTTTTTGTTCATTAATTTAAATGATACATTATATTGTTTAAGCTACTATTTTAAGATAAGGTTGGTGATTTAATATTTCAATTTACTATTATGATTATACTTATTTCAAGTTTTATACAAAAGAATCTAATACCATTATTCGAAAATTTTATAGAGCATATTTATTGTATAATAAATATTCGATAGCCGACCTAGCCAGCGGGTCGTTATAGCTGGTTATAGCACTTATAAAACTGTCATTTGTTTCGCACTATTCCAATTATTCAAGTTTACGAATTAAAGCATTTTTTAAATATTTTTATTATCTATTGTTCATCAAGATCAAGGCCACACTAATATACTATTCTAGTTACACCATAAAAAATAGCATGAAAAATGTGACCGATACAAAATATAAAAGATAAACCAAGTAAAAAAAAATTTACATAAAATTTTTAAACATAGTTTTGTTTTTTATTGTATAAATTGTATGATATACAAGAAAATTTATAACTTTACTTTATCACAATTAACATGATAACATTATAGAAAAAAAAGTTTTATCCGAGCAGCATATAGTTGATTAAAAAAAGTCACGCTACATTTTTTTATTTTTAAATCTAAGTGATAATAAACCAAAGGTTTTATTTTTTTTTTTCTTTTTCTAGACTTATTCTCTATAGTTCAGCACAACTATTTTTTTATCGATATTATGATTGAATATGCATTGAGTAGGCAAATTTGTAATAAAAATTGGGAGCTCATATCTACTTTGACATTTTTGTTTTTATATCTGTAGACTTTCACCACCAATAATTATACAATTAAAAATTAATTTAGATTTCAAAAAATTTTTTCCTTCGAAGTATTATAAATGCTACTCATCATCTTTAAAACAGAATATTTATTGTTACCATAGAAGTTTTTCTCAAAATATATGTTGAATTACATAATAGGTATTTATATATGAAACATATTTTACACTAAATATTGTTCTTAAGCATGTGTAAGAACATTTGCCGATTTTGTATGTTTAAATTGTTATAAAAAATATTTATAACTAAAGTAAACATACAAATACAAATATATATTTATTATATGGCCTTTCTTTCGAAGGAATGAAGATTTTCAAATATTATTTTCAAAGCGGCATTAACCATACGGTTAATTATACTCATAAATTACGGTCAATATAATTTTATAATAAGAAATATATGCCCTCTATTAATTCCCTCCTGGTGAGTTCACCATTGAAAGTTTTTTTTCTTTCAAACATCATTGTCCACTGTAATACCAATAAATGATTATTGGAATTACATATACATGACAAAATCACTTTTTTCAGTTATTTTAAACTTCATATTCAGTATTATGAATTACATATTTACATTTGAAATTGGATTTATTCAAGTTCGTTGTTGAAGCCCAATTGCAGTGTTCTGGCTCTGCAGAGTTTTTAATGCTTAAACAATCGAAGTTTAGCTTTTTAGATGATATTTATATTATATACTAATATAAGTAAACATAACCATCGATAGAATAATTATACGCTTATATACAGTTTTTACGAACGATGGTTTTTCATTCATAAATATATCTTCACAAAGTGTTTCAATAATGAAAAAAGCATTTATTATGATTAATTATTAGAACTTATCACTCTCTTCGATTTCACATTAATCCTTTAAAGTCATATTATTAGTTTTTTCACTAAAGTTTGGTTCAATTAAATCACACGTCATTTGTTTTATATTTGAAATCTTTCATGCACTTCACGATATATATATGTGTTTGATACACCACTAGTATATCCTTTTTTTTTATGATGAAAATTATAATGCAATGGTTTTTAAGATAACTTTGTTTGGTTTTTAAAATTCATTATCAAACCATTATTCAATTTTCACTGACCGCTATAATACTGTACTCGGCCACTTGTTTCAGTCGCTGGTATTTCTCGCATGATCGCATCCCATGCTGAAAAACAAAAATAATTTTATTAGTACAACTGTGGTAATTTAATATGTTGATTTATTACTTGGTAAAAAAAGAATATATAAAATCTTAAAGTAGCCATAGTGACTTGGCAAGAAATCAGTATTGTTGGATTTAACAAAAGAACATGGATTTATTTTTCTGGCATAATGACAAAGCTTCATAAACTGAAATCATGTTCAAAGGCATTTTTTCATACAGCTTAAGGCTGTCAGATTTTTTTCTTTTAAGTAAGAATATAAGAATAATGATTTTTCCATTAAAAAAAATTAAAATCATCATCTAACTATAGAAAATATCTTACATTTTTAATTTTAAAAATTAGAATTAGTCAATAATTAAAAAATTATCGTAAATTATAAAATAAAATTTCTTACCTAGTCCAACAAAGGCTACAATCTTGTCGTGATTGAAATCTATATTAATATTTTCTTCAGGAGCAATGTATCGTGCACAAAAATCTTCCTTAGGATGATATTTGTCGATATTTGACGTAGTAGGTTGAGAGACGACAGGTGAGCCATAAGTAATCGGTGTTTGGTATCTCGGGACGTATCCATATAAGTAGGGATTCGGTGAAATAATCATTGGAGCATGGGGAACTTGATGACGTTGTGATTGATAAGTGAGAGGTGTTTGTGTATGAAAATTCGATGACACTTTTTCATTATTTTTTACATGTTTATCAAAAAGTGGTGGTGGCAACGACCTATCAGTGTTAGTAGTAGGTAATTTGTTGTGAACTTTTGGTGGTTCAGATTCAGAAATAGATTTGTCTTCTGTAGCTTGTACTTTACTATCTTCTAATTGGAGTAGCTGTACATTTACTTCGAAACCGAATGTGAGTTCACTTGAATTATCCATACTCTTGGTGGTATTAGATTGCGTATCATCCATCAATATAACTACTGCAGGTCGAGGATTCTTTTTAGTTGAATGCTGGTTTACAGTTTTTACTACACTTTTCTCTTTATTGATATTTTGTTGAACTGATTTCTTCGTTTCTGCCTCTTCACTCTTTCCACATTGTGTTACTGGATTACTTTTAACTAATTTTAAATTATTCAGCTTTGTAACAGAGTTCAATAGAGGTTCTCTGAAAACTGAAGTTGACTTTACTGAGTTTTCTATTTTAACATTAGCTGATTTAGACATCTCTAATTCATCTTGAATTTTTGGATTTGTAGGTTTTGGAGGATTATTAATTTCTGATTTTGATTCTGAAAAATCCTCTTGCCCTAACGAAAAACAATTAGCATTTACAGTTACAGTTTTTTTATTATTCTCAGGAAACTGTTGACAACTTGGCTTTTTTAATTCGTCAGTTATGTTTGGTTTTTTTACATCACGATGTTCTGCCTGATTTATATTGGTTGGGGGTTGTGGAATTTGTTGGAAATTTTTGCGCGGTAATCGTTGATGATTAGTTAATGTTTTTGTATTAATTGCACTATCTCTGATACAAGAATCAGAATTAGATTCATTTCCGACATTTTTATTATTCGTTGGGATTATAATATTCATTTGTGGATTTGGTTCGTTTTGATTAGAAGAATTACAATCTGAATTGGCATTAAGATTTTTTTGTTCTTCAACATACTTGATTACTTGTATTTTTTTATTAATGGCTTCTTCTCGTGCTTCAGCTTTTTTCGAATCAAACGAATTCTTAAATTTAGAATTGGTTGATGATGAATATTTGTCAAAACTTAAATTCAAATCTTGCATTTGATTTGAATTAGTTAAATTGTGTTGTCTGAGTTTACGATCAGATTGTTGTAATTCATCAAGACTTGGATAGTAATCTTGTGGAAATTTATCAGGTTCTGATGGTGATTTAACAGATACCGAAGGCCAACAAACTGTTGTCATCATATTTGGCATAACGGAAGAAATGTTAAGAACAGAATTGGGAGATAAGTTTATATTCGCCATACGAGTAATATCAGCATAACTTGCTTGAGAAACACTGACAGTTGATGATATTTTGTCATTAAGATTGTGTTTTGTGTTTGATGTAACAGGAAGAGAATGCACCGAATCTGAATCACTACTATCTGATTTATCACTAGGTGGCATACTACTGGCTGATTTTCGTCTAAGTTCTGGAGAAAGCTGTGTCCTGTGTTCACGAGCAAAGTCTCTAGTTCGTGGCAAATATGAAACTGAACTGGCCAAATTTTGTGTTCGGCTACCACTTGAACTTCTGCGTTGCCTTTTAGTTTTTTTCTTTTTTGTGACAATTAAAAATTCTGGTTCTGTGTCTATTTCAGGGTTGATCTTTTTGTAAGAATTTCGTCGCGTGCTAGAAGAATTTGTGTTTACAGTAGTTGATGTGAAAGTACTGGTATGGGAAGTTGTATAGTTAATATAATCGTCTCCAATATCATTGCAATATATAGATTGTCCTTCTTCAGTACCCCAAGATCGTCGGTCACCTCGGCAGTCAACTGCTGGATCACCAACGCTATGTTGTTTCGCCCTTCTTAATGACCCTCCATTGAATGTTCCTTTATGAATAAACAATTTATTGTTAACATTTAAATAATTTTTACATAGAATAGTACTAAGGATAATATTTGCTTACCATGCTGACTAGAGATACTACTAGCTCCACTAGAGCTAGTACTTCTTTCAACGGTAAGATCTTCTAACTTGGTCTTCGATATTTCTTCAAGTGAATTGGATTTTTGTAATTTACTTGTTAGTGATTCTCTCTTTGAATCTTTTTCTCTGCTTCTTGATTTTGGCCCAGTTGCAGACTTGACTTTGACAGAGTTACTTCCGGTTTTACCTTTCTTACCTTTAGACTCTTTACTCTCAATAAAGTTAATCAAACTATCAATATCTTCATTACGATGTCCTTCTACATTTTCTGCACTATAAACAATTACATTTGGCTCTTGAGTGTGTTTTCTTCGGGTTTTTTTACGCTCACTGTTGTGACTTTGAACGGCATTTCCATTTTCGTCTAATGATTTTTTATCAATCGACATGGAAAAGTCTTTAGTGGTAGTATTTTGTGCTGTCAGCCTTGAAACAGCTGCTTAAAATAAAATTGAAAAATCATCAGCATTTTTAATTAGTGGAAGTCATCATTATTTTATTGTTATAAAAAAATGTGAATATAAATTGAAATTTATTTTATTTAGAAATAAAAATACTTGAAAATCTACAATATTTAATCAAGTATTAGAAGTCTGTAATAATTTAAATTCAATAGACAATCTAAAAAGGACACGTGATGCATGTAACCCGTACACTTAGTCCTCTACCGTTCAGAAGAACATTGACAACTTCCGCTAAAAAGTTTTCTGATTTTTCTTAGTTGTAACATCCGTGCATTACAAGTGACTTCTTATCGATTCCAATTAATTATTTATTGAAAATATTCGCAATATATAGTTATAATAATATTTTGTTTTATCTTTGTAAAATTATATGTTTTATATCATAACTTAAAAACGGTTTAATATCTTTAGATGTATTAATTTATATAAATATCATAAAAACTGAAAGATTAAACTGCTCTATCTCAAAATGTCAAAATTCAAATGTTATCTTGAAATTCAGATTCAGATGCAAATAAATTACTCTGCTAATCATATAAGTCTGCGAATTATTTATGAACATAATATAATTTCTATTAAAATAATAAGTAATAAAAATTTTTTATAATTATGAATATTGAATCAACTGTTAAAACAGCTGAAACTCGGCGCTGTTAAAAAAAATGACAATAAATCGACTAAAAAAATTTTGATAATTTTATAATGTTGATAAAAGTATTTTTTTAATTTATATTCACATTTTAAAAAAAACAAATATTTATAATGTCAACGTAAAATGAAACAACAGTTAAACAATGTCTTATTAGGAAGCTAGCAATGATATTCCAACTATTTTCATATAAAGTTTCTATTCCAAATTTTCATATGGTCTCATCATAAAAGATATACATACCCATAGCAATATTTGGCTGAGTCCCGGAAACATGCATTATAGGAAGTAAACTAGAACCAGTAACTTTGCTTTGTTGCATACCGGAAACGGCTCCACTGACATTACACTTGGCATTGTTATAAGTTGTTAGCTGGAGAGTACCATTTATAGTAATCTTGCCTTTTTCCTGTTTACTGGTATGTTCACGTAAAGGAAACTCAATAGTAGAATCAACAGGCGTTTCGACAGTCTCCAAAGTTGTACAGGATAATAATTGCATGGGTCGTCGTGGCTCAATTATCTTCATTTCAGTACCCTCATCATCCTCGTGGTCGATGGATGAATTAATTAGCGGCCGCTGAGAATGTACTGAACTATTACCACTTCTTTCATTTACTCCGTTTACCTGTAAAATATAATAAGCAGTATTAAACTGATCGTCGTAATGAAGAAGTTTCAATAAAAGTGTTTTCCAGGTTTATTTATTAGTATCTTATACCTACTAAAGAATTCCCTCGATCGAGTAAATTAGGACTGATATTATTTACCTCGATATTAATTACCATGTAATCAGTTTTATAATCTGATGATATAATCTGATTGTCTGAATCAAGCATTTCACTCGTCGTTAAATTCACTTTTTGGATCTTGTTTGCATCGTTTATTTTACCACTTGTGCATTCATTTTTTTCATCTTCTTTTTTAGGAGTACTAAATGACTTGTCTAACGATTTTGATTTTTCTTCATTTTTCCAATCACATACTGAATTATCACCGTAACCTCCTCTCTACAATAAATTTAAATTATGTAATGTCATCTGAAGATGTTGTAAAATAATTAACGTATCAATTAACCGATGATTAAATGATACCTTTTTATCAAATATAAGATCTAAATTAATGAAAGAAGTTAAATTATGTGAAGCATTCACATTAGACGGAAGAGATCCCCCTTCCCGCTGTCTAGCAGAAACACTGGGGCCGGTATGCTTCTTATTTTTCCTTCTACCTCCACCATAAGTATGACTAGAGCCAGATGGAAGGTAAGAAAAGTTGCTATCAAATTCAGAACTGAGTGATTGAGCTAAATTTTGTAGAGAACCACCATGAGTTAAACGATCAGAAATTGAGTCTCTTTTGTGTTTGCGACGATTTGTGTTTGGTATACATCGAGAATTTATAACAACTCGATGACCTTCTTCTGTTTCATCAACTTCAGTTGCTTGTAGAAGTTTCTATGAAATAAATTACCATATCACAGCATATTAAAACAATAAATTAATAACTATTATTTTGTTTAATTGAATATACCTTGAAAAGGATTGATTTTCCTTCACGGTCTCTCGATGAACCAGTATAAGTTAAAGCTTCATTTAACAATGCTTCAAGCTCTTTGTCATTCAGTGTTGAAAGTTTCGCCGGTTCCTCCTAAAATATTGTAGCTATAATTATTATTGAAATTATTAATAAAACGTATACATAAAAATATTCAAGAATAATAATTATTTTTAATAATTATTTATTGACTAAATCCATTACATAGGTACAGCAAATATGTCTATCCGTCATGAATTCTAATCATCATAACCTTAACAAAATCATACATTTTAATAGCACATGTATCAGTTTGCCAGTGGGAATAATTAAAAGAATTAAATTGTTCTTGGTAATATTAATACTTGATAAGAAAAAAATTTAATGTGTTTTTCATATAAATTATTACGTAAATGGAGCATTAAAGATAATTAAGTTTTAAATGTTCAAATAAGAATTTCAAGTGAAATTTTTCCAATATAAAATTGGGATAAATTTTGTATGTATTTTATGACACACAATCACAAAAAACACGTTCTACCGATTAGAGATCAAATAAGGGAACTATGTCAAAAGATTACTCTAAGTTCTGGAGTTGTTCTATAAATAGAATCCAGTTGTGTATATGTATGCCTATATAAAATGTATGTGTACTTGTATGTATGGTAATGAATATGTGTAACAAGGTGTATATAAAATGAAGATACTGCATAGAAATCAAACTTGAGTCTGATTGTGATATACCAAGTAGCCACGAAAGAATTTTAAGGTTTCACTTATTGGATCTGATCATTATTGAACACATCATTGGTACATTTACAGAATTTATAGGCCTATCACAACAGAAGTAATAGTTTACATAATTAATTGAAACCAAAAATTCACCACAGTGATTATAATTTAATAAAGTGTTATAATGTCTAAACACTTATGATACTTGAATTGATAAATAATACTAATAAGTAATGAGCTTTGCTTAGTATATATATGTATTTACTTCATATATCTATATATCTATCATAAGTATATGTGTGTGTGTATATATGTGTATTAGTATATGTGTATATATATGGACATAGATGACATGAATTGATCTGTAAAAGTGTATAATTATGATTGCTCACTGTTCAATGTCACAATTTTTAATATCTCCATAATTTTGAATAGTTCATTTCGTCATCATCACATTTATGACAAAATTATATCTGTACTATTTTTATGACAAATATATTTATCCAATGATTTGCAAATACGTAAAGTAATACAAGGAGGTCTGCAAAATGGTCGATTGCAAATGTGCCACAACATTTATTATGAGTTTAATAATTCATTTCGTGATGATTATTTTTTAAATTCACTTCATTATATGGATGAACGATAAAGAATCAGAAACTTACGTGTAAAAGGGAACGCAGTGCCGGCACAAAAATTTATATTTTTAGAGGGCACCTAGGTCGAATGAGAGCGAGAGCTTGAGTTCTATGTATAAGTGCTCCAGTCCTATTTATTAATATAGCGAGAACATATTATTCAGCATTCAGTGATACTGTTTATGATTCTTTCAGAATAACTGATTAACAGTTGATAAAAATTTTGATGCCAAGTCTTTGAATAATAATTTAATAAAAAAGGTATCACTCAAAACGGGTGCGGTGCGGCGCGCTTTTCTTAGCCATCGGCATGACTGACGCCATTATACTACTATACTGAGAATATGTGCTTCACAGGAACGTAAATAGCAGTGGTACTATATCCTGGTACTCGATCTTTTCAATTATTTATTTCGCGAAAAGTCACAAAGCACGTGTTGTCAATATAAATAAGCTGACTTTTCTGCCAATTGACACTTTTTTAGGCTTATGTTACAAAAATGATAGTTTCATCCAACGACATATTTACTTCTTACAATTACATAAAAATATAGTCATGTACAGATAATACAGCAGATAATATATATGTATATGTACAAGTATGTATGTGTACTCACTTTACAATATTTTTTTTCATTTTATTCATCAAATGAACTTAGTTTTTTTATCATACTGTACTTATTGGTTGTTAGACTTATTTCATGATTCTTTGTCATATAAAAGAATAAATGTCAAGTTTAGAGAAATAATAACACGTACATTTAGTCGATATTTAATTAAAAAATAAATGTATAAATCATAAACTCAAATTCAATATTTAAATGAATGAAGAAAGTCTTGACAGCATGATGTTGAAAGCACTGGTTTTCAAATAAACTCTTTCAGACATGATTTTCCTCACCTGCTTATCACTTGGAGTAGTTAATGGAGAAACAGAATTTGTCACATTAGAAACTTTTTTCGAATCAACTACACTTGTACTATTACTTATGTCCGTTGTAATATCACAGACACTGGTTTCTTTTTGATTCTTATCAGGTGCAACAGACTCTTGTCGATTGTCCGACCCTGGGGCCATTTTCACTGAAATTGACAGCGCCGTATATGCTGCGCTCATTGCCTTCTTCTCATTCTCTTATTATAATTTTTCTCTTCATTTTTTAATGATTTTTTCTGTGTCGGTATTAGTTATATGATTACTATAATTTTTATAAATGATTAATTCTAATGATAATTTGTTAATTTAAACATTAACAACAAATTATTTAAAATTTTATAAACTGATTTTTTTGAACCAACAGTCCACCTTTAGGTTTCATTATCACTCGACATCGCGGTTATTTTGAAATTGATATATTATTATAATTGTCGTCCTGCGACAAGAATAAAATTATATTGTCTATTGAATAACACTAATTTACATTTTAAAGTCAATTTGTGATCAATTAAAACACTTGAAGTTTACTGATTATAGTTAATGAACAAATGGCACACATTATGTACCTATCATTTAGTCTATTGATATTTTATTAACACTTTATGTAAATCCATTATAAATCTATCATTGCAGTCAATCTTTTCAATAATGGATCAACGGTTTATGAAAAATATTAATAACTAATCGTGACGAGTTATCGATCGTTCAGTAAGTTTTACTACTCGTTGTAGCCACGCTTTACTTCTGTACATGAAACGTAAATATACCTAATAAATTATACTATACTGTACCAGAGAAAATGAAGATATATATAGAAGCTCAGTATTTATGAGCATAAAAAAAATAAATTAGTGTCTTTAATCGAAAACTCTAGATAGCGTAGTAAGGGTTGTATGCCCGCATTATTTGAAACATATGACTTTTGGAAGCTAAACCGCCAACTATGTTTGAACAATATGACCTTTAAAAAATTGGAAAAATGAATGAGAGTGTGTGATTATTGAAAGTCATGATTTTTTGGTACATCCAGGTCATTGATAAATATTATCTATCAAAGTCATTTACACCTGGGAGAGTCCATCCATACTTTTATAATCACGCATACGGTCAATAATTCAAAGGCGTGGCTACACTTGGTTGTAATCATAACAATGATAGCAAAAGTGCTTAAAATAATCCATTTATTCGTTAGGTTGGGGAAGTGACATTACTTTTCAATTTATTATAATCTACTATTATTCTTTTTTTATTAAAGATATTTTATAAATATGTTTGAAATATCGCGCTCAGAAATAAATTATACATGAAAAATTTTCATGCAACGCCATCTATATTATCAATGATTTGATAATACTGTAGTAATAATAGTAAATAAAACATCAAATAAGCCGCTAAATTTTACTTGTAAATTTTTAATTAATTATAAATGACAAAAAATTTAATATTTTGATTTTTAAAAATATAATTTTTTACTTGTTTGATTCGTTAATTTTATTGGGTGTAGTGCTTCTTATTGTCTACGCTTGTGATCACATTTCTGAAGACTTAAAAAAATCATTGTTGATGTTTATTTAATATTAAAGAAATCAGAATATAGAATATTTAAAATATTAAAATGTCAGACGGTAAGATAAAATTAAGATTGACTTTATTTGAAGGTTAACTTAGTATGACCAATTTTATAAATAAAAATCCATTTTCAGAGGAAGTTATACGACGTAGGTTACTCATTGATGGTGATGGAACAGGTGATGATCGAAGAATAAATGTATTATTTAAATCATTTATTAAATGGGCCAACAGTCCTGATGTTGATAATACAGTACATGAGAGAATTTTATCTCAACTTGCACAATGTGAATTCGCTCAAAAAAAATCACGACTCGTATCAACGATGAGTCAAGAGGAGCTCCAAAGTTATGAACAATTATCTCAACAAATTGAAGTAGAAATAGAAGAGGCTAAGAAAGAAATAGAAACAACAAAAATTGAATTACAAGATGCAAAGCAAATTAGGAAAAATAGAATTGAATATGATGTTCTAGCTAAAGTAATAAATCAACAGCCTGATAGAAAAGAAACTAATATGAAATTGGAAGCATTGAAACAAGAACTTGGTTTCTTGAAAGTTAGTACATTAGTATATTATATATATTTAATTTAAGTATCTTTTCTGAGCATATATTTCATGAAAAGATGAATAAAAAATTTGAGATAAATATAATTAATGATTAAAACCTTTTTTTTTAGGAAAAATCAGAACAATTAGAATATAAACTAGAAATGCGTCGAAAACAATTCCATGTTTTATTATCTTCAATTCATTCTTTACAAGCAATGTTAGATGAATCTGATGAAGAAATTATGAATGTTAGTCTCGAAAACTATGAAGATGCTGAAATGCCATCACCAAAAACTGCTGCCTAAATAAGGTATATAATTTAATAAAAATTAATACAATAAAATACAAACTTAAATATTTTTTTTTTAATTAATTTATTGTCTTCAAAATCTAAGTTTTAATTTAGAAGTCTTTGGTACATGACGAATTGTTAATGACAATCTAGTGCCTCGCTCTAGTACGTCTTTATCATTGTAATTATTACAACATAAATCTAAATTACATATGAAATCTTTATTAATAGTATCACAAGCTACCTCATTAATAGAGTGTAAGTAATCGTTGTATAATTGATCTCGGAGTATTAGTAAACTTCTCCTTTCCAATAGTATTGCAAACTTTGGTTTAATTAATCTTTGTTCCTAAAAAAATTAATTCTTTTAACAAAATAACTTCTTATATGGAACATTATAATTAATTATCAAACTAACCAATAACAAATTATTAAAACACTATAATTTTAATTTTAGTTCATACCTCATCTGTTGCTAAACGTTTTGTAAATTCAAGGAGCGTATGCGAACCGCAGCTAATGGTTGTTACTATAGGATGAAAAAGAGGTCCGTCAGTGTGACCCTAAGAGTGATTAGTGTACAAAGTAATTTGTTATAAGGACTTTTTTTATAAAACTTTAGTCATATGTTAATATTCATAATATAAACTCTACCATAATTCCTTGATTTGGTAAATATTCATTGATCAATACGTGATTTGGAGATGTTTTATTACTGAAAACATTGAGTGCTGAAACTTTATCAACATATTTTTGGAGCCACTAAAATTTATAAATACCATCAATGAAAAGGTTACAATCATTGAATAATCAATTTAAAAATGTACAGTTAAAAAAAAACAAATAAATGATTTCCAACTCACTTTTGGTATTTCTTCAGCAATCATACCTTTAGGATGTGGGATACCTCCCCAGTTTTGGAGTCGTCGGTTACTTAATTGAGTCCATTTCGGTAATGGAGATTCATTTACATTTTTTATTATTTCATTTTCTTCTTCTTCGGTTATAAAATTAGGAATATAATAAGCAGAAGGTGGTATCTATCATTAAATATTGATTTATATTAATATTAAATATACATAAAAAATTATTAACAGATTTTCTTCATATTAACAAACCTTCTGAATAATATTTCTGTGCAATAAAGAATTTTCAAGGTTTTTGTCTAAACTATTTTCCATTATTTGTCACAAATTGTGATAATTACAACTATAGAGTTGTGATTGTTTATTGGTGGATGATGTTTACAAGCAAAACAAAATAGTTATGGAAATATAGGTTATGTATCTGACTTGAATTGGCTCGAATTCCAACGAATTTGAATCATATAAAATACTTCGTAAAATAAACATAGTTAGAAAATAAATTTATATTAATACAATGAAAAATAATTATCATCCTTTATCGAAGGGATGTAGTTAAAAATACGTTATGAATTCATTTGAATATAAATGAATGTGTTTTAAAGAATATCAATATGTCTATGAATGAATAATAATATATTCACTGAATTGTATTGATTAATTAATCTTGTACAGTTGTCCGTAACTTAGTATGAGAGTAGTTCAATAGCTTATTTTTATTATCAAAAACATAACAAAATGAGCCTGAAATATACAACTGAAGTGCCTGAAGGTTTAAAATCCTTCGAAATAGTTACAAGTGATGAGAGTGTTACAAGTAAAATTTTATCAATAACATCAGTCTGTAGAGATTGTCTATCTGAAAATAATTTATCTGAAAATAATAAAAAACAAACAAATAATTCTGTCGAACTTGTTGCAAACGATCAGAGTATACCAGATTTTTCAGAACAATATGACGACGAAGTGTTTGATATTTTTACAAACAAGCAATCTATTGTTTGTTCTAGGTAATGTAAAAAATAAATAATTTAGTTATTAATTAATATTAAAGTATTTATTCTTATAAAATATAATGAAAAGAAAATATTTAATTTAAATGATTATTTAAATATTAATTTTGTAATAATAATGTATTTTTAAAATATTTTATTGTTGTAAAATAGGAGTACTCAAACGATAGAAAGTAGCTGTAGAAAAATGTCAAATATTTTATTTATGAATGAATTAAATCATCCAGCAACTATTTTAAATACATCGTATATTCGTCGAATAATAACACCGAATCAACATAATCAAGAATTGATATTAAGTAAAACACAATTATGTAATATACATAGGAATTATCAAAAATTAAAATCTCGTTTCCACAAACTACATGCTGATTATCAAAAATTAATTGGCATCACTGGAATTCTCACAACTTCACTCCAAAAGTCAGCTACTGGAGAACCTGTTAATTTACATGAAACGTTGAATACTTGTATGAATATTTATCCAGATATCTTCCATTCAAATATGCATGATTGTAAAGTAAGTATTTATGATAAAGTTATAATTTATATCATTGCATTATTCATTGAAAAAATTTAATTGATTTATTTTAGGCCACTTTTATGGATCAAAACACTGAGATGAATTTTATACAAAAAAGTCTCCATATATCTATGTTGAATACTGTACCAATCTCACCAAAATTTTTGGACTACAATAAAATTAAATTACATCTTTTACGTGGAAATGTTCAAACCAAGTTATTGCTGCTACAAGCATTACGTTGGGTAAATTATTTTTACAAATATTCTATTTAATATAAAAATAAAAAAGAAAAGGAAAACTTTCATAAAATTTAATTATTGTATTGAATTAAGATTTCTAATTCTTAATTATTCAACCTCAATAATGTATTAAATATTCTAAAACTTTAAATTGGTTTATTAATAAATTAATTGTTTCTTATAGAAAATTACTCTAAGTCAGCCAGAAGAACGTGATGAGACGGTAAATGAATACATAAAAAATGATTTACTTGGTCTTCATACACAAGTATCCACTGAATGTGACAATAAGTCTATACTTCCATCTTTATTAATATCAATGGATACTTTTATTCCTTATACTCTTCCACAATCAACTGCTAGATTATTAAATACATTCGCATCATTGAAATATGGACGTGATTATCTTTCTATGGGTCCTGGTGTATTAAACATAGTGAGTTTACGCTAATCATGAATTGAATGAAATCGTTAAACATAGTTGAAATAATTTATTGATACAACCTATTTCGCTACTATTCTAGATAATCCAATGTTTAGATAATACTCGTATAAAATCAATAGATGCATTTACATTTGATATGATAATCGCAACACTACAGAAACTTTCTTTACGGAGGCGTCAGCGGTTATACATGATTTCAGCTGGTTTAGTAGAATGGTTGGTTTACCATTTGAAAGCAGAATATCCAATAATGGGCACATACAGATTGGAATATGCTACTGCGCTTTTAATGAATTTATCACTTCAGAAAGAAGCACAGATAAGAGCTGCTTCGATGGCAACGATACTTCTATCGACACTCACCATGCTACTATCATCAGAACACTTACCTGTAAAGTATATTTAGAAACTTTGTATTTTAATTTATTATTTTTTATTTCCGTGAAATTAAAAATAAAAACTAATTGTAATTTTTTATACGGATTGAAAATTAATGATCCTTAAATCAATCCTGATTAAGGATAAATCATAAAATATTTGATTCATTATAGGAAAATAGAAACAATAAAAAAAATTTTGAACATACTATTGAAAATTTAACAAAATACATTAAAACAAGCTTTTATAATCTTTTTTTGTTTCAATATACTTCAATCTTTTATTAAGGATAAGTAAATTGTATTCATTTACATTCGAAAACTAGTTTGAAGCGTTCAATCTTGATTTTGTAAGTCAAATTTTGTAATCTTATGAATTCAATTCATTCATTGTTTAAACTATAAATACAGCAAAATGGTAATTTCTATTTTTTTATTAAAGTGATTTTGAGTTTCAAATATGCTCTATAGAGTGGATTAATATTTATAATTCAAGTATTCATGAATGTTAAAAAATATTTATTAGATAGAAATATCTCCCAAATTGATAGAAATCAAAACTTTAAGTTTTTTTTTATAATGTATCAGTAATAATAATAATATCCTTCTAGGTTTTGCCCTATGTAAATGGTGCTCTCAATAATTTCCTGGCAAATAGTGATATTAATGAAGAGGCTAAAATCATTGGTTTAGAAGCTATTTTGGAATATTACCGACAAAATCGTTCAGGAGAATTGAGGTATTTTATAATAATTATAAATTCAATATCTATTATAGTTAGTTATACTTGAATTAATCATATAAAAATTACTCAATTATTTTGTTATCATTTGGCATGCGTAAATCGATAAGTACATATGCTTTTCAATATAATTATTGTTATTAAATGCGAATACAATTAATCATTTCATTGCTCGATTGAATTAATAACTAATGAAAATTATGTAGAATTTTTGAATGGATAATATTTTATCTTATTGCATTTCAGAAAACATTTAGATCATATTCTTATGAGACATCGACGAAAAAGCAATGAAATGATAGATGAAGATGTCCGTGATGATGATGATAGAGAAGAATTAGATATTCTAGAAGACGAATTAGATGAGATGGATCCAGTTAAAGTTGAACCTGGAGAATTATTCGGGGAACCATTACTCACATCATGTTATTCTGTAGCTTTGAAAGTTTTACCAAGTGATAGGTTTACACACAATAGCTTCTCCTTACCTGAAAGAGGAATATCACCAAGGTAAAATGAAAACACGAATTCTTTATCGATATATCAAGTCGAATTAATTTTTAATCTGAACTTATTTTTTTTAAAAAGATTGACACCTGTAAACAGTAATAGTAAATTTGAAAATCCGATTAAGTTAAAGTTATTATCATCTGGAAAAAAACAACATAATTCAACATCTACTAATTTTGATAGTTTAGAAGACAAAACTTTTGTCAAGCTTGATTCATTTCCAATAAGAAATTTTGATAATGACACATATAGTTCGGTAAAAAAATTTCATGTTACACCTGATGAATCACATCAATTGGTTACTCTCAATCAAGATGTTGAAGAGAAAGTTAATTTATATGAGACAATACCTGCGACAGAAGCAGCATTATTTTTTAGTAAAAATAAAGAACTGAAAAATTGTCAACATCATTCAAGCCAATCGAAAAATACAAGCGAAAGTCCTCCATTGCATTATCGTTATTTAGATTTTGATAAGAAGTATGTAAAAAAAAATTATCGATAAAAAATTTCGGTTTAATCTTAATTTTTAGTTAATATCCTAAATGATAAAATATAATAATTTTAAATCTATTTATTGCAGAGAAAGCAGCTTTATTATAGAGAGTATAAACACTGGGTCTTTGTCTGCTGAAAAAGTATTGGAAAAGTTTGAAATCGGTATGTAGATATAATAGATTTAAATGATGCTATATATTTGAAATTCACGAAACGTGAATGAATGTATGAATTCTAAATAAAAAGTAATATCTATTAAGTGAAACTTTTTAAACTTTCATTACGTTACGTGTTAGTGTTAAAGATAATCTTCAGAAACTAGAGCATATAAAACTTTTTATATACATTTTTTAGCTGATAATCAAAAGGACGAAATAGCACATTCGTAAGTTATCAAGTTTGCAAATTAAATTATTTGTTTTTAGCAACAAAAGTTTTCAGTAATTTTCTTATAGTCTGATTTTTTTATCACCTTCCTTCTGGATGATAGTATATTTTTTGCATTTTTCATTGAGTTTTAGTTTAATTTTATTCTATTTAAAATTTTTAAAATATAGTGAAGACAAAGTTTAATATTTATTAATTTTTTAGTCATACTAATGGCTCGAATATTGCTCATGAATTCATAAAAGAGGAAGAAGAGGTTGACGCTTTTGCTTCAAAACCAAAAATATCGAGAACGCCACCACATAGTGTGTCAATTTCATAAAATAGATTGATGTAAAATAATAGAATTAAATTACAAATCGTGCCTTAAATACAATTATATAGGAATAATGAAATAATGATCGAAGTAGTAGAGTTTACAAGTTTATTATTTAAAATTTTTCTATAACAAAATAAAAAAAAAATAATATCTAACACACAAATATTAATAAAATAAATACAAAATAACACAATTTGCCTATATTTTGATAAATGGAAAGAAAATAATTTACTGGTATCCAAAGTATGATCCTGGTGAACCGCTACTATGATGCCCACCACTACCTGCTGGATATCCTGTAATGTAACTACTCCTATAATTACTTCCACCAAAATGTGATCCAGATGAGAATGGTCCAGTACTTCTAACTTTGTATCCACCTGCACCTCCACCAAACATTCCACTAGAGAAGTTAGGTTCGCCTGCATGCATTAAAGCACTATGTCCTGAACCATCTTTGATGATAATTAACTTGCTACCGCTCTTAGGAAATGCTCCAGGATAGTATGAATTAGGTCCTTTGACATAATTCATATTAACAGCTGATGCAGCGCTGTGTAAAAATGGAGGAACACTTCGGTGAACTAGTGGTCCTTGAGAATGGATGAAATTATTAGGGCTATCACGGCTGTGTGGACCGAGGAAACTCAATGAAGCTCCAGAAGCAAGTCTACTTCCCTCGGGATAATTTTTATGGCTGCTGTGTGAACTCGTGATGTAGCTAGGACTTCCGGGTCTACTTGCTGGATAAGAATTTATATGACTTCCTGAGTATGGAGTTAAATGACTACTTCCTGGATAATTGTTTGGATGAGAGTTGGGTATTAGATTTAGAGTTGAACCTAATGAATACGTTGGAGCTTGATTGTGACCATGATTTTTACTAATTGCTGTGTAAGCAGAAGCTTTAAGACCGCTAATACCATAATTATTGATTGATGGTGAAGTAGTAACATAAGGAGATGATGACGAAGCGTAATCAACTGAATTGTGCTCATTTGTGGCCAATCCTCCGAGATTAGAAGAATGGCCTGAATATCCTACTAAACTTGAAGATCCATGACCGTTAGAATATCCATCTGAGTTCGATGATCCCGAGGAATAGCCAGGACTTATGTCAGTAGTGTAGGCGTCATTAGTATAAGAACTTGCTGTAATGCTGTTCAAAGCATCTGGATTGTTACTTGAGTGGCTTCCAAACCCGTTGGATTGAATACTGTCCTCATTTCCAGCTGATGCATAACTACTTCCTTGACTGCTATGAGCTCTTCCGGATAATGATGTAGAGTATTGATGCGAATTTGTTCCATAATTACTGCCACTAGTTAATTGATCTGATAAGTCACTGTGTGTATCCTTGGCAAGACCCATAAAACCACTTGAACTGTAACTTCCAGGGTAATCACGATTTCTACTGCCAATGGAGTATCCTGAAATTATTTTTGTTCTTGTATAAGTACAGTTAAAGTACAATTAAAATAAAAAAAGTTTCCAAGTATTTAAATAAATTATTAGCTAGTAGAAGTTATTTAAATATTTTACAACACGAATACTAGAATGGTAACATTTAAGTAATAGATTTTTGTAGTAAAAAGTATTTCTTTGCAACATGAAGTTATTAACTATATTTAAATTATTTTGTTTTGCAAAAATAAATACAAGTGTAGTTTATGGCATAACGGTTTATTATGTTTTTATGCACTACTTCTGTCAAGGGTATTTTTCTACGACCTTGATGAGGTAGAAGATTCTTCCGACCATGAAAAGCGCGCGGCCTTTCCAATTTGCAAGTAATATTTCAAAGTAGTGAAAGAAGAAAGGAAAAGAAAAAGCATCGTAATGCAAAAAAATGATTCAATGCCACTGAGTTGTAATTTCCTTTTTTTTGTATCATTTAATTTTCTAATCTTACCGTCTATACGGTATTCGTGTTCAGTGATGCATGCCATCAAGCATGTGTGTCATGCATAAATGTTACATATTTTCAAGAAAGTAGTACAGTTATTTTTCTTTTTGAAAAAAAATTTTTGTCATTTAACATCTTCGTAATTGATAAAAAAATTATTATATCTAATTCATTACACTCAATATAATAAAAAGTAATTAAGATATTGATGTCTTACCGCCAATTGTAAGGCCAGTATTTGATACCAAAATGAACAAAGAGAACACCACGACCTACAACAAATTTTCAAATAATCATTTATTAATATTTATTATCCTTTGGACGATTTATAATGGCTATTAAAATAATTACTACTCACTCGTAACATTTTTAATCCTGTATCACTTTAGATGATTTTATAAGTTATAAATAATAAAAATTCAATAGTACCAAAATTTAGATTTCAGTACAAAGTGAGATTTCTACACAGACTGGCTACTGATACAGTTTCTCTTACGGTTTTATACTTTAGGAAGCCCCTTCTTGGTACCGAGAAGGTAAAAGCAATCTTCTTTCCATTAAGTTTGTCAGGACATTGGCTAGAACTTCACCATACAGAGCGCGGAGAGAAAGAGTTAACCGGATTTTATGTATTTACACTAACGGGGAAAGCAATACTTCTTCCCTTCTACAATATGCTAATGGGTCAAACGCCAATGGACTTTATATCTAAATACTCATATTAATTTTGTGCTCAATAATTACTAATTATTACATTTAGATCTTTTATTATCATCGATAGTAGTAGAATAGAAAATCTAGAGAAAAGAATAATATTATGCTTTCGTCATAAGTATCAGTGATGAGTAGGTGAAATATGATATTTCTTTTGTGCTCGATCGAGTTTTATAAATTTCCCTATTTAGTGAAATTACAATGTGTTCATTAAATTTGAATGTCAATAAATTTCTGCATACGATGAATGTTAAATAGAAAATATGATGAGAAATGTTTCATTAAAACAAAATTCTAAACCAAGTCTTTCTTGTTGGCAATGAATTCATCTATTTTAAGATAAAATATTCAATTCATATCAACAAACTAACATCAATAAAATCTAACATGGCTAATGCATATCAATTTTGAATAATTTTTTTCAACGATGAGAGTGAAATTTGTGTAGGTGTTTAATTTTGCATTCCATGTTAAACCCTGAGAGGTTGGTGAATACCAATGATGATGTCTGTTCGTAGGAAAGTTAGTTTTTTCGTTGATAAATCCGTCAGATAAGATTACTACTTGTGATGTTGAATACCCAATCTGACTATAGATCAGTTGGGACAATGTTTATGAATTCAATTGTTGTAAATTCAATTTATGAGGTCAATTGATCTTGTAAAATGACTACTTTACTGCTTCAAGATCAACTGTTTTTACTTATTCAAGTTGAAAGTAAGTGAGAAGGTGGGAGAGGTAAACAACGTGAAATAATGCATGAATTTTATCATGAGTGCTTTCTTAGGTTTATTATATCTAACGAAAAAATTAGAGTGAAAATATATAAGTATTGATAATAGCACACTCGCAAGTAGTAATTAGAGCACGGTATTCTTTTCTTAATTGAGAACAAATTCGTGTAAGAGTGTAAAAAATTGATCATACAATGTATGAATCATTTTTAAATTTTTATTTTATACATTTATAATTATTATTAAAATATCGAATAATTTCACTTATTACAATAAAATGTAAATAAAGATAATTATACAGGACAGGAATAATTACGAAAATTGAAAAAATACTCATCATTTTCTTAATGAGTATAATATAAAAAATTAATTAATTCAATAATTCTAATTGTAAATAATACAACAGTTTATCAATTAAGGAAATGGAAAGGATTTAAATGTGTGGAAATAAAGAAAAATAATTATGATTTACAATGATATTTAATTGTACACAAATAAAAAACGAAATGTAATTTACAATTACAGTTTGTTTATTATTTAACATCAATAAAAAATTACGCTTTAGAATAATTATTACTAATAATAGAAAATAAACTAAGGAATAAAAAATGATGTAAATAAATGAAGAATAATGATGAATGATTTACTTTTTACTTATTTATGCTTAATTATTTAGTTAATTACAATGATTGATTCATTTTAATTTACTTATGTTGTTTTAGACACGCAAGTGTGTATAATATGATGGAGATTCTTATTCACTACATCATTTTCTCTTTACTTTGGTTTTAAATCATAAAGACTAGTCTGCTGAGCTTCACTCTGTCTCCATACCATTAGAAAACCACCAAGCTATATACTAATAGTTTTATTAAAATTTAATTTTGTATTTATTTTTGTGTTTAGTTGACAACATGTATGGATAATAATAATAATCTGGCGTATTAAAAGATGTGTTCTTTTAGGCAGAAAATATCCAATATTAAAGTATCAGCAAAACTCGTTGACATTTTACTTTTTCTTTTTACAAAAGGCAGGAATTAATTGGCAGTTAAACGTAATATTCGTTAAAGTCAAACTTATGCATGAGTATTTTTTGTTAAACTTGCATAAAATTCATTTGTTTTTTACATAAAAAATTAATTAACATTAATTGTCTTACATATTCTGTATATAAATGCATACTTGGAATGATATAAATAATAACATAAATAATAAAATTGAATTGAGAGATATTTTTAAAATATTATAATTATTCAGGATATTACCGAATGATGCGAAGTTGACAGGCGAAGCACACAGAGTAATGTACCATTTAGAATCGGAAATAGAATTTAGAATTAGAATGTAAAAATACTGTATATATTTACAATAATTGGTATACCGATGAGTATTAAATTACGATACGTCAGTAATAATTGGAGAATATTATCAATGTGTACATTGTACTCAGAAATAGTGATGATTGCTCCTAGTGATCTCATTTTTTCGAATACACGCATTACACAAAAATTGATTCTTTTCTTGTTTTAAATTGTATAGTCACTGAATAACATTATAACATTTTCACACTATTTATAATTTTTTCTTACATCATTCATCAAAAAAACTTGATGTTGTTGAATTGTTGGCACATAAATGGAAGCTACATACCTTAATAAAAGGTATGTATAAAAAAATGAAATTTTGATAAAAAGTTTATAATCTAAATATATTTATATTACTCGTATCATTATCTTTATCATAATAATAGTTATTGTTATTATTTTATTCAGTTTTTTCAACATAATTGTTATTATTTTTGTTGCTTGTGAAAATTATGCTTATTTTGTATTACAAATAGAAAATTATTCGATTACCTCTGTGTGTAAAAGATGATAATTTGAAATTAATAACTAATATATATTATCTTGTTGATTCTGTAATATTGATGTTATTCTTTTATCAGAGACCACCATCATCTGTGAGTATAAAATTAATTTACAAAAAATGAACATAAGTTTTTAAGTAATACAGATACTTTTCTAATATAAAAGCTCTATCATTTTTTTTAAATTATCTGCACACATGCTTACTCTCTTTTACTGTATCTCTCTCTCTCTCTCTCTCTCTTTCATAGCTTGATATAATTCGTTAATCATTTTATTTTCATATCTATCTAATTAATATTTACATTATTTACACATTAAAACGATTATCTTAGTTATTTATTTATATCTTAATGATTGTATAATTAGGATTGACTATGCCTTAAAATAATCAACGGAATTATGAACCATTATAATTATTAATATTCATTATTATTGTTATCATTATAATAATTATTATTATTTAAAATATTAAATATCGTGCCATTCAGATGGTACTTCCATCTCCAAGGTACCATTTTGGACGAATATCGGTCCGTCTTAATATCTCTAGCACTTAAGATGAGCAAATACTTTGGAGATTACATAATCTATTTAATTCTCTTATCTTTCCATTGTAATATTAAGATATAGACAATTTTTTATCTTCGTTTTTTTTCAATTACAAATATAAAACATGTATATGTAAATAGAACTCTTAATTATGCGCGAACATGTTCTCTAATTGAGCATACGTGAATTTTTTTCAATATCATCAGTCTAAGCCGATCAGTGCGGCTCCACACACAACAGCAGTATAACAATACACGTTTCAATAAGCCTGTGTAGAATCTATCGTAACAAATAATTGCAATAATCAAATAACAATTTGCATACACTAAGTAAATATTTTTTACTTTATAGATCTCTTCCAACAATACTTGAGCATGGAACACACATTTTAGAAATCATTTCTAACATAACTAACATTTTTTTTTATACATATTACATTGTTCAATAATTCATTTATTAAATTAATTACGTTTTTTTAAATATTGAATATTGTCTTTCTATTGGTTTAATTTGAAAGAGATACTTTTAAAAATTTTTTTGAAAATCTAATTATCTATGATAAATCGTAATTAGTAACATGACATTGTTTAAATGTTAATAAAATTTCTTTATCAATAGAAATTGAAAATTATCAAACAAAACACGGAATATTTCATTAATAGAAGTTGATTGCAATATTAATTAACTTTATCAATACTTTATAACTTTAACAATAAACCAATAAACGACATAGTTCTGATCAATTGCTTGACTTTAGACAATAAACATAGTAGTATAATGGATTGTTTAATAACTCAACAATTGTCAATATTCCATTATCAAAGAATAAGTAATTAAGAATAGTAAAGATATTTTACTAATTTATAAATAAATTAAAGTGTGTTTCATGCTGTAGTAACTTTTAATGATTAATAGAAGTCATTTCCGATATTTTTTGCATAATTTTTTTATTCATTATTCGTTTTTTTATTTTTTCAAAAATATATGCGTCAACTACCTAGGCTTTTTTTTTTTGTTTAAACAAAAACACGTATTGTTAATATAACGCGAATAAATTTTGAATGTACACGCAATAATATTTAGACGCTCTATAGCAAATATTCGTGATCCATTTTAGTTTTCCTTCTCATTTATTTTATAGTAGTCTATATGTATTTATTTGTGAGACCCTCATATGATCCATTGTTTTTTTTTTCTTTAAAGTATTTATTTTTTATTTCATTATTTTATTGAGATATATTATAGACACCTCTTTCTTTACTTCATTCAATAATTATTTACACGAATAATTCAATTAATTAAATAGAAATAAATGTAAAAATATTTATTATATAAACAACTATAGCCAATGTTGCTCACTTTTACATGTAACAAAAATTTTTAGTCAAAAATCAATGCTAATACTAGTTACTTATAAATTAGTGTCTTTTCAATTAACATATTTATTAATTAGAATATCACTGTGCAGGTACCCTAGTGGAAATTTTTTCAACAGTCGTTACAATAAGTCCAGCTGTTGCCTAGCACAATTTACCATGTGCTATCAGCAAATTTGTCAGTGCAATATTTATTTTTTTACACGATACGATGAATTATGATCACAAAAAAAATTTATCGGTCATAATTTAACTTATAATTGTAAGTTTTTTTTTTTGAAAAATCATGTTAGATACTAACTGGATCACTGTTGAGATTTATTTCAACTAGGGCAGTATGTTGAAAATATATAATCTAAACGAATTTTCCTATTAAAATCCTGCTAATATAATTACATATCTAGTTTATTGTTTCATTTATATTTATCAGTGATAGTTGGTATTAAACAAATAACTGATCATAAACATCACACCAAGTCATAAATAAGTGTGAAACAGAGCTTGGTGAATAATTTAAATTTAACGAAGGTATAAAATATCATCACGTCTATCTTAGAGAGCAAAATATATAAAATATCATTATTATTAAAAAGCAATTATCCAGATAAAATTATAAGAGTGACTTGTATTGATGTTGCATTATAGAATTGTCTTATAATGATGTCGGTGCTGTTTAAATGTCACTCAGCTATAGAAAAATAAAAGTGAGCACTTGGCATTACTGCATTTGTAGATCATTATTTCAACTTTCAAAAAGTTTTAACAAAACGAGATTCAGTTGAGCCGCATTGTATCAGCAATTTTTCGAGGCTTATCTTTATTTACACTTAGGGGAGATTTGGGGAGATCTTAGTGATGATGTATTGAATGGTTTAAAAAATTCCTTAGGGCTAAATTTACAGTCGTGTGACCCGTTCTGAATGCAATCGAGCATCTAGTCTCAGTGTCGGTGAGGGCACTAGATGAATACCCAACCTGACATCTGAGACAATTGATGAATCTCAGACAAGATGGCCATCAATATCAGAATAATTGGGTGTTGATGTGAATGTTGATAATGGATGTCCATGCGAATGTACAGGTATAGGTCCCGTACGTGCGAATGTGATTGGTGGTGGAGGTACTGAGGGAGGAATTGGTGACTTCGTTCCGGCAGTCATAACAGTGACGTCTGGTGGAGGTACAGGACGCGGTAAAGTTCTATTTCTTGTTAAAGTCCCCGTGCCCGAACTTGGATGCAATATACCAGTATGATGGATTCCACTACCAAGGGACGGATAATAAGAGCCTGGTCCTGGCTCATTCAATACTGGAATCGGACTGTTTGTTTCATAGCCCGTATAACGGCCACTGTCCATCTCCACACTGTAGAAATTTACATCGTTGGGTGGGGCTGGACTGGGATTCCCGATGTAACTCGATTTCGAAACTGTGAATTTAAAAAAATTGATTATTTATTTTTTTTGTTAGATTTTTTAGTTGTTACTTGAACCAATTATGGGAATGATGAATAAAAAAAAGTCTAAACCCTTGTTAAACAAGTGTTTGTAATGAAACCTCTCGAATTATATGATGTTTTAAATACTGAAGCTCTATAAAATTAATTATACTTGTTATTTATAGTGCTTTTATGAGAATTTACTTTTGTATAAATAAGAAGCAATCAATTATGTAGATAATTGAATGCTTGTTATTTATCTAATAGTTTTTACAAATACTGTATAGTATTTGTAAAAAAAAACTTTATTAAAATTTGAAATATCATTTTTTTTCATATTCTATTCAAATAATTTTTTCGAAATATTCTGTCAGGATAAATTTCATTTATTTGCTGTATTAACTGATTAAAAAAAAATCAGCCCATTAATTTTTAATGAATTCTTGTTCATAGAATTGATGTATATATATTAAAAGATAATAGAAGATAGAAATACATGTAAAAAAATTTTTTAAAAAGACTGATATAATTACACAATAAATTGAAAAGCGTCAGAGCAAGAATCCACTTTTATCTTTCTTTATTAATTTAAAATATCCAAATGTATATTCTTTTGACGCATACTTTCTTGTTATTAAAGCTCAGAAGTTTTTTTCTCATTTCAATTTTTATTATAATTATTTTATGCTGGTTAATAATATAAAGTAAATTTTTATTCTTTTATTTTCAATGAATAATGGAAATATGATATCAAATAAAATATATCATAATTCATGCAAAAAACAAAAACCTCACAAGTAGACTGTTAATTCTGCATATGTCGTTCATTTGTAAATGATTTTTTCTCATCGAATATGAATGATTTTTTGACTGTATTCAATCAAGCATTTGATGAAATCATGCTCAAAAATTGAATGATCAATGAATTAAGGTGAAGCATTTTTGAATAATTTTTTGCTTTTCAATAGATACTCGATAGTTAATTAAAATCAAATGAACTTTTGAATGATTTAGAAAAATATTGAGCTGGCCAGATTTTGTAATTTAGAAAAGCGATTCAAGTGATAATATATAATATGAAAAGTCTATATGAAGAGATCGTGCACAAAATGTTGGCATGTCCACTAGCAATTAAAGCACTTAGCGTGTTGTGTGATCAAGAACAATAGGTGCTCATCTGAATGAATCGTCAACAACTCGGAACTACGCTGTTCATCATAATAAAAACTCAATTTTCGTTAATTAATTAGTCAAATCCTCTATGATAATTTTTCTTTATTTTCCTATAAAAATAAATTAATTAAAATTAATTATTCCTTTTTTTCTTTGTTCTTCAATATATTATCTCTAAGGTTTATTTCTCTCTTGATTATGAAAAAATATTAATCGCGCGCGGGTCCGAGATTAACGAGCCTGGCCAGCAATTTGATGAGTACATCAACAGTGATAAACTTGAGAGGTTTTTGCACCTATGTAGGGTGTCAAGATGGGAAGCAGTTGTAGTTGACGCACCCGAGAGAGTCCCACTGGCCGTTGTTCGTTGTGGTGGAGAATCCAAAGGCATTACACTTGATACATGATTACCTCGTCGTCCAAGGGTTCCTTGATGATGAACCTGCATCTCTAGGCTACCTTTACCATAGTCTTGTAAACTGTGATCTATTAAATATGTACTAGCCGCAGTCTTTCTTCCCTCGTCCTATTTAATCATACATAAGAATGATTATCAAACTTTATATTATAAGTTGATGAACCATCATGAGCTTAAACATTTTATTCCCGTATGAAAAAAATTTTCTTAAGTCATGAAAATGGGCATATCTTCTATGCTAATGATGCTACGGGGTTGATCGAGGGCTCAAATGAAAGATCTCGATGGAAGGAAGAAAATCGATATGGTAAAAATCATCATTGGAGAATAGTTCATGCTAAAATTGGAGCAAGTTCCCGTTTTACCCCATTTTAGGAGTGAAATAATTAATTTTTCTAATGTTTGACCTGATTCCGCATTACTACGCATCAAGACGAAGAGAATGAGTGGTCGATCATCAAAATCGGAGTACCTTTATTTTTCGACCCCAAAAAATGGCAAGTGGTACCCCTTTCCATTTTTTTGGC